CCAGTGGATCGACGACATCACCCTCACCTACGACATTCAGGTAGCAGTCGCGACGGTCACTTCCAAAAGCTGTTGTTTGGGCGCTCACTTCTCTCCCCCCTCTACAAATCAGCCGAACGGCGACGCGAGCGTCAACTACGAGATCGCTGTGGCCAAGACCTCGCCAACTCAGGGCGAAGAGGGCAACCTGATCCCCGAGTCTAGTCCTGCGACCCCAGCAGCGACGCAGGTGAGGTTGATCAACGGCAACGGTGTGGTTGTGACGCAGAGCGCTCAGCTCAACGGGAGCCTCGTCGTGGAAAGGGGTGCGTGGTCCATTGTCCGCTCATCAAACCCCTTTTGTGCTTGTGATTGATCGCCATGATTGAACGCCCGTGTGCAGACGCTCTCACCCTGTGGCAGCCCGGCAAGCCGTACCTCTACACACTGGAGGTCACCGCCGATGATGATGTCTACCACCTGCGCAGCGTGGGCATCCGCACGATCAAGGTCTCCGGCGCGCAGTTCCTCATCAACGGAAAGCCGTTCTACTTCCACGGCGTCGACAAGCACGAAGGTGCGTCGGCGCGCAGGCGTCGGCGAACGGGGTGCACATGTCGCACTCAATCGTCCCTGTGTGGTGGCGTGGGCAGACTCCGATATCCGAGGCAAGGGAGTGGACGACGTCATCGTGGTGAAGGACTACAACATGCTGCAGTGGCTCAATGTCTCGGCCTACCGCACGAGCCACTACCCTTACGCGCCCCAGTTCTACGATATGGCCGATGAGCGCGGAATTGTACGTACAGCGCACCACCTTTGACTCGGTTGCCATGTGTGGACCTTGGCTCACGTCAATTCGCGGTCTGCCTGCAGGTCATCATTGACGAGTGCCCCGCAGTCGGACTTGCCGAAGCTTCGTACTTCAACCCGACCACTCTGGCGCACCACAAGCAGGTACATGTCGGCTGCAACTGTCCGCCCTGGGTCGTGAGCCTGCATTCACCGCCTCTTTTTTCGCGGCGCTTTGCGCAGGTGATGTATGAAATGATCCGCAGGGACAAGAATCACCCCAGCGTGGTGATGTGGAACGTCGCGAACGAGCCGCGCTCGGATATGCACGTGGCCTACAACTACTTCAAGTACGCGTTTTCCTCCACGCTTTGACTCACGACGAGCTGAAGGCTGATGTTGGATGAAAATAATTTATAATATTTTTTAATTAAACAGGGAAGTGGCCGCCTACACTCGCGAGACCGATCCCACGCGAAGGCCGATCACGCTGGTCAACAACGTCGACTACACCGGACAGACCTGCGCCGAGTTCTTTGATGTCGTGTGCATCAACAGGTCAGTCCACACAGCACGCGCGAAGCGCAGGTTCGGTTCCTCCGTCGCTGATGATTCGTTTCCTCTGGATCCACAGGTACTACGCGTGGTACTCGGACTCGGGGCAGCTGGAGGTGATCCCCTACCAGCTTGACACTGATCTTCAGGGCTTCTGGGCCAAGTACCAAAAGCCGATAATTGTCAGCGAGTATGGAGCTGACACCGTGCCTGGCCTGCACCACGACCCCGCCTTCATGGTACAGATCACGCGCAGCTCGAGCCGTAGAATGCCGCAATCTGCGCGTCTCACACTCGTTTTCTCCTCTCTCGTGCGTTCCAGTTCACGGAGGACTTCCAGGTGGAGTTCCTCAAGCAGTACCATAAGGTGTTTGACCAGTACATCGGCAAGTTCCTCATCGGCGAGCTCGTGTGGAACTTTGCCGATTTCAGGACCGGCCAATCACGTATGCCGCTTATGCCCACTCACTTGCCTCCTTGCGCAGCTCAGCTCGATCCAGCCTTGGCCTGTGACGGTGACGTTGTCTGACAACCACTTCGTGACACCACCCAGCAACCCGAGTGGGAGCCACCAACCTGAAGGGAGTGCTCACCAGGCAGAGAGAGCCCAAGGCCGCTGCCTACACGCTCAAGGAGCGCTACTCGCACCTGAAGAAGTCCCTGCCCGCCCTTGGCCATTCCTCCCCGCTCCACAACACCAAACCCGACATCCTCCTCGCCTAAGAACCGAACGAAGGTTGAGTTCAACCACTTGCTCCTCACCTGCAGGTGGTACTGAGGTGTGGGCCAGCTCAATGCCACAACATCATGAAGGTCGTGTGCCTCTCCGTTGAACAAAACGAAACGAGTGGTGGTTTCGCTGCAGTCGTGTCTTTGGGCTGACGATTTCCTAAAGCGGAAATGACGTATTTATTTTCTTGACGCCTCTACAACGTGGTAGTGAGCGAGAGATCAAGAAGAAGATGAAGAGGACGAGCGGCGGGGGCGTGGCGGAGGAGACCCCGGCCACCTCGTGGCAAGACTCGCCAAAGCGGAAGGGGAAGGAGGACGAGATAGATCGTCAGTCGAGGGATGAAGATAGGGAAGGAGGTGTACATCTTCGGGAAGCCGAAGCCGAAGCGCCCATGGGCGACAAGAAGGCGGGGAATGGAGAACAGACCAACGGTCAAGAGGGAGGAGGTCAGCCGAAGAAGAAAAAGAAAAAGAAGAAGGATAAGAAAGGAGGATTAGAGCTCAGTAGATCGACAACAGACCTGAGCGGAATAAGAGAAAAGGCTGACACCATTGATCGAAAGAAGTCAAAGAAGAGAAACACTCGGTCGATCGCAAGGGTATGCTCAGAGGCCACACTCACTGGTGCCCCGGCGAAGGGGGGCGCTGCCGACAAGATGCGCGTCTACGAGTGCTCCCTCTTCCGTTCCTCCAACGCCTGCTCACCAAGAGCAGTGACGGGCTCCTCGCAATCTAAAGTCCCCCCAGAGATTAATTCGTCTGCCTCGGAAGAAGAGGGAGCACCTTTCCCCGTGGGGGGCGCAGAAGATCAGCACCGAGCATCCAACGCTGCCATGCTAGCTTCGACCACGGGTGAGTCCCAGTGGGGAGAAGACGCAGGAACGTCAACGAGCGGGGAGGGAGACCAGCTGCTCTCCGCCGACGAGCCACCGGAGGAGGGGCCGGGTTCTCGCCAGCCAAGCACCAGCCGCGATGAAGACGCCACGCCGGACGAGCAGCAGCTCAACGAGGTACGTGTATCGTGACCCACCATGTTCGAACTCATCGGTGTAATGCTCACTCGGGCAACCTTTGCAGACCTTGATGAAGGTGCAACGACTGCTGACGGTGCTCATGGACGAAGACCAGTCCATGAGCAAGCCCGCGGCATTCACCGGCCTGTTGGAGATCGGACTCGAGTATTGCTCTCTTTCGCGAGCGCCGTCTTTCCCGCGGTCGCAGTTCATGGCGTGGTACGTGGTGTCTCCCCGTGTTCTCTTGCGGCCCCGATTCCCTTCTGAAGACCGCTGACCCTCATGTCCCTCACGCTCGCAGTATGCGGGTATACATGCTCCATTCGTCGCGCAATGTGCGATCGACGGCGCTGTACTGTATGCACATGTTCGTGAGAGATGTATCACTTCTCGAGGTATTGATTGACAACAGCTTGCACTACCTGATCGCACAGTACAGTCTCCTTCAATCTCTGAACGCTTGCCATACATGAAGACTCTTGCTCACCTTTCATCATTACGTAGATCCCTGGAACGAGAACAGGGCGGCACAATGGAGCGGATGCAAGCAATCAAGCTTGTCCGTACCATTTGCACAGTCAGCCCCGCGCTGATGCCACGATGCCTCGTCCAGGTCAGCCCCTCTTGGTCTCTCAATTGCTTTTACCAGTTCTGGAATTGACTGAGTTGACACTTGGACACGTCAGGCGCTCGTCGCCATCGCGAGCGAGGAAGCAGACATGCTCTGCTCTTCGTGCTTGTTGGCCTTGGCCGAAATAGGTTTGGCACACCTTCACTTTCTCTGGCCAGTGCTTTGTCATCTCTTTATCATGTCTCACAAGTGTTTGGTGTATTGGACAGCGATCGGCAACACGAGTATTGTGGCGTTGTGCAACGGAATACCCGTCCTAATCTCGGCTGCCGTGTCCCCCTTACACACAGTACTCGCTCCTCTCCCTCTCTGCCTTATCGGCCATGCTGCCACTTAACGCTAGTGCCTTGTCCTTGTCTTTCCTTTCCCAGGACATACGTCAGCCTCTTGTTATGTGCCTGCTGTACTTATTAAACGAATCCAAAACTCGTCGATACATTCGACCACAGGCCGACATTCGGGTGCGTTCTAACGGCCTGACAATGACTTTGCATTTGGTGATACATGCTGACTCCCTTTTGGCTGGTTCTCTCTCCTCTGTGACTACAGCTACTCTTTACTCCCTTGACCGACACATTCCACTTGCCGAAGGCGGGATATCCGCCCGAGCAGTCTGCCGTGTGGGACGCCTGCATAAAGACGCTATGCGTAATGCTCAAGAGGTTCGCACACCTTGGTCGCTGAGTAACAACGGGGCCGTGCTGACTTCCCCTTTTCTCTGATTCTCAGCTGGACGGGCGTTATATACCTCGCCTCCGATCAGCAGGGGCTCAAGACCTTTGTTGACGCCCTCAGGCTTCCTCATCCTGAGTTACATGTATGCACCCCGCATCCCCCAATTACGCCTTCGTGCCGTGCCATGGCGTGATCCCTCACTAAGTTGGTTACGTTCCAGGAACTCATTTTGGATGCGCTGAACTTGCTATTCCGCATTCCCCGATCGGCCATGACTCTTTCACGGGGCTTCGGCAGGCGCGGTTCTCCATCGGAAAGGTGCGCTTCGTGTGTGGCCACCAACAGCCCTGACGGGGATGCTGACATTTTTTTGGGCCGCAGCCACGCAGAGCAATCTTCAGAGGAAGCGCAAAGGGCGAACCTGATCGACAACTACCTCTCCGCACTTCTCATGGCCTTCATCAGCTGCGGTCTTCTCGAAGTATGCTTCCAGTGTTTTGCGTTGCTATTGCTCAGTTACTCATTCCATGTGTGGCCAACACATTCGTCAAACAAGGTGCTGGTAGAGCTGGGCAAGACCCAGGACAGTAGCGCGCGGAAGCTGGACGAGAAAGCGCTGATGCTGCTGGGCGAGATACTGCATCTTTCAGACATCCTGATGCCTGCCTCTCAGTGCGCCAACATCCAGGTAACGTGCGATGTATCGTTCGTGTATTGTGAGTCGATGCTGATTCCCTCCTCCCATCTGTAGGCGCTACCAACGTTGATCATATCAGCCGTGTCGTTTAATCGGAAGAACGGGGTCTGGTGCGTGGCGTCAGAGATGGTCAACTCGCTTCACCAGTACTCCAATACCAGGTCCGCTTGCGACAATACTCATCCCCTTGACTTGACGCAACGTCGCGACTGATCGCTGCCGACCAATCGACAGGGTGGAAGAGGACTCAATGGATGCCCTCGATTCGCAGCCCTTAACACAAAGCTGGCGCCGCTCCCAGGTAAGCGGCTCCTTTGGATAACTCCTCAATAGTGGCTCTTTGCTTACTTCCTTTCTCCAAAAGAAGAAGGACAGGCGTCTGGACCGAATCGACGGCATCAAGAGGAAAATGGACTGGGACATGGACACCCGCCAGCTGCTCGCCAAGCTACAGAATTCGGGGGTGCGTGATCACTGTTCTGTCCACCTGCTCCGCGGCAGTACCTGACCCTGGTTCACAGGTCCTGGCCACAAAGGAGTACACAAAGTGGGCATGGGACACGATCTCTGAAGTCTTGGAAGGCCCACTAAGGTACTATTAGCTTAGCGCCCTGCGCTTATTCTTTCCTTCTTCGTGCAACATGTGGCTAACACTAACGATGCGTCACGCTCAACAGGAATCCTGTACATACCGAGTATACAAAGACGAAAACCAATTTTTTCGAGCGGCTGCTCACCTTCTTCCGACCCTCCTCCTGCCAGTTCTCCACTCTGCCCTGGTCGCATGTACGCCTTCTCCTCACACGATATTCTCCTCCTTTGCACTAGCTCAAAGTTCAACGTTCCCTCCCCCTCAGGACAACCACCAAAAGTATGTCCGGGTTGCGTGCCAAACGCTTGAGGTACTTCCACCCTGCGCACACATCCTGACTGGGCTGGCCATCGAGCTAACTTCTATGATTAGATCTTGCTCAAGCCCGAGGTGCCCGACAACATCGGGGTGAAGTTTTTGAAGTCGGACCCGCTCTTTTCCGAGATCTCTGCCATTCTCCAGGCGGTCGCCGAGAAGGTTCGACGTTTGTTCTCTTCTTTGCACGAGTGACCGGCCACGGAACGCTGGTGTTGGTTGGGTTGGTTGGGTTGGTTGGGTTGGTTGGGTTGGTTGGGTTGGTTGGGTTGGTTGGGTTGGTTGGTTGGTTGGTTTTTTCGTTGCTCATCTGTGTCTCCACGCCAACCAACAGATTCCGGACGACCCCCTTGGCGCGCTGTTGCTCACGGACCCTCCCTGCAGCAACATGACTTGTGAATATTTTGCGCTCATCGGAACGTTGTCCTCTACCCACGAAGGTAATCCCACCCTCTCTCGACGACTAAGAACAGATCGACGGCAGCACGGATAACAACCACTGATCTGACACGACGCGCGTCTCACCGCAGGTCTCGAATTTTTGAGGAGCACCAAGATCTTCAATTGGCTGAGAACGCTCTCGGAACAGCAAGGCCAGGACCAGCTGCGAAAGCGCGTGCTAACGTGCTTGGACTACAACATGCCGACGGGGCCAGCTCGTCCATTACTGAGAGGCTGCCTCCGTTCCCGCTCAATGGTGCCCCCTTTCCTCTGCGACCCCATTCCTTTCCGTCGCCCGCCACTCACATCACGTGTACGATTGGCGAAAGGTGGTACGAGCGCTGGCCACCAAGCACATGCGCACGCTGCTCCGTGCCGGAGTGTCGAACTTCAGCGTGTGGGCCATCGACTTTCTTGTCGAACGGGTACGTTGGCCCTTCAGTCACCCTCGAGAAATCCTCTGTTGATGTGCTTTCTTCCTTTTCGCGTTGCTAGCTGTCGGATCAGGACCGACAGGTCACCCACGAAGCCCTCAGCGTGCTGGACGAAGCCAGCGATAACTTCGAATGCCTGGTACGTCGCTCTCCTCTCAATCCCTATTCGCTTCGCCCTACGCGCGCTCAATCTCTGACATTTTGCTGTGGCCTCACTGTGTGTCGCCGTACAGAAATCGTTCATCGAAAAGAAGCCGCAGGCCCTGAAGAAGCTCGGCAAAGAGGGCAAAAACATGATGATACGGTACCGAGAGCTGCTATCTCTATTCTCCAAGGCTGTTGCGCGGACCCTCACTCGGCTTGAGCAGATTTTTGTCGATTGAAGCGGGATTCGACTACCTGGAGGAGATCAACTTTATCGGACCGGAAGTGGAGCTGTGGCGCGCCTCACTGGTCCGACCTCTCCCTCCCCCTCCGTCTCTCCCACTTCCATCTGTGCGGGGCTCAACGTGCTCACCAACTCGGGCGCACTCTTCAGAATATTCAATACGCAATCGACATTGAGGCCGACCTCGACGAAGCCTTCTCGGAGAATGTTTACTCGAACGGCGGGTGAGTTCTTCTTCCGTTCTAGTGTGACTAGCCGGGATCTGACCACTTCCTTCGCCCACGATGCGCGATTACAGGAAGAAATCGGTCATCCCTCCGCCGCACATGTACGGCGCATTGGCCAAGACCGAAAAGGGCTGCGCGTACACTCCCCTCCACTGCTGGCACCATCTTGCGGTCTTGTGCTCGAGTGCGCACGCGCTGCTAACTTTGATTTGGTTCGGCGTCTGACCATCAGGTTCCTTCGTAACGGCCGATACCTCGACGAAGTGTGGGCTACGCTGACCAACGAATCCGTATCTCCGCTCGAGAGAAGAGCCGCTCTCTGGGCCGTGGGTCATGTGGGCGAGTCCGAGACCGGGCTGGCTTTCCTGGAGGAACTCAACGCCATTGGCTATATTGCCAACCTGGCCGTTACGGTCGACAACCTGGCTCTCCGAGGGTACATTTCCTCCCTTACTCTCCCTGCGCTGTGTAGCCCCCACCAATGGCACACGGCCCTTACCACCTTTGTCTGCTTTGTCGGCGCGCGTACAGGACGTGCTTCTACGTGCTGGGCTTGCTCTCTCGCACAGAGCGGGGCAAGCAGGTCTTGAGCACCCTTGGCTGGGAGACGCCGCGCACGAGGAAGACCAACACGATCTGCATGCCCAAGGACATCACGTCGCGCTGCCTTTTGCAGGTACCTGTTCTTGGCCCTCGTCCTTCCCGTTGTCATTGTGCTGCGCATGATTCTGAGCACCTACGTATTTGCGGCGGTTGCGATTTGTAGGTCAAGGAGTGCGTCTATCAGGGCTCGTGGGCTGTGTTGTGCGCGAACCATCTGGTGTGTCGCTACAAGCTGAGCGATCAGCGCCACGGAATAATCACCCAGATCTGTAACCTGGGCAGCGGTCTCACCTACAAGGGCGCCGCCCAAACGCTTAAAAGGTGCTCCCGCCCCCTCCACTCTGAGACGCATTCATGATGACGATCAGTCAGTCAGCTGAGCGTATACTGATCGTTCGTGTCATGCTTGAAACTAGGCTGCGGATGAAGAGCCCCGAGATGTTCTTCTCGCATTCGCTGGTGGCCAACGTATACCGCTTGCTCGAAACCTACCGCTTCTCCCTCGCCGCGCGGCGCTTCGTGTACGGCCTCATCGATGGCTCCGCTCACACGCCTGGCTACTGGCAGTCCATGTACGGCGACGACCATCTCCCTTTGCCTTGCCCACGCCTTACCTGCCTTCTTCTTCTTCTTCATTCGCCTCTCTGCAGTCACCGGTACCTTGCCGGCAGCGCTGCGGCAACGCGAGCGCAAGCGGATGGCGTGTTGACGCGACCGACGGGCGACCCACACCACCAGGCCACCGACGACGCTCACTCTGCCTAAGAGCCAAGACACCACTTAAACAACTGCGCATATTTCCACCACAACCACAGATGAGGTGTTGTGGCTAGGCCTCCTTCTTGAGCGTGGATGAAGAAGACTTTCCCGCGCTGGTGAAGAAGCTGTCGATGCGGCCCTGCACTGGTTGGGGCTTGCGGCCGGCCTTCAGGGTTGCGATGCCCTTGCGCACACGCTCCTCGTTGAATCCCTTTTCGGCCACCAGGTACTCCAGCAGGCCCTCCTCGTCAGGGCTGCCCCACTGGAGCTCGACCTCGTCTCCCGGAATGACCTACGCCCCATTCACAATCCGTATCAAGTCACGCACACGCACACGCACACGCACACGCACGCACGCCACACGCACGCGCGGTGTGGGGTGGATGAGGTACGTTGGGGTGCTTGAAGAGTTCGCGGGTGGCTTCGAAGGGGAACTGGTCGGGTAGCGGATTCTTGGCCTTGTCCAGGTTCTTGATGACCTGCTCGACCGAGCCGTGCTGTTTGATCAACGCCAGAGCCCTCTTAGGTCCGACCCCTGCGTGGGCGGTGGTGCCGTCAGTCCAACCGTCCGCACGCGCGCGTGTGCCACGTCGCCTGGACATCGCACCTCGAATCGTGTCGCAGTAGTCGCAGCCGGCGAGGATACACAGATCGATGAACTGCTCCATCGTCAAGCCCAGGCCCTCCAGCACTGGTGGTGTGCGCTCGATTGGTGAGTGAGCGAGAGAGCGAGTGCGCACACGCCTCCGCGGCGATGAGGGCACACGCACGCACCCTTGGGGAGCTCGATCTCGACGATGGGCAGCTTGCGCGCCTCGGAAAAGGTGAGGTGGCGCAGGAGGACCGGCGCCCCAAAGGTCAGCGCGTCCATGTCCTCCGAGCCCACGGCGAAGACCTTGCCCGCGCGGCACAGCTCGGCGCACTGGGCCTCGGCCTCGCCGCCGGCGGGCGCCTGGACAACGGGCATGCCCATCAGGCCCAGCAGCTTCTTGCACTCCTCGATGTGCGTCGGCGTCACGCGCACTACTCGCCTGGCGCCCGGAGGGCTGTGGGCCGCCGATTGCGGCTGCGCTGCCGCCCCAAGAGCCCGAACGGAGTCGAACACGAACGCGGGCTTGATACCGCAGGCCACCAACCGCAGCGTACGCGACCACAGGCCCATCAGATATCTGTTATAAATTATTATTATTATTTCAGCCAACAATTAGCAAATAAAATAGTTATATATTTAAAAATAAAAATGCATAAATAATGGGTGGGTACGAGGTGTCGTCGCCGGAGGGGTTGGTCAAAAAGCTGCCGCTGAGGGGGCTGAGGGCAATTAGAAAGGAGTACAGGGCGAGGGAGGCGTCAAGTGCCACCTTGCGGCCGAAGTAGCTATCCGCCCCGGTCTCCTTCAATGCCTGAGGACACGCATCGGCTATCAACTGCATCAAGCCCTTCACGCCCATCCTCGCAAGCTCCAATCTTTCTTTGGCGCACACTTCCTAGAATTTATATATATAAATATCTTTTGTCTCCTCTCCGTGATAGGCCGGTTGTGTGGGCCTGTGAGCACGCACATTCCTTCCACTAAAGTTCACAGGCCACGCACGGTGACATGGAGCGCGGAGGAGTGGAACCACTCGTAGCAGCCTTTGCCGAGCGCTTCATCTACACGCCGGCAGAAGTGGGCCATTGCGGCGGGCAGATGCAGTGGCTGCAGCTCATACACCAACGTACAGCCCATCTGCTCTCCCCACCACCAAGAGCCGAGAGAGCTCGTTAGTTGCCCGGATGATGATGATGATGATGATGATGATGGTGAAGATGATGATGTGGAAGGCGACGAGGAGGAGCTCACCCGCGGATTGCGGTAGTGGGGCGCATGGTTGCGCCCGGTGGCCACCCGTTCAATGTACCGTTCGAGCTGGTTCTCGTCGAACTCGGCCAAGACGTCATCCACCTTCTTCATCTCCTCTTCTCTGTACAGCCGCACATATGGTCAATGCGCTGGAGCGCCTGAAGCGCAGGCTGTGCGTGCGTGCGTGTGTGCGTGTGTGCTTGTGTGCATAGCCAGCGCTCAAACTACACCCAATGTCGGCCGCGGCCACGTCGCCGGTGTGGTGAAGCAGGTCGATGCGATGGGTGATGAGTCGCTTTTCGAGCGAGGCGCAGCAGTAGACCACCACCGCGAGTTGGTCCACCCGCATGGCGGGCGTGCCGCGCAAACGCAGCTCGGCGCTGCATTCGTCGCACACGCGCTTAAGAGTGCGCAGCTGGTCGAGCGTGAGCGGCGGCGAGCCTTCAGCCAGCGCGCCCAGCGTGGTCTTTGGCCACTTGCTGCCCGGGTTCTCTGGCGGCAGTTCGGGAAAGTGGTGGCCGATGTGCTGCTTGAGGTCCACCAGCGAGCAAGGGAAGCCGCGGTAGGCCAACGTCAGCACTCCGTCCCACGCCACCAGAAACGCCCACGGCCGCAGCTCAGTGCTTGCCGTCCTCCCCACCAACTCCTCCATCGTCACTGCTGTTGCTGGGAAAACGGAAAGAAAAGTCCTTTTCTTGAAGGAGTCTACAAAAAAGAAATGCCTAGAAAAACAACAAAAAGCCCCACAGCCAGGCAGAGTGGCCGGAGGAAAGCGAGATGAAGAGGCTGCTGGCGACGACGGCGCGGGGTAGATCACTGTCGGCTCGTGCTGCAGTGGCATCCGCAGGGATAGTAGATGCGTCGCGTCACGCTTTGCCGACGGGTGCGGCTGCTACCCGCCTTCTGCGGAGCAGACTCAGTGGATCATCGGGCGCTACACGACCTCAGCGACGAGGGTGGGCGACTCAGGCTGCAGCCCCCTCCACTACCTCCCAGAGCACTTCCATCGATTTCACTGGACTCAAGCGGGGTGAAGGTACGTTCATCATAAATCACACATTTTCTTTTCTTTGCGATTGCTCACGCCTTCACTCCATCCATAGAGAGGGAAAGGCCAGCTCTTGCCGCGGGCGACAAGTTGCACGGATTTCGTGTACTCAAGGTTCGTCTCCAGCCGTGCCATCGCGCTACGTGTAGGTAACAGCGACACTACGCGCACGTGATGTAGGTGGTGCCCATCCCCGAGCGCAACTTCATGACCTACCAGCTGGTGCACGAGAAGACTGGCGCTCGACTCTTCCACGTCGACTGCAGCGACACCAACAACGTCTTCTGGTTGGGCTCCTGCTCGCATCACTGGAATGGTCCATCAACTCAACCCGCTAGTACTCATGCCGCTTTACTTCTCTTTGGGCAGTGTCACGTTCAAAACGGTGCCGACGGACTCGACGGGCGTGGCCCACATTTTGGAGCACACGACACTCTGTGGCTCGGAGAAGTATCCCGTGCGGGATCCCTTCTTCAACATGCTCAAGCGTAGCTTGAACACCTACATGAACGCTTACACGGGTATGGTCCCTAAACCCTTCGACACGAAGCGTGACGCTAACATGACTCGCTTTATAATTGAAATGAACAGCGCCGGATCACACGTCGTATCCCTTCTCGACACAAAACGTGAAGGACTACTACAACCTCTTGTCCGTGTACCTCGATGCCACGTTCTTCCCCAAGCTGGAGCCTTTCGATTTCATGCAGGAGGGCCACAGGCTCGAATTCGAGAAGATCGACGGTACGCCCATTGCAAACCGAGGAATGTGCCAGTCCCCTCTGACTCATACCTTATCTATTGGCGATTCGCATCAATTAGATCCTTCGTCGGCGCTCAAGTTCAAGGGTGTGGTGTACAACGAGATGAAGGGCGCCATGGTACGCTCTGTCTGTGTGACCATTTTTTGCTTTCGCTTTTCTTGGGCTGTGCTCACAGTAGTCGTGTGTGTGTCCCGATTAGTCCGAGGGAGACTCGATCTTTTACCAGGCGCTGCATTCGAACCTCTTTTCGAAGACCACCTACAAGAACAACTCTGGCGGCGAGCCCAAGGCCATACCGGACCTGACCTACGACCAGCTGATCGAGTTCCATCGAAGCCACTACCACCCGTCCAACGCCTGGTGCGCATAGCTCCTGCGTTTTTGTGTTTCCTGAATGACAGCCTCCTCGCTGTGTTATCTGCCTAATCACACCATCTTATGAAACATAAGGTTCTACACGTATGGCGATCTCTCGTTGGAGCACCGTTTGCAGCAAATCAACGAGAATGTGTTGTCGCGCTTCTCTCAAATCGACCCGGGCACGGATCTTCCCGACGAAGTCCGCTTGACGCAGCCCAAGCGGGTGGAGGCTGTGTATCCGCCTGTCGGTACGCTCGCAACCATCATTCCATTCACTCTCTTAGGGTATAGGGAGCATGATCTGATGACTTCTTCTGTTCTGTTATTCTGCGTGGCGTGTACAGCTGGATCGGACCCGAAGCGACAGGAGAAGTTCACGGTGGCCTGGCTCACCAACAAGACCACGGATCCGTTCGAGAACATGAGCATGAACCTGCTCTCCCGCCTGCTGCTGAATGGACCCAACGCTCCGATGTACAAAGTGTTGATCGACACCAACATTGGTAAGCCCTCTCGTAGCGGCTAGTGTTCCAGCTCCCATCACCATGCCTGCCCAACTAACGGCTAATGCACACATGCGCTGCCTCAGGTCTCGACTACGCACCGTCAACCGGCTACGACTCTGGCGCTAGAGAGGCGCCGTTTGCCATCGGGTTGAGCGGGATGAATGAAAAGGACGTGCCCAAGGTACCGTCCCACTTCTCGGTTCTTCTTGGACAAGACAACTTGAGGCCGAGAACCGGTTCACCTAACCTTTCTGTGACGTGTGGTTCAGGTGGAAGAGGGCATTATGTCCACGCTCAAGCAAGTGGCCGCTGAGGGGTTCCCCGAGGAGCGCATTCAGTCCGTACTTCATCAGATCGAGCTGTCCCAGAAGCACGTACGCCGCCCATCTCTGCCCAGAGATGTGACCATAGAGCACTCACTCTACAATCACTCGCTTTCTCAGGTGACCACTGACTTTGGCATGAGCGTCGGGCACGCGATCAACTACACGTGGATTCACGGCGCTGATCCGGCCGAAGTCCTTTCCGTCAACAAGGTAGGTTATCACCGCAGCCCACGCATTTCACTCCGCTACGAAGGTCCATGTGCTCACCTCTTCTGTTAATCGCATCCACAGAAAATCGAGCGTCTGAAGCAGGAGCTGGAGGCTGGCCCCTACTTCCAACACAAGGTGAAACAATATTTCCTGGACAATCCCCACATGGTCTCCCTCCTGATGAAGCCCGGTAACGTGCCAATCCCGCCCGTCATTCCTCACTTTCGCTTCGTACTTACCCGACGCCGATGTGTCGTTGGGCTGCGCAGACGAGAAGTATCTGGAGAAGCTGGACAAGGAGGAGCAGGCCAGGCTGGAGAAGATCCGGGCCTCCCTGTCCCAGGCGGAGATCGACGACATCATCGCGAAGGCCAAGTTCCTGAAAGAGCGGCAAGAGCAGCAGCAGAGTGCGCTTTCCTTTTGGGAAGCCCACTTTACAAATTTGAAGCGCCCACGACTCACTCGCAACGCCCCATCTGTACGTCTGCAGATGTGTCGATTCTGCCTACGCTTCACGTTTCGGATGTGCCCAGGGAAGCGCCCAACAAGGACACCCGGTTCGAACGAAAGACGATTCCTCTGGCGCACTCGGCCCACCAGGTACCCGACCCGACTTTGCGGCGCAGCTGCCTGGAACGTTGGCCAGGGTCTCACGCACCGCACCGACCGTGTGTGTCATGTGTTGCCGCTCCAGATCCCTCTGTTGTCGGTGCCGCAGCCGACGAACGGGCTGACCTACTTCCGGGGCATGGCCTCGCTCAACTCACTCCCGAGCGATCTGGTGCCCTACGTGCCCCTCTTCTGCAGCGCCATGGCCAGCATGGGCGCCGGCAGCATGGACTACCGTCAGCTCGCGCAGAAGATCGAGTCGCACACGGGCGGCATCGAGTTCTCGCCCGTCTGCTCGACCCACCATTCCGGTACGCGCCTGACCGCCCGCGCCTGTGCTGTTGTGTTGGATTTTTTCTGTCGACTAATCAGCACCATAACATCACATAATAGACCTTTCGAAGTTCCGGGCGGGCATCTACGTGTCGTCGTTCTGCCTGGACAGGAACCTGGACCACATGTTTGAGCTGCTGCACACGGTCCTCTCGGCGCCCAGGTTCGAGGACGTGGAGCGGCTCAAGTCGATCATCTACGGCAACACGTCCGACATGCAGGAGTCGCTCGTCGAGTCCGGCCACTCCTACGCCCGCAGCCTCGCCGCCTCCGTCTTCTCGCGAGCAAGCGTACGCCTTCACCAACCCTTACTGACACGACCAACGACACGACACGACGCAACTCACGTGTTCTATCACAGGCCCTACACGAAACGTGGTCGGGCATCTCCCAGGTCACGCTAATGCAGCAGCTGGCCCAGAGCGAGGACGTCTCGACCGTCATCCCGCACCTCAAGGCCATCGCTGAACACGTGCTCGACGCGTCGCTCATGCGGTGCAGCATCGTGGGCGAGGAGGGGTCGCTCCCCCAGGCCGAGCAGAAGCTCACCCATCTCCTCGGTGGCCTCAAGTCTTCGTCGTCCGCCCAACCGACCGCCGCCGCTGACTACCGGGTACCCACTTGCCCACCCACCCCACCATCGATGGTATGCTAGTTCCGCCTATTCACCGCCGAGCGTCGTGTGTCGTGTCGTGTCTGGTTTTTGTCGTGCGCAGGAGTCGGAGTACGCGCCTCTGTCGCGCCCGCACCGCTTGTTCGTGCCCATCCCGGCCCAGGTCAACTTCGTGTCGCAGATCCTGCCGACCGTGCCCTTCACTCACCCCGACTTCCCCAAGCTCAAGGTAGATCCTCCACTACACATCTTCTTCTTGCTCCTCGGTCGCTGACCCATCAAAATGCGTGCAATGAAACACAGGCCCTGTCGAGCCTGGTGTCGTCGTCGTATCTGCACCCGGAGATCAGGGAGAAGGGCGGTGCCTACGGCAGCGGAGCGATGAGCGGCGAAGGCCTCTGGTCGTTCTATTCCTTCCGTGACCCCAACACCACCAAGTACGTCGTCGTCGTCAGCACACACGCACACACACACACAACACACTCAACACACGCGCGCGCCATCAGTGTAGTGATCGATAATGCTCACCTGTTTGTCTTTGTCTTCATTGCCGGCCGGCAGAACGTTGGACGTGTTTTCGTCGTTGCGGGAATGGATGAAGAAGGACGGCGCCTTTCAGGACAAGGACATCGACGAGGCCAAGCTCCGGCTGTTCTCCTCCATCGACCACCCCGTCGCCCCGTCCCGACAAGGTTAACAACCATGAATTATGAGAAGAAGAAGAAGAAGAAGCTGACGAATCGTTGTGAATGTGTGTGTGTAGGAGCGCTGGAGTTCACGAGCGGGATCACGTGGGAGATGAGGCAGAAGAACAGGGAGGGTATCCTTGACGCCACCCGGAAGGACCTCATCGAGATGGCTGAGAAGTACCTCGTGCCCGCCACCTCGTCCACGTCGCAGGTCCGTCCCTTTCGCGCCATTCGGCTTCGCTCTCTTGCTGTTGGCTGACTGCTTGTTCGTGTGTGTGTGTGTGTGTGTTGTCAGGATGGTGGCCGGTACCCTTCGATCGCAATTCTGGGCAACACCGCCCACAACCCCTTCACCGCCGAGGAGACCCTCAACCTGGGGCTCAACAACAGCAACGCGGGCATCATCGAAGAGGGCGACGAGGGGAGCGACGATGACGACAGCGATAACGACGAGGAACACGGCCAACGCGCATGAACCTGATGAGCGCTCAAGGCACGATAATGATTTAGCTATAGACAGTACAAACTTACATCCCTCCACGGCTGCTACCGCAGCCCTCATTCTTCAACTCTTCGTCTCTTGCCCTTGCGCTCCTCGGCGAGCTTTGCCTTTGGTTGATGAGAACGGACGGTGAGCAGAGATCGTTCCTGGTGGGGAGTGGGTCTTTGTGCGTACCTTGACCCGGGCTTGCACCTGCCTCATCTCTAGGTTCGCAAAAGGAGACCTACAGCGCGGACACCTGTTGGCGATGGCTCGGTATTCTGTGCACAACACACACACAACAACAACAACAACACACGACACGATCAGAAAGTGGCCATGGCTAGTTGTGAGAGTTGATGGTATGCGCACGTATGCAATTGGCCACACATTGGAGGTGAAACGTGTGAGAGCAATGCAGTAGAAAGAGATCGTCCTGGCTGCTGATTTCGAGCAGGCACGCACCGCAATCCGTGTCTGTTCAACGTTGTGCGTGTATGTGCAAGTTAACACAGATCTGCGTAGACGACGAGCAAGAGTAATAGTCGAAGAGTACCATTGAAGATCCGCTTGGGCTCTCTCGCTTTTCGACGCTTGCGCTTGTGGGGACGTCGGTTTTTGTGCGCAGCTGTGGAACTCTTGCTCTCTTCGTTCTCATCCACGGCCAGCTTTCGGTGTTCCTGTTCGTGTCGATGAAGGTGGGAAGTGAGAACACATACACACAGGCCAGCACTAACCAGCGCAGCACCAGTAAGCGGCGTTGTTACCCAAGGAATGGCATGGGCGCAGGTATCGTCCACATCACACAGCTCGTAGTCGTCGAGAGCATCATCGCCACCGCCTTCACCTGCGCCAGTCTCCGTTGCCTCTTCGCAAGGATTCTTAAGAAGATGTTCGAATCAGATCTGTGCCTGCTACAAGATCGGTCGGGTTGTGGGAGGGGCGTACTGCTGGGTCGGCCAGCTCATCGATGAGCTTTACGTCGTCGAAGAGATCTTCAGCCTGCAGGAGCCACAACTCTCGTCGGTGGTGCCGCTCAGCCTCAACCTGTTGCGATGGCACCGGTGCTCTACTTGGCCTTTGCATCTTTCATTAAGTTGGTGATCATTCGCCGCTCTACCTCGTGCTTGCCTCTTCCTGCCTTGCTTTTTCCCGCGCTTTTGGTTTCTTTTATTTCTTGTAGTTTTCCTTTTGCGAATAACAAAAAAGAAAAAAAGAGAAAACAACAGCAGATGAGCGCACGAGCTGCCAAGCGGAAGCGGACCACGTCGCAAGGCGGGGGCGGCAAGGCGGGTGGAGGGAAGACGCAGCGAGGACCGAAGGGCACATCTTCGGAATCGCCTGCTCAGGGGCCTGCCGCGAGCAAGGAAGGCGGGACTGAGAGCGGCCCGGTCTTCCCGCTCACCATCCCTCGGCCCCTCATGCGACTGGTGTACAAAGAACAGGAGCTCATCGAACAAGAGAAGCAGGTCCATACCCCCGCGTTTTCTCTTTTTGCTTTCTCTACTCACCCTGCGGTGTGCCCCAGTTGGTTCAGCTGCCGCGCGAGCCCAATGTAAACAAGATTTTGGATGACTACCTCAAGACGCTGCCACCAGACGAGGACACAACCGAGGGAGAAAGGTACCATTAGACGTTGATTAATTTTTACATATCGCCATCTGCGAGGATGAAAGAGCGTCCCTTTTTCTTTCCCACCACCACGCTTGGACCTGCTTTTTGCGCCCTCCTTGTGGTGTTGATGTTGCCCACAAGGCGCTTGAGGGACACTCTGCCTGCAGGCCACGCCCCAGCCATGGCTGGTCTGCAGGCACGAAACGGCCCAAGACCATACTACCATACTTTACAGCTAGCTATCCCAGAGAGCCATGGAAGCCTGAACGCGCTTCACGTGGGCTTATGCAAGCTGACATTCCTCCCCACTCCCTTTCTTTTACACCGTGTGCAAGTGGTGCTTAGCCTGCATTCATTATTGGCTTCTCTCTCGTGCAGTGGAGCGGAGCAGCTCTGGGACGAAGTGGTGGAAGGCATCCGACACTACTTCAACAAGTCCCTCGGATGTCTCCTGCTCTATGGGCCGGAACGGTACGTGTACCGTGATGTGATCATGATACCCTTACTCCTCTACACCATAATCGCTAATCTCGACGATGGCGATGCATCATCACAGAGCGCAGTACAATGAACTCCGACGCAAGAACAAGAACGTCCTCGTAGCCGACGTCTACGGCGCCGAGCACTTGCTACGCTTGTTTGGTACCACAGAGCCACATGATACTGCTGGTCTAGTGTGGGCCTTTTAACTCTTTTGCTGCTGACGGTGATTGTGCGCGACGGTGATGCAGTAAAATTTCCAGACTTGCTGGAGAAGGCAGAGATGGAGGAGGAGGCGCGAGTCCTCATCCGCACCAAGATGGAACGATTTCTTGCCCACATGAACAGCAACAAGAAATCCCTCTTCACCGCTGAGTACCAGGCAGTGCGTATTGCTCTCCCCAACAAACACGCAAAACGAAATGGCCACCTCGCGCCTCACACCGCAATCTGTCATGTGCGTCGCGTCGTGCGTGGCATCAGGCGGGACGACGCAGCGAGAGATAGCCCCTAGACCTCCATCTGCACGTACCGCCAAGCTTTTGTATGCTACCACTCCATCTCTCCAATCACACAAAACCTTTTAAAGCGCGTACTCGTGTGGTGAATGAAGGGGCCTTCCTCCTCTTCGCCATTGCACACTTCAACAATTTTATTAATTGTTATTATTGTTATAATTACTTATATTATCGCTTATTATTTGTTATTTGGCTTTTTGGTTTGCGGGACGCTCTCCAAATAAGGGCATGCTTTGCCTGAACTTGACCTGTCTTTGTCAAGCCAACACAAGAAGGACTAAAGTCGAGACGCAACACAACAAGCAAGGGAGAGATTGAGGATTTTTGAATTTGCTATTTTATTTTGCTTCTTGTCTGTTGATCGAGATGGACCGGATCAAGAACAGCGTGAAGCACATAGCTGCCATTTCCAAGGTATGCCGGCCTCCCACCTCCCGCCAATCTTCAATCAGGAACCGCGGTTCGCGGTCTGCTGGGCGTTGACGGTTGGCACGGTGGGCGACGCGCAGTTCCAGCAGTTCAAGGGGGACGAGTTCCCGTGCAGGACCCCGAGTTCGATACCTACCGAGACAAGCTTGAGGTCCAGATCAAGCAGGTGGACCAAATGCAAAAGTGCCTGGGCTCCTTTTACACCAGCCTCCTCGGTACAACACGTTACGACACACCAACGACACGACACGACACGACACGACACGACACGACACGACACATGGCACACGACACGACACACGGTTGTCGGCCTGAAGGTGGGTGCATTATTTAATATTTAATAGGGCTGGCGCAGTCGACGCTGGAGATGGGGGAAAGCCTGGAGACGTTCTACGGGGACGGAAACGGCCGCGAGGTGGCCGCCAAGTTCCTCCTCACCCAACTCAAGCTCAAAATGTGCTCCGAGGACTTGAGCGTACGCCACCGCCTCCACCGCAATCATAACTGTGTGTGCGTGTGTGCGTGTGTGTGCGTTGCTGTGTGTGTGTGTGTTGCGCCGAGTGATGCGCAGCTGCAGCTGAACGAATTGTGAGTGGCGCGTTGGGTCGTATACAGGAGGGCACACAGCAGGCGAACGAATCCTGGGCTCAGTACCGCGAGCGTTTAGTGGGCATGCGCGTACGCGACATAACAACCGCCGCCGCCACCACCACCACAGGCCAACTCATCATCCACTCACACACACATTTTTGGCCGATGCAGGGCAAGGTGGCAGTTCGGGACGAGATGGTGGGGACGCTGCACAAGGCCAGCATTCTCGTGGAGAAACGACGGCGCAAGTACGAAGCGAGCAAGGACAGAAAGCTAGAACGTCTGGCCAAGTTTGACCAGGTGCGACACAAACAACACAAACACACACACACACACACACATCTGCTCGGGGGCTTGGCCCAACGACTTGGCGTTTTTCGACGGGTCGTGCGGAAAATAGGGGTCCGTTGTGTGTTTTTGTGTTTGTGTGTTTGTGTGTGTTTGTGTTGTGTGTTTTGTGTTTGTGTGCACACACACACACACACACACACACACACGCACACGAATTACTTACCGTGGTGCTGCGTTTGTGGTCCCTGTGCAGACGGTGGCTGCGCGAGACGCGCTACGGGCGGAATTCGAGGAGAAGAACGCGGACCTCAAGCTGGAGCTGATGGACCTCGACCTCAACCGAGCCCTACACGTCGAGTCCATCGTCAAAAAGGTGCGTGTGGCATGCGGTAGTGCGTGCGCGGTTGGGTGTGTGTCATGACGGTTGGCTGGGTGGCTGGGCGCTGTGTGTGCAGATGATGGACGACCAAATGGAGTTCCTGGCGCACGTGTCGGAAGGGTGCGAGCTCCTGGACCAGGCGACGGCGATCAAAACCGTCCGCGTCATCCCCGTACCCACCCCACTGGCCATCGACGCCAACAAGAAGAGCGAGGACGACGAGCGAGAGCAGATCTCCAGCGGTACACACACACACATGCACGCACACGCACAACCCGTAACCGCACACGCTATCATGATGTCTGTGTGCAGGTGGGCTCTACGTGGCCAAGGAGCCGAGGAGCCCAAGCATCGCGAGACATGACCCGCTGTCGCCCTCCAGTCCCACCACCCCCTTGAGCGGCAGCGGCAGCTCACACCCCCTCTCCCTGTCCACGGTACCGCGGCTTTCTCATCTTCGCGGCCCTGTTCAGCGAAGCCATTAACGCGCTGCGGCCCTCCACACACACGACGCACCACGCACACACACACACACACACACACGTGAGCAACACACACTACCACATCACACACACACACACACACAACACACACACACACACACACAATATGTTCTTTAGGGCTCGGCCCCACCGGTCCCGATGAAGCCGAAGCGGACCGGCCCTGAGCCCATCGCTGAACCGCAGCGACGCGGGAGGTACCCTCTACTCACCCTCCCCCCTCCCGTGTCGAGCTCTGACTGGGTGCCCCGCCCACGGTACAGCGCCTGCCCCAAGCCGCTCCCGAGGCTGCCCCCGGTCCCTTCGCCGGCGAGTGGCGGTGCGGCAACGCTGGTGGTCGAGCCGGAGCCGATTTTGGTGCCCGTCCAGGCGCCGGACCAGCATCTGGCCGACCCGATCGTCACCACGCCCAGCCTCTCCTCCTCCTCGGACCCATTCGCTAGCCACCATGCGCCCAGGGCCGCCATCTCGCCCACCCCAGGTATCCCTACGACACACAAGCAACATGCAACACACAGTGCGACACACAACGCGACACAACACCACACGATGTCGCTGATTGTGTTGGCTCGATAGGTCGCAAGGCGCTGCCCGGGCTGCCGAGTTTGCCCGAAGCCTCGCCGCCTGGTGCCTCTACAGAGCCCGGCCTCAGCGGCAGTGGCTCGGCGCGGCGACCAGGAGGACCACCGCCCGCGATGGGCAGCAAGCCCCTGCCGCCCGCCAAGCCTCAGCCCAGCCCTCAAGGCCTCAGTGGCAGCGGCAGCAAGATCCTGCCCGTCCCGCCGCCCAAGCCCTCCGCGCTGTCGCCAGCAGCGCCACCAGCGACCACTCCCGACATCGCCCCCGTAGCCACTCCCGCCCCCGTCGCTGCTGCGCCCACCCCCTTTGATGACAACACCATCCTCTTCCTGGGTTGAGGTGAGTGGTTGGTGTTGCTATGTAACACCGAAATAATAATCAGCACTCTTGTTTTTGTATATTGGGCCGTGCGAGGGTGGGTCATGAGGTGGTGCCTACGGCGTCCATGGCCGAAGCGGCCTTGCGCACCTTGCGCAGCAGGTGCGCCTCCAGCGAGTGCTTGAGCTTTGCCTTTAGCACCTGTGGTCGGGTATGAGGCGGGTGCACGCGTGTGCGTCGTATGTGTGCGGTGGTGCGCGTGCGGTGTGTGGGCGCGTACGGTGTAGTGGTCGAGGATGAAGGCCATGCAGAAGGCGAAGAGGTTGTCCACGTTGAGCGCGTGCGCCTTGGTGAGGAACAGAGCCACGTTGTCGACCGTCACGCACCGCGTGGCGAGCCACCCGCTCAGGCTCCGCAGATGCTCCAGCCCAAACCCATTCGCCACCAGCATCAGCCCGATCAACACCTGCTCCCGTTCGACACGACACACGCCACACACACACCACGCAGCACACACGCTAAGCTCGAGTGGACTGGGCTGACGACGCTTCGTGTGTGATGAGCGTACATGTTCGTCTGGTGGGTCGCGCAGTCGTAGCTCGCTGGTGTAGAGGTAGACCACGAGCTGGTAGAATACCTCGTATTCGATCCCGCGAATCTTCACCCTGCGCAGCCTTCGCTTCGTCGCAGCAGCCTCCCCTTCGCCTTTGTCATCCACCTCTTCTTCTTCTTCTTCCTTCGCCTTCTTCTTGCCCTTCTTCTTGTTCTTTTTCGTCGTCTTCGTCTTCGTCTTCTTTTTCTCGTTATCTGATCGAGCGGAGGTGACCGTCGTGGTCGTCGTTGGCCCCTCGATCATCTCCTTGAGCTGTTCGCACCGCGCGTAGAGGATGTTGCGGTGCGCCCGGATCTCGCGTCGCTCGCGCGAGTCGCGCTTTAGCAGTCTGTGCTCGCGCTCCTTCCCCTCGGCCCCGCGTCCGCGCCCGTCGACGTCGCTCTCGAACACGAACACCACGTCGCTGTACTCGTCGTCGTTGATGAGCCCGAAGAAGTCGTTCACGATCGTACAGGGCCGGCCCTCGCCCGTGTCTGCAGTGACCACGCCGACAACACGTGGTGAGGAATGTGTCAAGTGCGTGGCCAGGAATGTGTGGCATGGGCACATACTAAAGGCGGCGCAGTGGAGGTCGTTGGAGTTGACATTGTGGGCGTCCCTCCCGCCGAAGGCGATCACCTGGTTGCCGTAGGTGACCACCGCGTGGAAGCAGCGCCGCGGGATCCCCGCCACGTCGAGCGCCTTCCACTTTCGCTTCTCTGCGCGCGGCCCGACAGACCGTCGTCAGCCGCTCAGATTCAGCCCGAGAGGAGAGATAGAGCCCAGAGAAGAAGTACCGAAAGAGAAGGAGTAGAGCTCGCTGTGCGACGATGATATTTGCGCGCCGCCCAGCACGTACATGCGGTCGTGCATCAGGAACGCCTGTCGCACAACTTGTGCGTGAATATACGAACGCGAAACTCCACACACACACACACGTACCTTGTGACCCCAACACGGCTTCGGTACGCAGCCTTCGGTCTTGATGGACGACCACGTACGATTGCCTGCAGTGTGAGCGAGGAACTGCATGAGCATCGCACGAATGTATGTGCGCGCGTGTGCGTGTTACACAAGGGGTCGGGCCTCTGTCGCACCGAATCGGAACTCGTGGAGGTCGCTGAGGCCCGGATAGCCACCAAAGAGGTAGAGCGAGCCCTGGCGCACCACGGCGGTCATGTGGTACCTCTCCGGCGCCGTGCCCATCTGCTCTATTCGGTGCCACTCCCGCGACTCTGAGCCCAGCGCACCCCACGCGCGATCAGCAACCGGGTCTCAAGAGCGGAGAGAAGGAGGGGACTTGGGTGACTCTCTTTGGAGGGAGCGGGTACTGAAGTCGAATTCGTGGAGGTCGTTGCACTTGAGGCCAAAGTCGTCGTAGCCGCCGAAGATGTACATTCGCTCGTTGTAGACCGCCGCAACGTGGCCATACCTGCTCAGCACAGCAGCGGAGAGGAGAGAGATGATGAATGAGGGTTCATGTGACCTTCGCGATGGATTGTGCGTGTGGCGGTGAGCGGACCTCTTCGATGGCGGTGAGCCCTGCTTCTTGGCCGACGCTTTGATTGCCGTCCACACTCCACTGTCTACCAAGACACGGAGGTGAGACGGGTTCACGCTGTGGTGCGCCATGTCCTTCACCGTGTGTGCGAGGCGCGCATGATGAGAACGAACCAAAGTGGAAGCATTGCAGGTCGTCCATGTAGCCGTTGCTCTTGCCACCGAACACGTACATCGACCCGTTGTGCACCACCGCCGAGTGGAAGTGTCTGTGTAGAGAGAGAGAGAGCGCGCGCGCACGCACGTGAGGAACAGCAATGGCCGTCATGCGTCAAGGCGAAGAAGAAGAAGAAGAAGAAGTAGTAGAAGAAGTAGTGGGCATCGGCACCTGCCCTTGGGATAGTGGAGGTCGTCCTGGTCTCCGTCCTCGTCCTTGGCCTCTGCATCTTCTCCCCCGCCCAACTTACGCCACACCCGTCGCTCTGTGTAGCGAGTAGATGAAGGCATCAAGCGTGAGGTTGGCTTTTGGAGAGAACGAGTAGCGGCGGAAGTGGGTGGTGTCGAACCGAGGTGGTACTCGAAGAGCTCGTTCGAGAAGGCGCCTTGTGTGTCGCACCCTCCGAACACGAACAGCCGCCCGCCCCACTCCACAGCCGAGTGCCCATACCTGTTTAACCCTTTCAGTCCATTTATTTATTTTAAAAAAATAGATAAATAACAAATAATAAGAATAATAAATGCTTGATTCAATAGATGGGCTTACCTCTCCGAGGGACCGTCGCCAGTGGTGTCAATAACGTGAAAGGTGGTACGCCGCTGGGGTTTCCCGCCACCCTCGCCCGTGTCACCTTGCCGTGCCCCCTCCATCCAGCTGGCAACTCGAAGAAAAAGGCATTTTCTCAATTTTATTGCTCTTCTTCTTCGTGCGCGCGACCAACCAAGGAAGGTGCTCCTGGTGCATCGAGCCGGCACGAAGTAGACGGGGGGCACTTGCTGGCCCGCGGTTGATCGACGTGGGTCCGATGGCACGCGATGTCCTTGTTCGCGTGAAGAGGATCTGATTGTTGTTGGTCGTGTGCGCCGGCCACCTGACCACTCGGCATCTGCGTGCCGTCTTGCTGCTGCGTGCGTCTTCGATGCCTCTGGTGCTCTTAGTACTTGTACCTGCCTCTCGGGTCAGGCGGTCGATAGTCAGCGAACGAAACACACGCCTCCGGACCTACACGGGAGCACATCATGAGACATGATCAAGCATGATGGCAAGGCAAGAGAAGAGGTGGAAAGCACGAGACCTAGCCCAGCATCGCACAAGAGCTGCTTGCCGTCAAGCAGTCGTCGGCCTTCGTACATGAGACACTGGCGATCCCACACGTGCTTCCTGCACTTACGAGACGGCAGTCGCTGGTCAGAAGGCGAGCACGATGTAGAAGCCAGATGGTGAGGTAACGCACCAGTTGATGCGCCGAGTCGGCCCCAAGCGCTCCGCAGTCTGGTGGTCCACAACAAGCTGCAGCTGTCGCTTGAGTTCGTCCAGCATCGTCGTGTAGGTCACTACCAAGGCTGCGCAGCTCGCTAGTCAACCAATTCATACGTGCGTGAATCGAAGAGGAGGGAAGATCGCACGAATCCGCTTCCCATCATGCTTGAGAACGTAGATGCTGAATGCTTCTCCGACTTCTTGCGCAATCAGCGCATCAAGTAGCTCCACCTGCGCAGCCCACTTTCTCTTGCCTCGCCCTTCTTCCGTGAGGGCGTGGCGCAACTGGGGATAGTCGGCCAGCACGGGGTCGCTCAGGAAGTGGCCAAAAAGGACCTCCTTGGCGCTGTCAGTCAGCTGCGAGTTACGATCGTGTAGCGCCGCCACCTCCCTCTTTGCGTCTTCCATCTTTTCGGTAATGAAGAAATTGGCACTGCGTGATGTTTCAGTGTTCTATTTACTAGGCCTCCCTCCACCCTACAAAAAAATCGATTTGAATGTTCCAGTCTCTGGCAACACGGCTCGAATTAGCCTCCGATGAGAATGTTGTTGATGGGGATGTGGATCAACTTGACGAAGAAGCCGATGAAGCCCATGATCATGAAGCCGATGGCAGTGGCGATTGCGATCTTCATGAACTCTGCAAAGATGAATAAGAAGAAGTCAAAAAATGGCTTTAATCACCATGAAGCGCTTAATTTACGCACTCTACGTGTGACAATCTTTACAATGACAATTCTCTAGAGATTGAGAGTGCTTACCCTTCTTGTCAGGCTTGGTGCATCGCTTCACCAAGTGGAACGAATCCTTGGCGAACTTCTTGGTGGGAACGAGAACGTAATCCACGACCTCCATGTTGTGTTTGCAGAGTGCTGAAGATGAAAGAACACCAATCGCGCTGAGAAAGACACCACGCCCAAGTCACGCCTGACGTCTCTCTCCTCTCAAACTGCGCGCGGTCAACGTTCGTCCAATTTTCCATGCCTCAGTTTAAAAGCGCTGCTGATGTCATGCTGACAACTCCGCTGCATTGTCGGCCGACGTGGGCAGGAAGAGGAAGAGCTTTGATCATCAGCAAGTGATTGAGGCCATAACCATGGTGTGCGACATGGAATCGCTAAAGAGAGATCTGTCCGCCGTAGATGGGCGAACGTCGGCCGTAATTGGGTTCAACGTAGTATCCTCAATCGCCATTATCCTCACCAACAAAGCAGTTTTTGACCTCATCGACTACAAATTTGGTACTGTCCTCTAAATCACCTCAGATTCCACAACTGACCAATTCTTTTCCGATCCTCCCAGCCACAACGATGACCTTCTTTCACTTTGTTGTCACGTTTCTGGGCTTGGTCGTCTGTTGGCAACTTGGCTTGTTCACGCCCAAGCGGTACCCCCTTCATGCAAGCTGGCAACTGCTTTGGTTCAAACCAAACCTATTTCTGTGCGTTGTCTGTTGCGGGCGGGCACAGAGCGCCGATGCAACATGTCTTGCCGCTATGCCTCTCCTTCTGCGGCTTCGTCGTGCTCACCAACCTTTCCCTCCAGTACAACTCTGTTGGCTTCTACCAGGTACCTTTCTTATGGAGCCTTCATCATGAACCGGTCGCCGTGATACACCAAGCGGCATCCCTCGCGTGTCTGTTTCGTGCCAGTGTTGCAGCTGACCGTGGCTTGCCTTGCACTACGGACAGATTGCCAAGATTGGCACAACACCAACAGTGGTGGTCCTGGAAACACTCTACTTCGGCAAAGTGTTCTCGCAAAAGACCAAGCTCTCTCTTATCCCCGTTTGCCTGGGCGTCCTGTTGACTTCGGCCACTGACATTCAGTTCAATTTTATCGGTACCACCTTCTTCCTCCTCTTTCGTTCCCTCTCTTCTCGACCCATACCGTCAGACTGAGCACGACCAATGCTCTTGCAGGCGCTGTCTACGCATTCCTGGGCGTGTTGGTCACTTCCATGTACCAGATCGTACGCTGCTCCCACCATCCGCGCTCCTCGTCATCGTTGTGACGGCCATATGTCTTTTGTCGTTGTACAGTGGGTGGGCACCAAGCAGAAAGAGCTTGGGCTCGATTCGATGCAGCTGCTATTCAACCAGGCTCCCATCTCCGCCATCATGCTCCTCTTCCTGATTCCCGTATTCGAAGACCCGTCTGAGATCCTGTCTTACCCCTACGACACTCAGTCAGTGGTACGTATATCAAGAAACCATCACTCATGCATCATCGAGACTGCCAACTGATGCATCAATTTGCTTCGCGCGCTCTCAACGTACAGATCGCCATCTTCATTTCGTCCGTACTGGCCTTTTGCGTCAACCTCTCCATTTTCCTCGTTATCGGCAGAACGTCAGCAGTCACGTATGTCACGTCCCCTTCCCCTTGTTGGGCGCGAGCGACCACTTACATCTGTCTACCCGCTTCTCCACCATTGTGCACAGGTATAACGTGGTAGGCTACTTCAAGCTCGCGTTGGTCGTGCTGGGTGGCTTCCTTCTGTTCCAGTATCCAGTGATGCCTCTCAACATCCTCGGCATCCTCCTGACCCTGAGCGGCGTACATCCTCCATCGTCCTGCACCACCATGCCTTTGTGGCTGCGGCTCACTCCTTCAATCGCGTGTGAATGTCCGTAGGTGGTCATCTACACACACATCAAGCTTGCCGAAACCGCGGCGGCACAGGAGCTTGCACAAAGCAAGGAGGTTGACCTCTCCTCGGTGAACGTCGTCGAGGACGACCTCAAGCCCTTCAACAGCCAACATACGGAGCAGGAAGACGACGAGTACAGCGAGGGCCGGGACAAATGAAGCTTGGCCACCCGTTTGTAAAGAGGGATCCGTCAATCGGGTGTGGCGTCCGGCAATTAATTATTGCGTGATCACAAGGCAGAGTGGCCATTAGGTACAGTAACCAGCCTGGAGTTTGCAAGCCGTCAACAACAACACGCTCCGTTTGCAGGAAATTACATCTACAAACTCACTGCCCACCCCCGACCTTGCTGCAAAGACTGCAGTCCGGAAAGAGCGAAGCGCGAGTCGCTTTGATTTTGATTGTTGGGCGTCCTGAGAATGAGCAACTTCAGTCTGCGTCGATCGCTTAACTCGATAAATGCGGCCGTGCACAAGAAGAAGAGTAGGGAAGATGTGTCCTCCCCGGGGCGCGCCAAGTCTACCACCCCGCCTTCCTCCCCACCCAGGCCGGGCGCGCACCACATGAGCAAGCTGCGATTGCAAAAGGAGAACATCGCTCTCGTCCAGGCATTCAAATCCAACGACATGAAGCGATTCCACGAATTGCTGAAAAAGAAATCGGTCAAGCAGCCCAAGCAGCTGCACCAACCTTCTTCGGACAACGTGTCCCCGACCTCGTCTTCATCTTCTGTGCCCATTCTATCGTCCTCCCCATCCTCTTCACCATTAGCTGTACATCATACTCTCGCCTCGTCATCTTCGTCATCTTCTTCATCGACCTTCTACTATCCCAACATCAACGACTATGACGAGCATCGGCAAACGTGCCTCCACGTTGCTTGCACCAACGGCAGCAGCGATCAGGTGCGAGAGCTGCTCGGCATGGGCGCCGACGCCAACGCCGTAGACGACCGGTTGTGGACGCCGCTCCACTGCGCCCTGGCCAACGGACACCTCGAAGCCGCCAAGGCGCTGCTGATCGAGGGCACCGGCTCGGTCAACGTCAACCACGCCAACGAGAGCGGCTCCAGCCCGCTGCACTACCTCGCCAGGTACTTTCGCTCAAGCAAGGTGTGCCTTCACTGTGGTCCTGGGCGCTAACTTGGGACCTGTTCTCTCGGCCTCTGCAGGCACACAACGCTGAGCGCGGCAGAGGAAGCGCTGTGGGGAGAGGTGTTCCTGCTCCTCAGCCGCATGGGCGCACAGGTGAACCTGGTACGCCGCTTTGGCTTTGTCCTTGTTGTGATCATGTGCCTGCGTGCGGACTGTGCACCGTTGACGCATGTATCGTGCTGCGCTGCGTGTCGTGTCTCGGTGATCGGCGACTGCAGGCGAATGCACACGGAATCACTCCGCTGCACGATGCGTGTGCCACTGGAGCCACCGACAAGGTCAAGCCGCTCGTGCGCAAAGGAGCCGACGTGCACGCTACGAACAAGTACTACATCTTCTACCCCTCCTCGCACTCGAGGTGTGTGGCGGTCCCTCATTCACGTGCTTCCTCCTCGCCTCGGTGTGTTGCGCCATCGCTAGGTTCGGTGAAACACCGCTGCACTACGCTGTGAAGTCTGGAGTGTTGGACACGATCGGGTATCTGCTGTACATTGTACGCCTATCGGCCCGAGACCTACTTTCCAGCCTGTTGCACGTTTGTTACAATCAATAACGCATAATAACCACGTATATGCGCCCACGCACACAAGGGAGCCGATCCGTACAAAGAGTCGGAGAGGGGCAACTGCTTCGACTTGGCGTTGCTCTATCACCCCAAGTCATCTGGCATGCACATATTCCTGAGCGGTATCCCACCACCCACGCGTCACTCTCCCATCCATGCATGTGCGCGCGCATGGCTGACGCGCCTTCTTCACTCCAGGCATCAAGTGCCTTCCGGAGATCCTCTTCCTGCAGATCTGCTCTTTTCTCACGGTTCGCGACTGGTGCAACATGATGCAGGTACTGTACATTCTTTGGTTTAGCGCCTGCGCTGCGTGTGTAGGACGGATCTCTGACGCTGTACTCTGTTCTCCGTATTGGCATGAAGGTCTGCACGACCTTTGCTCGAATGTGCTCCCACGACGTGTTGTGGAAGCGGGTCTGGGACCAGAACCCGCGCCTCCGTGCAGGTAACCCTCTCACCCCACACCATCGTCGCGCCCGCACTAACGTTGACGACGCTCCACACAGTACGGATAAAGACCGACGAGTTCTCGTACAAGGAGCTGGTGAGCGATTGGTACAACGGCAAGTGGGATGAATGGCTCTCCACGTCGCCGTACGTACACACTCTGCGCAATCATCGTCGTCGTCGCCATTACTGATTCACTGCAACAGGATCAACGAGAAGCCTGAACTGGCTGCAAAGATACTGCTTGTGGGCGACGCTTCGGTCGGGAAGACCGCCTTTCTCACGCAGTTCATGGGACGCGCCCCGAAGGGCAAGCTGGACGACACGACTTCGGTATGCATTTACTTATCTTTATTTATTTATTTATTGGCTCTCAACCACACTCGGAGTGCTCATTGCTGCTGTCCTTTTGCTCAACGCCCAGATGGACCGCACGATCTTCATGCACGGGAAACAGATCACATTGCACCTCTATGAGCTGGTACGCGGCCCTCTATGTCTCGCTCTTCTTTGCTCGCCATTTGGTTGTCTCCCTGTCCTCGCTCACCTTTTTGCTACAGAGCCTAGCGAGGAACACCAACCGAGGCAAATCACCCTATCGGGGGATGAATGGAGTTGTGCTCTTCTATTCTTCCAACGACGTCGATTCCTTCGCAAACCTCCATCTGTGGCTCGAAGATGTGCGCCGGTAGCGTGTGGCCTCCAACTCGTGTCACCGCCACCTGCACGAACAACTGACCGCGAGCCTTGTGTTCGTGTGCGCACACGTCAGGTTTTCTGAGAAGCTGCCCGTTGTGGTTGTGGGCACGCACTACGACATGCCGTCCCCGCTTGTAGAGAGAGATCAGACCAAGGTACGGCCCACCACCTCCCTGTTGGGTTTCCACTCCAGGATCCTGCAAGACAGTTTGTGCCCGTTCGCCAACCCTGTTCTCCTCGCGCAGAAATTCAGCAAAGAGCATCAAGTGCTGGTGTTTGAGACCGGCAAGGGCATGGGTACGCCACCTCCACTCCACTGTACCACCACACACAATGCGCCAGCTGAAAACTCGTTGTCTTCGCGTATCCGCTTCGACACCCACGCCATCAGGACACAACGTGCAGCTGAGCCTGCGCATGGTAGCGGAGGCCATCCACGACCAGTACGTCCAAAGGTCGGGGGCGCGGCCTGGCGTGGCGCCCCTGACAAAGGGCGTGCTCTATCATCCCTTTTGTTGAGTGTTGGCCTGACGTACTTTGGGCAAAACTTGTATTATTATTAATTTCAGAAGTAAACGAAGAAAACATGAAAGAAAATAGTCATTTTATTTCCTGGCTTGAGCACAGGAAGGAAGATGGGGGTGGCCGGTCTTCACGTGTGGCTGCGCGCCCACTTCGGCTCGTGCTTCACGCACCACCGGTGGACAACGGCGCAAACAGAATCGACGGATGAGTGGAGCCGCGTAGAGGGGGTGGGGGTGGACCTTGGCGGCGAGCTGCATCATTTGTGCCAGCAGTCTGCCGGCACGCACGAGTTGTTTTTCTTCCAGCGCCTGCATGAGCGACTCGACGCCATCCTTCTCCGCCTTCGACCCCAGCACTCTGCCGTCCTAGCACTAGATGGACCCGGTATCATCCGTGGCTGGAGATGCATGTTCATCATTTGTAGGACAGCTAATCGGGCAACCACGCAGGGCCAGCTGCCAAGTGGGCAGAACAGAGACGCCGACGCATGAAGGTACAGCAAAGCGGGAGGATGTGTGATCACGCCTGCAGCTGATGGAGGTGAGACGGTGCAGGGCAGTAGCGGGAACAGGCGTACCGAGAGAATGGGGATCGACCCACTGCAGCTCACCCCAGGCACGGTCTTTATGGAGCAGGCACGCCACCACTATTTCACCTCTCTCTCTGCTCGCCATTACCTGCCACTTACGTTATCGTTCTCATCGGTCAGGTACGCGAGGCCCTGTGCCACTATGCTTGCGAGCGGCTGCTCACTGTGCCTCTCCTCCACGATCTCCGGTTCTCCATATCTCCAGCAACAGCTCCAGGTACACTCCCCTTTGCACCAAATGGCAGCTGCGCTTCTCACGTAGACATTCTTTTATGTGGTCGCAATCAGGCGAGGCCGAGCTGAAGCTCGCGGAGATCATGAGTCATGAGCTGGAGCCTGGGGACAACAGCGCAGTGGATGACACCGACCAGAGACGTCACTACATGATAGTGAGCGACGATTCCGACCTCGTGCTAATTGGTACGGCTTTCAAGGCCGAGGCCGACCTCTCGGACAATCTCAACGCTGGTCGCTAACAAGCTATCGTGCTACGTTGGCATAACACAGGGCTCTGCATGTCCAGCTTGTATCGGGTGGACGTATCGGTTCTGCGCCGAAGCTCCGCTTCGTCTGGACCGGACTGCTTTGAGCGGTTCTCCACGGCCGGTTTCTTCGACCGGCTGCGCAGGTCGTTCCCTCACGACCCGCCGGGTCGCGTCGCCCTGGACTTCGTTTTCCTGGTCCTACTGACGGGCAACGACTACCTTCCCTGCCTGGACAAGTACGCCCCCATCGCCCCCGCTTGGTATGGCTGTGAGCCAAGGCCTTGCAATCTGACGTGAGCCGCGTTAACGCACATGTTGCGTGCAGGGCCAAGATACAGAACCTGTGGCGCACCTACCGTGCGCTGAAGGGCGCCGATCCGCAAGACGACGACGCGGGCCACCAGCACGCGCTGGCCAGTACCTGTACGACCCGTCGAGCCGCAAGATCGACCCGGCCTTCTGTGCGACGTTCCTGCTCGCCAACTCCTCTCTCTTTCCGTACGCGTCGTCGAAGCCAGTCCCTGTCGACAGCACGAGCGACGATGACGAGGAAGAAGAAAACGAGAGCGTCAGCGAGTGCGCCACGAAAGAGAAGCCGCCGGTGGCGCGACGAGGTGAGGAAACGGACGCTAGTACAGCGCCGAGAGCACTTAGCCTGCCCTCAGCCGAGATGTACCTCTATGGTCTCGAGTGGAACATGCGCATGTACCTTGATTTCCGGTACGTAGGGCAACTTCCTTTCTCTGCCTTTCTCTTTGTCATATTTGGTCTGCTCACCTCGCGCGCAGGTGTCCCAACTACGATTACTTCTATCCCAGCTGGGACGCACCTTCTCCTCGCGCGCTGGTCGAGCGGCTGCAGCGTTTGGCCAGGAGGAATGTGCGCACCAGCGAATCGGCCCTCACGAGGTTGCAGCAACCATCGGCAACCGCGAAGGCTCCACCAGACCACTGGCCGGCTGATCCCCTCCCACTTCTGCCCTACCATTTTTGTCTGGCACTCATGCCGCCCTGGGTACACGGTCACCTCATAGCTCTGCACCGCGCCGGTGGCACTCGCGCGTTGTCTCATCCCTTAGTACTGCATATCAGGGCAAGGAGTACCTTCCCGAGGCCTTGCAGCGGCACTGTGAAGTGGTAGACGACATCGAGAGTGCGTTGCCCCCCAATGCCTCAACATACTCTCAACGCTGACTTGATTCATTCCACGGCCGTGCGAGTGCAGGTGCGCTGTTCATGAATCCGGGTGACCTGGTCGATTCCCGGCGAATGGTGGTGCAAGGGCTGGATGCGCACACACCAACCGCGACAGCCACGACGACAACAACGTCGTCTTCGTCGTCCTCGCAGATCGCGTCGGCCTTTACGCCGTTGGAGGAGCGAACGCTATCCTTTGCCCCGCACTTCTTCTACGAACGCTGGGTGAGGCAAGAGCGACCACGTTCAGCAGCCGAGCGAACTACAAAGAAGCGACGGCGAGTGGCGACCCAGGAACCAGAAGAGCCAAGAGAAGTGGATGAATTCGGCCGAGATGTGGACCGAAAGCGAAGGAAGAAGGAAGGCAAGAAAGAGAAGAAGAAGCAGAAGCAGAAGCAGAAACAGGAAATAGATATGGAGGAGGCGAAGGCCAGTGAGCAAGAAGAGACGGAGAAGAAGGCGCAGGAGAGGGAAGAGATTGAAGCAGCGACAGGACAAGAACAGGGAGGGTTGCAAGAAGAGAGGCGAGGAATGGCCAGCAGCGAGGGCTTCAACATTGAGACTCCGTTGGGCATGGCTGTTCTGCCGCCTGCTGACCTGCTCCTCCTTCACTATGGCACCATGTCACAGGGCCCATTGGTGCCAGCTGATGGTTACGCTGCAACACAAAACGAAAGAAGAAAATGAAAGAAAAAGACAGTATAGAAAAAGAAAGCACAGAAAAGATAACAGTGAAATCAGCCACGCATGATGCAGGCAAAGCAGCACGCAGCATGTGAAACACGCGCTTGATTCTAAGAGACACTCGAAAAGCAATAACGAACCGATCACACATGTCATCGCCAAATCTGTCGAGCAGAGGGAGAAATGCGAGGGCGGCCAAGAGGGGAGGCCTTCCCGAATCCAGGGAGGGTGGTCAGCAGGCGGAGGCCCTCAGCCCAGGCGCCCAGCCCCGAAGCCGATCCAGGAGGAGAGCGTTGGCGAGAGCTCCGGCAGAGCTCTTCCTCCGGCAACGTTCGCCTACGTGCCTGAGGCACGAAGAGTACCAAAGAAGAGCGCAATCTCAGAAGATAACGTGGTCGTGCTACGCGACGGGATAGTGCTCCTGCGCAAAGCCTTCGGGCTTGAGGAGCAGCAGCGCTGGGTCGACATGTGCATCGAACACTGTACGGGCCAAGTCGAAGGCGTGCACTCTTTCTACGATGGCGAGGTCAGCCGCGAGCTGGGCTACTTCGATCCCGCCATCTCGCCAGCCTCTTCCTCTACGTCCGCTGCGTCATCGTCATCCTCTACACCAGCCGCCTCAGCTACGCCCGCCAAGAAGCTCAACCTGGTGAACAAGGCGCGCATCAACGTGCCGATCGCCCTGCACCCGCCGCAGTTCACGGCCGTGGCGCAGGAGCTGGTGCGCATCGCCCACGAGCGCTGCGCGTCGGTTCCGTGCCTCGACGAGCCCAACACGTGCCGCATCAACTACTACACTAACAGCGGCAAGATCGGGTGGCACTACGATCGCGTGCCGAGCCTGTCCAAGGAGGAGCAGAGGACCGTGACCGACCCCGTCATCTCCATGTCCTTCGGCAACAGCGCTGAGTTCCAGTACAAGCAGCGCATGGACGACCCGGAGGAGAGCGTCATCCTCGAGTCGGGCGACGTATGCGCAGCCTAGCTCTCACACTGAAACAACAACGTTTGTTCATCATTCACTGAACTGTGTCGTGGTGTGTTGGTGCTGAGCAGGTAATCATCTTCGGCGGGCCTGCTCGCATGATCTACCACATGGTGCCGCGCGTCATCAAGAACACCACTCCCAAGGGACTGGACCTGCGACAGTTCGGCCCGGGCAGGTTCAACGTGGGCTACTACTACAACTGATCACCCACCACTCTATGTCGTCTGTTTCGCGATGATGGATATACACATTATCTCTTTATTCACATTCGTGCGTAGCAGCTCTCAGGCGGTCTGCCATGGCCACCAGGAGGTCGAGCCCTTGCTGCGCTGCTCAGCGTCGGCCAGGCTCTCGCAGTCGTCCCACTCGATCCGGTAGCCGAACGCCGTTTTGAAGGAGGAGGGCACCAGGAGCTTGAAGACGGCGAGCAGCATTTTCTCGGTGAGCCACTGCCGGATCGCGCCCGGCGGCTGCTCGCCCGCCTTCACCGCCCGCGGCTCGCCGCGCCGTCTTCCCTCCGCCGCCACCATCTCCGCCCGCGCCTTGCGCCCGGCCTCGAACGCCGGAACGCCGACTCGAACACCGCCTTGGGCACCGTCTTCGCGGACAACCGCCGCTGGCCGTCGTCGCCGCCGCTGTCGGCCAGTACGGTGGCGCGGTGGTCGCGCAGGGCCAGGCGGATCATCTTGGCCAGGTACATGGCGTCTTCGAGCGCCAGCGAGGCGCCTTGGCCCGAGTGCGGGCTCACGGCGTGCGCGGCGTCGCCGATCAGCACCGCGCGGCCGGCGAACCAGCACGGCAGCGCAGCCACGTCGTGCACGGTGCCGCGCAGGATGTGTTCGGTCTCGGTCACCAGCTGGCGAGCCAGTGGCGACCACCCGCCCGGCACGTCGAGAATGCGCGCCTTGAGCTCGTCGGTGTCGATGGCCTGCAGCTCGTCCCGAGTCGGCGCTCGCTCGCACCACTCGGGGTGGTCGCCCACGTACATGTTGCGCCACCACATGACCAGCCGCGGGTCGTCGGCCCGGACCCGACAGTAGCCAAACGTGCCGCCGGTCGGGCCGCACAGGAAGTGGGCCGTGCCCTGCTGGTCCTCGGGCAAGTCGAGCAGGGCGTCGGTGCGCGCGAAGCCGCCGGAGGTCATCAACCCGAGGAACTGGGGCCGGGGGTCATCGTCGCCCAGCACGATGGCCCGCGTGCGCGAGTGCAGCCCGTCGGCCCCGACCACCAGGTCTCCGCGCGCCGAGCTCCCATCTTCAAACAGGGCTGTCACCGCTCCGCCGCTGTCATCATCGGCTTCATCACCTTCGGTATCGAAGCCCGACAGGCTGACGAGGCGCTTGTCGAACTCGACTTTAATGCCCTCTTCGTGCTCAACGGCCTCCATCAACACCTCGTGGATGGTGGCGCGGGTCATCATCACGGCCGGCTGAGCGAACTCGCGGTCTGGGTCGACCGGCAGCGCCACGAGCCGCTTGCCGTACTGGTTGTAGAAGGCGAAGTCGGGGCACACTATGCCGCGGGGCTGGAGCTCGCCGGCCAGGCCCAGGTGGTCGAGCACCAGCATGCCGTTGGGCGCGATCTGGAGGCCGCCGCCGCTGCCCTGGCAGGCCTGTTCGCGCGGGTAGGCCTCGTAGATGGTCGACGTCACACCGACGCGCTTGAGCAGGAGCGCCAGCGTGCAGCCGGCGATCCCCGCCCCGATGATGAGCGCGTGGGGCGGCGCGGGTCCTCCAACTTTGTCTTCATCTTTGTCAGCTGTGCTGCTGCTGCTGCTGCTAGTGATGGATGTCATAGTGAGCCGCTACTTCAGTTGGTTTGTTGCGCTGCTCTCCGAGTTGTGTGAGTGCTCATAGCGCACACTGGTGAGTAGACCAGAGGCCAGAGAAACAACTTTCGGCCTTTTTCGAGGAACTACCTAGCCCTTGACCGACAAGGACTACCTGCAAGAGAAAGGAAGAGGCCTGGTCTCGCATCACTGTGACAACCGTTGCGGCCGCACCATTGTTGATTGGCGCGCTTTAAACTCATCAGCCATTGGCGAGAAGATAGCAGGCCAGCTGTGCTCGGCGTACAGCTTACCAAAAGCACGCTCAGCCACGCCCGCCCAAGCTCCAGGTTTTTCAGAAGGCTCAGGTCTCCTCACTCGACCTCGCACCATAACCACCAACACCAACACCAACTGCGTACATGCGCTTGAGCTGCAGCCGCCTGTCGTCGCGACCCACCACCTTGCCGCTGCTCGAGAACTTTCGCCCGACCACCTCGCGTCTCTGTATCGCCGGAAGCCTGCCACGCTTCGCCACCTCCGCTCAACGCTTCATCTCCGTCAGCTTCGTATCGTCGCGCCCGCACTCCGCCATGGACACGAACGTTGCAACGACTACCACCCCAACCACCGACAGCATCGCCCCAGCCAGCACGAGCAAGGTCGGCAGCGAGGTCGTGGCCACGCATGACGAGGCAACGGCGGTAGAGAAGAAAGATCTGCACGAGAAGAAGAAAAAGAAGAAGAAGGATGACGATGGGGTGTACCTGCCGTTCAAGATCGCCGCCGCGGTGCCGATATCGCCCGACACCAAGCTGTTCCGCTTCCAGGTGCCGGCCGACCAGGCCCAGCTCCTGCGCACCCTTCCCTCTCCTGGTATGCCCCCGCAGATTGCATCGATTCCATTCAATTGGGCTAATTCTCACTCTCTTGCCTTCGCGAAGTGAGCCACATTGCGCTGCGGGCGACCTTGCCCCCGCTGCCGCACGACCCCACCACGTCCGAGCTCCTCAAGCGCCGGCCGTACACGATCTTGCGGCGCTTTCCCGCCCCCGGCCAACAGCAGACTACGCCAGATGAAGAGGTTCCCTTCGGCACGCTTCACAAGTAGCACCTACGCAGTTTGTGACGGGGCGGCTGATGTGTGCATAACACCACCAGGACCAGCATGTGGAGGTGATGATCAAGCGCTACGACACGTTCGGACTCAGCGCGCACCTCCACTCGCTCAAGGAGGGCGACACCGTCGAGCTGCAGCTCGTGGGGAGGACAAGCACGCCAAGATGAACTTCCCCGAGATCCACCTGCGACACAAGCACATCGGCATCGTCACCGCCGGCACTGCCCTTGCCCCCATGATCAGCGTACGGGCCGATCCCTCCCTCTCTCCCTCCCTGTGTCGTGTGTGTGTGTGTGTGCGGTCTTTAACCAGACCGACGTCTGTGCAGATCATGCGGTCGGTGCTGTACAACGCAGAGGCAAATGATACGCGAGTGACGCTCCTCTACGCCAACCGACACGAGGAGGACATCCTGCTGCGCAAGGAGCTCGAGGAGCTGTGGGAGGCTTACCCGTCACGACTCACCATCTACTTCCTTCTGAGCCAGGTAACCCTCCGTTTCTGTTGCGGTCGCCGTCATCGTAGTTGCTTGGCTAATGCGCGCGCGTCGTGTGTGTAGCCGCGATCAGAGAGCTGGGGTCCACAGACGTCGCCCTACCAGCTGCGCGGGCGCATCACGAAGGACATGTTCAAGGAGACCCTTCCTCTCCCCGCTGTTGCGTCTTCATCCTCCTCTTCAGCGGCCGCGACCAGTGAAGAGGCTCCCAACGTGGAGCAGCAACAGACCGACCCGCTGGTGCTCGTGTGCGGGCCGAAGCCCTTCAAGAAGCTGGCCCTCCAGTTTCTGGAGGAGCTCAACTTCACCCCCAACATGTTCTACAAGCTCTGAGCTTAGAAGCCAACAACAAAGTCTTGTTCTTCTGTCAACGTCTTCGCCTTCGCCTTCGTGTGTAGTGTTTTCGCAATCGCTGCTGGTTTCGGGGTTTATTGCTGAACAAGAAGGTGATGAAGGGGGAAGGGGGGAGCAGGGCAGGCGGAAAGGTCTTTAGGAGGAGAAGACGAGCGAACGGATCTTGGGGATGTTGGCGTCGAAGGCCAGGGCGAGGCGCTGGTCGAGGGTGTTGTCGCACACGATCTTGCCGTCGTGGGCGCTCAGCACCACACCACCGCAGCTGCAGCCATGACACGACACACGCGACGAGAGAACACGATCAGCAAGAGAAGAAGGGGTGAACAAGAATGTAGTAATAGCTGCATACCAGGAGACGAGCGAGTTGCTCTTGCCAGGACCGGCGGGGAGGTAGTTGACGGTGTCGATGGTGACCTTCACGTCCTTCTTGTGGGACTTCTGCTTGAACGCCTCAACGGCGGCGGAGAGCACCGACTTGACCGACGATTCGTCGTCCTTCCTGCACCTCAGGCTCACCTTGGTCTCATCGAGCTTGATGAGAGCCTGCATTTAACACACAGGTGGAACAATTTAGCAGAGCACTCAATGATCGGCGATTCCAAATGGGTCATTTGTTTGAGCGGCGATTTCAAATGCGACAGGTAATGGGTCGCGCAAGTAGGGAATCGCAGGTTCTTGGAATGGGCAGTGTACCTGGAGGATGAGCTGCTGGAGGAGAGTCTCGTACTCCTGGCCGGGCTTGCCGAGCTCGGCAAGACGGTCCTGAGCGCGCTCCTTGAGGTGGACCACGATGTCCTCGCGGGCCTTAAGCACCTTCAGGCGGGCCTGGTTCAGCTGGTTCGAGTACGCACTACACGTAACCAGCCAAGATTAATCGTTTAATAATTAAAATTGGGGGCCAGGGGGGGGGGCAGTGAGGATCGACGACGTACATCTTCTTGTTGGTCTCGAGCTGCTTCTCCTTGCGCTCGTAATCCTTAGCGATCTTCATCCTCTCGGCCTGCAGGAGCCTGGCCTTCTCCATCGAGAATTCCTCATCGGCCTTGGCCAAGATTTCATCCCGCTTCTCCTGGGCCTCCTTCATGATGAAGGCCTTCATGTTCTCGATCTGCTTCCGCACCTGCTCCTGGTTCATCTTGGCAACGCTGAAGAAGTGACTCTCTTGAGGGGATGTACAAAGACTCGATTCGAATCGAATGAAAGTGATCAAAGACAAACACGAAGGCGAAAAGCAAAGGCCGGAAGCAGCACCGGCAACTTCTGGTCTGGCGGAGAAACCAGACTCGAACTTTCCTCTATCGACGGAGTTAAAATAAATAAATGCTAAATAAATAATAAATAATAAATAATAAATAATAATATCCTTCACGGTTGGGACTTCTGGTAGAGAAGGCGGCCGCCGACGATGGTGGCCTCCACGCGAGTGTTCCAGATATGGCGGGCCGCGTCGCGCGGCTGCATCGACCCATGAGGCTTGGTGTCGGCCTGGGTGATGTCGCGGTCGAGCAGCACCAAGTCGGCCAGCATGCCCGGGCGAATGCGGCCTTTCTTGTCCTCCTCGAACGAAGCGTACGCACCTGCAAGTAGTTGTAGTACCCATCAACAACAATTGATTGATTGGTTGATGGCCTAACTCACACACTCTCATTGGGTCCGTACCGTGAACAGTGTAGGCGCGGAGGGCTTCTCGCACGGTTATCTTCTGCTCGGGCACCCATCCGTCCTGCCAGTCCGCTTTGGCGGTGTCAACGTCCTGGCCACACAGTGCACGACCGTCATCGTGGGTTAGCCAAGCCAAAGGCGAAAGTAACGCACGCGGCCGGATGTGGTTGCGAGTATCAATATATATACCGATGCGTGCTGTCGCTGCTGGTGGATGTCGAGGTCTTCGATCTGCTGGAGGGTGAGTCGCGTGGCAGCGGCGCCGATGCCCAGCACGGGCACGGGCGGTGCCACGAACCAATCGCTACCGAAGGCGAGGGTGACGTTCTTGTCCATGAGCGAGCGGAACGGCCAAGCCTGGGCTCCCCCCCCCGTACCCAATTACCACGTTTTAAGCCACACTAACCACACACGATAACCGTTTCAGGGTAGTTACGCACCTCCTTGGTCCTCTTGGGGCCGAGCACTCGGTCGGCCCACCGGCCGTCGTCACTGACGTGGTAGGGCTGCATGGACGCAATCACGCCCATCTTGGCCAGGCGCAACTGGTCCTCCTCCCTATAAAGCAACAAACGAATCAGTGATGAGGGTTTGTAAGGCATTCGGCGATTGGGGGCAGGCCTGCGGCCACGCAAATGCGCACCTCAGGTGCTGGGCGTGCTCGATGCGCACGCGACGGTCCTTCTGGCCGTTGATTTGGATGAGCCGCTCGTAGGCATCGAGCAGGAGGTGGTTGGCCTTGTCTCCGATCGCGTGGATGGAGAGGTGCAGCCCCGCCCTGTTACCGGCGCGATCGATGAGAACAGGAAGAATTGGGAAGTGCACGTGGTAGGTGCATCTGCGGGAGCACCTACTTGTCAGCGCCCAGCGTCCAGGCGCTCAGCTCCTCCTCGGTAGCCAGCATCAGGCTCGTATCTGAGTCAAGTGGATCGCATCAGGCAGGCTTCTCCAAGCGCGGTGCGATGGTAGTGAGGGCTTCCAAGGTCATGGTTCGTACCCTGGTCGGGTGTGTCAGCGAAGGGCTCAAACATGTAGGCCGTATGAGAACCCAGCGAACCGTCCACGAATGCCTGTGCGGCGAAGCCCCGCAGAGCACCAGCCAGGTGAGTGTGACCAACTGAGCGCGTACACGCACACGCTTGGCCATTGATCCTGTTGGGCGGAAGTGTGAACCTTGAGGTTGCCCATGCGGAACCAGTCATCTCCCCACGTTCGCTGCTCCACCGGAATCCCTGCGCATCGACGGCGGTGAGCAGGTGAGTAAAGCACAAAACTCATCCCCGCCTGAATCCTGCAGCAGTTACCGAGTCGCTGCTTCTCTTCGGCCAGCTGCTCCCACGAGGAAAGGGGCACGGCGGCGTAGATCCGCGTGCGCAGCTTCTTCCTCTCCCACGCCCTGTGCGCAGCCCAATAAACAGCGACAATGGGCCTCACACCATCAGCCTCGCGCTCCAACCCGATCGCCCATGGTGTTGAACCGAACCTTTTGAACACGGCAATGTCGTTCCATGTGTACGCCATGTGGTGGATTGATGTCACGCCATGCTTGAGCACATGCGACATGGCCGCCTCCAAACAGGCGTCTGATGATATTCAGCGTGGCGTGTGTGAGAGTCACAATAATGAGTGGACCAATTCACACGCATCTCTTAAGATGAAGATGGACTCACCTTCTTCCTCATCGGAAGGCTTCGGGATGACCGCCCACACCAGCTCCATGGCTCGGTCCTTGAGAATGCCCGTCGTTTCGCCCGTTACGGGGTCCCTGTGGCACCCGATTACGTGTCAAAGCGGTTGTGTGTGTGTGTGTTCTGTCGATGACGATGGCGATGGCGACGGTGTGGGACTGACCTGGTGATGGTGCCGCCCGCGACCTCGGGCGAGTCCTTGGTGATGTTCGCGGCGGCCAGGGCCTTCGCGTTGGCGAGACACATGTGGCCGTCGAGCCGGCATACGAACACGAAGTGGTCGGGCGTCACGTCGTCGATCCACTCGTGCGTGGGCAGCTCACCGCCCCACTTCTCGTGATCCCAATCACCTGTGGTGCGTGTGCGTGTGCGTGTGCGTGTGCGTGTGCGTGTGCGTGCCGTGTGTCGCGATCAGCTAACACCACTCTGGCTGCGGTCGAGAGCATCTCGGTCGCACCCTCGCGGATCCAGGCGCCCGAGGGCCGCGTGCGGGCGTGCTGGGCGATGCGGTCGATGAAGCTGGCCTTTGATGCCACGTCGCGGAGGTGCACCGACGCGAGACCGCAGCCGCTGATCAGGAAATGGACGTGGCTGTCGATGAAGCCGGGCACCACCAGCATTCGCCCCTCTCCATCAAGCTCCTGCAACACAGGCATATTATTATTTATTTAAACATTTCTATTTCCTTCTCTTAGACAAATAATTATTGTAATAAGGGAACGGGAGGTGGCGTGCGTACTTGGAGTGTGCCGAAGTGCTGTCGGAGGTGCCGCTGCATGTCCGGAGATGATTCGAGACCTACGGCGACGATCAAATCGTCGATCACCAAGATCGAATCCGCTTCATCATTCGATTCATCTTCCCCTGACCAAATCTTCGCATTTCTGATGAAGAGCGCGGAGGAAGAGGAGCGTGGCTGACCCTCCGGCGGCGCGGTGAGCAGGAGATAGGCGCCCACCAACACGGCCATCCCGAGTATCGCTACGTGCCCTTCCGCCTGGCGCACCATGTTGAACTGAGTTTGTGACTGCTGCTGACCGACTGGTCTGGGACAAGCCGAGGCGTCGCCCTCGCCACCATACGCCAATCGCATCGCTCTGCAATTGAGGCGCCCGCCTTGTCGGCTGTTGCCGCTGCTGCCTCCGGAGGAGCAGGTCAAGATAAAGTTGTCATATTTTCTTTATTTTAAGAAAACAATTAATTGTGAATAAATAAAATAAAATAAAATAAAAATTGAATAGGAGGGCTGCATTCACTGCTTGGTGAAGACCCAGCCGTAGAAGGGGTCGGTGGGCGCCTCGAACGACACGACCTGGGTGGGTCCGCCGAACCACGAGGGGTCGCCTACCTTGAAGTGGACTAGCACGTTGGTGTAACCGGTCTCGACGTACATGCAGCCAGCGGTGCCCGGGTTCGGACCCAGCATGCGGAACGTGTTGTCGTGCTCCCACACGGCCAACGACGCGCCCACACTGGCCGGTGCGCTGCCAACTCCTGTGCATCAAACAGGCACCAATGAGTACTCGCATGTGTGTGAGCGCCAACAAGAGGCGGTCGCGGGCAAGGTTACCGGCGAGGCTAAAGGCGATGAGGAGCTGGTGGTTGGGCAGATCAGGCGTCACGGTGACATTGCCCGACATGAACCTGGTCATACGCGGGAGATGAGATCGCGATTGTTCGATCATAGGAGTTAAAATGGTGTGTGTGGGTCCGTACCCGCCGAGAACGGATGCCACGTAGGTACCCGCGTAGGCCGTGAGGTTGCCCGGATTGTTGGGGGTCGGCTGCAGGTCCCACAGCGTCTGCTCGATGGCCGGCAGCAGCAGGGCGATTTGCTCCCACGGCATCATGAGGCTGTTGGTCTGCATGATCATCGCTGGAGAGACGTGGCACACCGTCACCAATGGTCACTCAGTACTCACGTGATCGGGAATGATGGTCGTACCGGTCTTGACCTCGGGGAACATGGCCAGCACGCTGAAGTAGCCCGGCATCATGCCGGCCTTGATGCGGACCCAGTAGGGCGGCATGTCCTTGCCAAAGGCGCGGCTGTGGTACACCTCGAACGGGTACCCGTACCCGCTCGTCTGCAACCGAAAGCAGGCGCGATTGGGGGTGTGAGTCGAACAACCGCCGCGACCGGTCATCGATGCAGGATGGGCAGGCAGGGGTCGTTACCTGCTCGTCATTGACGAACGACGGGGTGAGCATCTCGCGCAGCGTGCTAGAGTAGATGCCCAGCACGTTCTTGCGCTCGTCCTGGCCCACCATAAAGAGCGACGCCAGCTTGGCCAGGTCCCTCACTGTGGAGTACACCTGCAGCACCACAACGTCGCGAAAGTGAGGTGGGCGAGGATACAGGGTAACGCGGACAGCGGTGGGCGCAGAGGTACGTTGCCAGTCGCGCGTGCCCAGTTGAGGTCGGCGTGCGCCACAAACGACGGGAAGGTGGTATTGCCCACCTTGCCCGGCGGCACCCTCTTGGCCATGTCCGACCACGAGTTGTAGGCCAAGAACGAGCTGTCCATTCCTGTGTGTGTGATGGTTCGCACCGAAGCGGAAACAAAAAGGGAGTGAGCGGGGTTCGACAAAGAGAGATCGTTAGGGATGGGGGGGGGGGCTACCGAGGGGCTTGAAGATGTGCTGGGTGATGTAGTCCTCGTAGGACATGCCCACGACGGACTCTAGCGCGCGCCCGATGATGGCGTAGGCCCCGTCGGCGTAATGCGGGTCCTGCCACATCGGCACCGACGGCTGGCGAAGAATTATTGGGGGTCAGTTACCCCCTATCACGCGGGGAAATGCGTTCATGAACCACGCACCGGATCGGCCGTGACGCGCTTCCACGCCTCGGCGTTGGAGATCTCGCATGCATCGCCCAGGAAGGGCTCCAAGATGGTGAAAAAGTTGCAGGGTGTCGCTCCCGTCAGGCCACTACCGTCGCCACCATCACGTTTAGTGGTGGTTTCTTGTTTATCACGAATCTCTTTGTGTGTAGTGTGTGGTACCTGATCTGACCGGCGAGGGAGCGCCAGGTGATGCCGGGGTTGTTCTTGAAGGGCGTCGGCCACACCAACTCCGGCACGTATTTCTGTGGGTGTGGTCTTCGGAGGTAAAAACATGTGTTCATGCGTGCGTGTTCTTGGAATCGGAGTGGCGTACGCTGACGGGGTCGTCGAGCGAGAGCTTGCCCTGGTCCCTCAGCTGGAAGAGCATGATGTTGGTGATCAGCTTGGTGATCGATCCCACGCGGTAGATCGTGTTCGCGTCCACTTGTCTGCGCGTCCGCCCGCGTGGGTGTGAGTAAGTGGCATGGTGCAATGTGGCGGTCCTTAAGGAAGTTGGTGGAGTTGTGCCGCATACGAGGAGGGGTCGGAGGGGTCGATGAGGCCGTAGCCCTGCTCCCACACGAGCTCCTGGTCGTACACGATGCCCACCGACAGCGCTTGGACCCCGTTCGCCTGCGCTGCCGTTTGGAAAGAAGCACTGATGTTCTTGATGGCCTCGCGCAGCCGCTCCGGCATGAACTGTAAAACGACCACCCGACACGACACGACACGACACGACACGACACGACACGACACGACACGACACGACACGACACGACACGACACGACACGACACGACACGACACGACACGACACGACACGCACGCGAGTCCCGCAACAATTTGAACAATGTCCGGTTTGTGTGGTAACTGCCAAGTTTCCGGAAGTGAAGGAGGAAAGGCACGAGGCGTACGCGTTGGTTGATGAAAGCTTGAGGGACGGCACGGGGGTGGTTGGGGCACATGGGGAAGTCGAGGATGAGGTCGCGCTTGCTCACCGTGGCCGCGCCGTTGCCACCACCACTCCGTAGTAGCTGCTGGTTGTACAGCACGCGCTGGGCCTCTTCCCAAGGCAGTCCGGCGCATTGCCGCGGTGCCGCACAGGCCAGCACCAGCAAGAGCGCCGCAGCGAGGAGCAGCCTTTCTGTTGTGAGCTTCATTCGTGCTTGTAAGCAACTGGGCAGAGGCCAGCCACAACCGGGTTGGTTCAACCAAGAAGAAAAGAGACGAGAAGTGGGCACACGGCGGCTATTGGCCCTTATGTGTGCCAAAGAAAAACCGGGAAAAGTGCGACCAATGAGAGAAAACGAAAGCGAAATGAGGCCACAAAAAGAACGAAAACGAAGATGAGGTTCCAACCTCTGGTGGTGGTTCTTTTATTGAGCTTGGCTTCGGTGGCATTGGGCGACGACCCTCACTGCTGCGCTCCGGCGTCGTTCTCCTTCCGTATCGAATCCTTCACCAACGTCGCCGGTTCGCCGTCCCCCTTTGATCCGCTAATCTTGACTTCATCTTTTGGTTCATTCGATTCAGCACATGACGAAACGGCACTAACGAAGGAATCCGTCGGCTTTTGACGCCCGTAGGAGCTCCTAATGCGCAGATTGGAAATGGATACTACGATGAACAGCAGGGCTCGTACGCCCTTGTTATGTTTGGCAACGACACCTACCAAGTGTACAGCCTACCGGTACGCACCCGGACATCACATGCTGTTGGTGCCGACGGGCACTCCTCGTTGGGTGTGGTGCTTACGCTGCGACTTGGTGGCCCTCCGGCGCAGACGGGGGTCTATGTGGTCAACGTAACTGATGGCACCCACAAGTGCACGTCCATCCAGTGCACCGCAGGTACCACTACTCCACGTTGAGGGCATGCGTGGCTTGGTTGGTTTATAAGTCCACAACATCACCAATCATGTGTTCGCTTTGCAGACGTCCCGTGCTTCCAGCGCTACTGCACCAATGCCACGGACTGGAACTACAAGGGCCTCATCATCGTGGGCACCGAGAAGGCCAGCCAGTGGACCATGTCGGGCCACCCGGGCAACTTCATCCTCCAGATGTTGCAGAGCGACAAGACCCGTTGCATCCCCATCGCCTTCACCATGGCCCGCGTGCGTCGCATTCCACTCTATCGTTCGACTTGCGCGAGTCGCAGCTCACCGTACCCTTGTGTCCGCGCTGTCGCCTGCAGGGCCAAACCGCCGAGTCGTTGGAGTATGCATTCACCTGGTGGTCGAACCTGAAGCCGGCGTCCATCCCTCCGTCGCTCTTCGTCCCGCCCGCCACCTGCTCTCACACCAGAGCCGAACGCTCCGTCTCCGATCTCAAGCGAGACCACCCGCAGCTGCTGTCCCTCATCCGCTCCGTCTTTGTTCGCTGAGCAAGGCTCTTTGGCTGCACGACCACATTTTTTTAGAATCCTGTGCTGCATCGGTTTTATTCGCGGTTAACATAAAGGAATTCTAAAAATGATAAAAATGCCAAGCCCAGAGCAACGAACAGCAACTTCTGTTCGGCCCGGTTTCGGCCCGGTCTCGGCCCGGGCCTACCACAAAAGCTCAGGTGCCCATTGCCACACCAACAACCAGCAGCAACACTCACCACACTCGCCAATAACATGAGCAGCCTCGCCAAGAACATCAAGGTCCGCAAGTCGCAGGACAGGGGCCACGCCAACCACGGATGGCTGAACACCTACCACACCTTCTCGTTCGCCATGTACTACAACGCGCACTTCGCCGGCTGGTCCAGCCTCCGCGTGCTCAACGAGGATCGCGTCACCGGCGGCGAGGTACCTCGTCCGCTTACTCTTTGTTCGACCTTCCAAGGCTTTCCACTTACCACATATGTGTTCATTCATTCTCAAACGACAGGGTTTCGGCGCGCACCCGCACAGCAACTATGAGATCTTCAGCTACGTGATTTCGGGCAGCCTCAAGCACCAGGACACGCTGGACAACGAGGAGGAGATCAAGCGCGGCGGGGTTCAGTTCACGTCGGCCGGCAGCGGCATCATGCACAGCGAGTACAACCACTCGCCCACGAAGCCGGTCCACTTCCTGCAGGTGTGGTTCAAGCCCGACCAGCAGGACCTCAAGCCCAGCTACCAGACCGTCCACTTCACCGATGACGAGAAGCAGGGCAGGCTCTGCCTCATCGTCAGCTCCAAGTACCACGGCGACAGCAACAAGAAGGACGACAACGACGACACCGAGAAGAAGGCGCCAGTCGTGGTCAACCAGAACGCGCAGGTCTTCGCGTCGCTGCTGGCCAGGGACGAGGCGGTGTCGTACAAATTCGGCCCGGAGCGGTGCGGCTACCTTCACGTGTGCGACACCGGCGGCCGCCTGCGACTGATCGACGACCGCAACGACGAGGAGCTCGTGCTCGAGGCCGGCGACGGCGCCTACGTCAAGGCCGGCACGCGCCTGCATCTCGTCGGCGGCAACGACGAGGATGACAAGCGAGTCGAGTTCCTCCTCTTCGACCTTGTCAAGGAGGAGAAGGACAGGGCGTGGTGGTAACCACCTGGAGATATTCACCAGATGATAACCACCACCACCACCTTGAGTGTGCACCATGTAAATAAAAGCGAGCGGTATTAGTACCGCTTGGGTCGTGCTTCATTCAAATTGGTCGGTCGTCTGCGCTAGAGCTGTTCAACAGTTCATCACGATCGATGGGGGCTGTGGAGGATGATGGGGTCGTCCCTCTTCTCCGGGTCGTCTTCTTCGTTGATGACGCGCACGTCGTCGGCCAGTCGGCGATGGGCCGTGTCGACGAGGAAGAAGGCGGCCCCCGCGCCCACGATCAGGTTGGCGCTGGTCACGATCAGGAGCAGGAACACGGACGAATCGATGAGCGCCCCGTTCACGAACTGCGCCGTCAGGGCCGCCAGACGACCGCTCGACGTCAGTACGCCCATGGCGGTGGTGCGTTGCTTGGTGGGGAAGGACTCGGTCGAGAGGCAGTCGAGCGTGTTCCAGCAGCCGCAGGAGATGGCGTTGAACACGCAGGCGAGTCACCACCGCGACCTTGGACTCCTGCGCAAAGGCCAGCACCACCACGAGGCAAGTGGAGATCACGAGCGTGGAGCCCAGCAGGTTCTTGCGGCCCACCCGGTCGATGATGAGCGAGACCATGATATTGCCCGGCAGGTTGGATGCCGACACCAAGAAGGTGTCCTGATAGATGTCCACCGCGAAGCCCACCTACGTATTGCACAGCGAGCACGCATGTTAGACGTATGCCTGTACCACCACATCGCACCAGCCTGCGGGGTGGGGCGTACCTTGGCGAAGAGGGTGGGCAGCCAGAGGGTGAGGCCGTACCACCCAAAGTTGAGCGCCCACCAGATGATGGTGAGGAGCACGGTGGTGCGGGCGATCGACGGATGGAGCAGGTCGTAGAGCGGGGCCAGCAGGGCCTTGGGAGTCGTCCGCTGCTTACGTCGAGCCGAGGACGAAGACGAAGCGCTGGTGGGCTCGAAGTGGTGGTCATGGACCACGCGCTCCTCTTTCACACGCAGCCGCTTCTCGACGTGCGGCGAGGCTACCGCCACTTCGTCGTCGGCGTATTCGCCAGCGTCGTCGGTGTCGGGGTCCGCTTTCTCCTGGCGCAGGAGGTCGTCTTCGGTGAGCCGGCACGGACCCTTGCCGTTGGTCCTGCTTATCCAATCCAACACGTGGATCGCCTCCGCATAGGACCGTGTGATCAAAAAGAAGCGCGGACTCTCTGCGGCGCGCAAGGACGTGCGTCAGCGCCAGTGCCAGCCAGCCCGCGAGAGGGGGCGATAGGGCGTTAACGCACCGGGGAGCACGAAAATCGAGAGTACGCCGCAGACGAGCGATGGGATGGCGCAGGCTCCCGCAAACCATCGCCAGGAAAGGTCAAGCGCACCGAGCATGATCCACGCAAGGCCGGCCGTACCGATCGTTCCGACCATCCACCACCTGTTTGATGAGTTGTGTGTGTGTGTGTGTGTGTGTGTGTGTGTGTGTGTGTGTGTGTGTGTGTGTGTGTGTGGCAGGCGTAAGATTCAGAGCAGGGAAGAGACATAGAACGAACTGAAATCATCGTCACGTACCAGGCGACGATGGTGATGTAAAAGCCCCGTCGATGAAGCGGAAGGATCTCCGTGGCCATCGTCCACACGCTGGGCACTGACCCGCCCACTCCCACGCCCGACAGGACTCGAAACACGACCAACATCACCTGCGGCACAAAACGCAGACAAAATCAGATGTACTGCGCGCATGATGGCCCAAGTGCTGTTGCAGCAATAAAAGGAATACCCAGTTTGGCGCGAAGGCAGAAGCCAGGCCGAAGAAGGCGTTGATGAAGAGGGACGCGAGGAGGCAGGGCTTGCGGCCCAGGCGATCGCTCAGCAGGCCGGCCACCATTCCTCCCACCAGCATCCCGCCAAACATGGCTGCCGACAGAGCTCCTGAGGGCGGTGGCGCAATCGTATGCACGTTAGTGCAACGCACACTCGCGCATGCGGCCGCTCGCACAAACCTCAAACAAACGGACCCTTCTGTGCCGAGGTGATGTCCGGGAGCTCGGGCAGAATGTAGGAGATGGCCAGCAGTTCCACAGCATCCGATGCGTTGCCCAACCCGAGTAGCGATATGGCCTGGTGGGTCAAGGGCACCCCAGCGGCTCAGGAAAAGGAAAATAAGAAAAAAAATAATTGGGGGGGGGTGTACCGTGTACTGGAACCAACCGTTCCCGATGCGTTCTACTTCCTCATCGAATGGTGACAGACGCACCGAAAGATGAGGAAGGGGGCGTGCTAGGGGTAAAGCCATTATCTCGGTCCAGCAGAGCGTGCTCCGAGTACTCCTCATCGTCCTGCACGCTGCTCTTGGTCGCTCGCATGTCCTCCTCGTCGACTTCCTCCTCAGCATCCACACCGTCGCGCCACAACGCTTCCCTACCGCCGTGCCGTGCGTGTGTCGTAGCCATGATGATGGACCAGCCCCAACCTGTGCGCAACCCCCTTTGCAACGGCTGTGGAATGTAAAATATGCAACTAGGCGAAAGCACAGCGTGTTCGTTCCAGCCATCCCCGTCCTCCGCTACGAGAGCTCTGTGACCCTGCGTCTTCTCGACATGATGCTTGATGTTGTGACACGGCTCTCCAAAACTCTCTCGCGCGAGTTTGACATGCTGCTCTCGAGTGTCGTGTCTTGCTCTTGTGCTCGTGCACTTTTTTGCGCCAAACAGCGACGCAGCACCGAAGCTTTGGCTTTGACCGTGGCTCTTGGTTACTAAGGAAAGACAGGAAGCGAAGGTGGTCGGTCAGCTACATTCCTCTTCTGCATTGCCAACCGAGGAACATAACAGAGGAACCATAAACGATTCTTCATCGAACAAAGTACAGCATCGTCGCGTTGCGCTCGATTTAAATCGGTGTAAATAGAGCTCGACACACCTCGTTGAAGATGAAGAAGCTGCTGGCTGGATCTTCGTCGCCGTCGGGCAAGAGTCAGATGGAACTCCAGTTGGACCAGCAGCCCCCAACCAAAATGGCCTCCCCCACCTCCTCTTCTTCGTTCAGTCTTTCCCTCTCATCTTCTGGCCATCTTGCTTCCCCCCCGCTCAAATCTTCAACATCCGCCCCTCCCTCATCTCCAACCACCACCGGCGGCAAGCAACCAAAAGCCGCGGCACCCTTGTCTTCATCTGGAGTCATCCATCTATGCCTCTACTGCGCAGAGAAGGTCGACATCATGTCCGAGCAGTACTGCCAGCTCGGCGGCGGCGCGCGCTACTGGCACACGCGGTGCGTCGAGAGCTCGCGCGCACGGCGGGAGACGACCATGATGCTCATGCACAGCATGAACCAGCTCGCCTCTACCTTCATCGGGCGACTGTCGACCGGCACAATGGCGCCCGACGACCAAGACGCCGACGATCGGTCGACCTCGAACAACACGTCGGACCTCGACACCGCGGACTGCTTCTCGTCGGCCACGGAGGGCGACTACACGATACGAAGCGACCGCGGCGGCGGTGGCGGTGGCGGCGGCGGTGGACGCGGGCGCAAGGCCGTGACGGTGTGGGACGATTCGGACGTGTCCGACGTCGACATCACCCTGCGCGGCCACAACGTCGTTGGCTCCATGCGCGGCAGCTCGTCGCCGTCGAGCAAGCGCCGGCCGCCGGTGGTGGTCACGAACGCGAGCTCGTCGCCCTCGCCCTCGCCCTCCCCGTCGCCGTTCGAGACCGTGCGCCGAGGGATGGCACCCTGGGGCGCGAGCCTGCGTCCACACGGCACCTTCTACCGCAGTCTCTCGTTCGAGCTCGACAGCGCCGGCAACACGATCCGACCCAAGCCCAAGCGACAGAAGGACAAGGACGCCAAGGAGAAGAGCCGCAAGGACAAGCACCCGCGCTTCAGTCCACACAAGAACAACAACAGCAGCACCAACAACAGCAACGCGGGCGACGGCGGCGAGGGCCGGATGATGGCCATGTCCTCCAGCTCGGCCATGCTCTCGCCCCGGCGCACCACACAGCTGCAGCAGCTGCAGCAGCACCCGCTGTCGGGGTCCCTGTCGTCCCTGTCGTCGGATGACGAGACGCCCAAGGACCGACCGCGCATGAGGAAGAAGACCAAGGGCAGCAGCGACAAAGGTACCACTCCACCGCACCAGTCCCACACTTCCCTCTCTCTCTCTCTCTCTCTGCCTCGGTCTGTGCCACTTTGTCGCGGACGGACTCGCACACGCGGTAGATTAGTCGCCGCGTATGTTGTGAATGTGTTTTCACATTACAGAACACATTCCAGCCAAACGTGTTTTCCTCTCTCTTCTCTTTATATGGTTTTATTATGTCCTTTTATGGTCTCTTATTCGCTGTTCGCAATCACGCTCCACTCACTGCTGTGTGTGCTGATGTCATCGGACATTGGCTGCAGGTAATCCCAACGCTCGCTCCAAGTGCGGAACGTGCGCTGAGGTGATAGCCAAGGTATCGTCGCACCAACTAGGCGCAGCGCGTGTGGGCGATAGCTGGCTGACCCATCTCTGCAGGACGGCAACTACGTGTTCGTGAACGGCAACAAGCACCATATCGACTGCTTCTTCTGTTCATCATGTCTTCGGCCGCGCTTCTATGAGTTGAAGGTACACCGCCTAATCCCATGCATGCATGCATGCCGTACACCAGCACGATCGCCCACCTCAAGACGCCCCGGGGACTGATGTGTGCCACACAGGATGGAAAGACGGTGTGTGTGGAGTGCTTGCCGCAGTGCGACGGCTGCAATCTGCCCCTCATCCCGGTGACGGGCGGCAAGCACGGAAGGCTGCGCACCCACAGCAACGGCAACAGTAACAATAACGGCGCCAGCTGCGCCGCCGGCCCCACCTCAGCCGGGGACAATGGCAGCAACAGCGGCCTGGCCAGCATCCAGCACAACAAGGAAAACATTAACGTCAACCCGCCGCTATTTGCCAGCGGCGACGAGTCGAGGGAGAAGACAGGCGGCGGCGGAGGCGGAGGCGGCGGGACGACGAGCGCTGGCCAGGAGGACAAGGAGGACGGCGAGGCGGAGATGGTCATCGAACGCGACGGCGTGGTGCAGCGGTTCCACAGGAAGTGCATCCTGAAGTGCCCCTCCTGCAGGCTGCCCATTCAGCGGAAGCGTGGCAAGCTCTACAAGAAGCAGGTACGCACGCGGCTCACCTCTCTCTCGGCTCGTATGTGTGTATGTGCCGTGTGTGTGCCGTGTACGACATGACGAGCCTCTCATCGCTTGCTTGCCGACACCACAGGGTAAACCGTGGTGCGCCAAGTGCATAACGAAGTGCTCGGTGTTCGAGGACAAGGCGCTGGTGGTGGTGAAGCCACAAGCCGGGTCCAAATCAAGATCCACGTCTATTCAGGTACCTTCTGCGCATTCGAAGCTCCACGTCCACATGTGAGCTTGGGCTCATCGGCTGTTGTTGTTGTTGTTGTTGTTGTGCAGGGCACTCATCACGGTCCCAATACGATCGAGGAGCTGCTGGGCGAGGAGCTGGGCCTGCACTCGTTCATCGACTTCATGGTGCACGACTACTCGGTGGAGAACATCCTGTTCTACCTCGACGTGGAGGCCTTCAAGCGGCTCAAGCGGAAGCAGGACATCCTCAGCCAGGCCAACAATATTTATAACAAGTACCTCACCACCGAGGCCGAGCTCGAGCTCGCCTCCATCGACGCCGAGGAGCGCAAGAAGCTCACCTACATCCTGGCCAACAAGACCGGCAAGGTCAAGAACAACTTCTTCGAAGCCCTCCAGAAGCACATCTACTCCTTCCTCAAGGTACCCCTCGACCCGTGTGCGTGTCGTGTCGTGTCGTGCGCGTGGAAGCTGACTGGTGGGCGGCCTGCAGGAGAATGCGTTCCCGAGATATCTGAAGAGCGACGAGTGCAGGGCGCTGCACAAGGCCAGCGGGGTGCCTCCCAGCTCCCCGGGGTCCAGCTCGGCCTCGTAGCCCGGGCCGCTCTCCTCCTCTTTCCTCTTTCCTCTTTCCGGCTCTCTCGGCGTCCCCCGCACGCGCAGTTAGACTGCGCGCGATCCGGACGGTCGTTGCCGCCTTCGCTCTCATCGTCAGTTGGCAGAGGTCAACCATATTCTCTCTCGTTCTCTCTTCCTCTTGCGCTCCTCCTGTACATGTCCGCAACCCGAGTCACTTTTGTTCGCCTTTCTTCGTCTTCGTCTCCTTCTTCATGTCTTCGTCTTCACAATTTGGCAGTAGAGGAGGAAGAAGAGAGGAGCGGTGGGAAGGGAACGGAGAAGCGACGCCCCAGAGCCACCAGCTCGCCCAACACCACCTCGTCCAACGGGATCTGTTCGCAACGGACGGAAAGCGGGGGAGAGTGGTGAGGTCGAGCTCTGTCGCAATACGTAGAGCGTCGAGATATGATGAGATGATGAGCAAAGAGGTGGAGAAGTCGACGTACGCCGTGCTGCCGCCTGACAACTTCGACTTTGATCTCGGGGTCGTTGGGAAGCATCACCGCGCTTTCCTTGGGCGGTTCGCTGCGCACCTCGTTCGTCATCTGCTGTACGGCCTGTTGATGCGCGGGAGCGAGAGTTTGAATGCGGCCCACAGGAATATGATCGCTGGTCATCAAGAGAGAGCCATCGGCATTGCGTACTTGCAGGAACTGAGGCAAAGAGACGCAGGCATCGCAGCGGGCCACCAGATAGAACTGGCCCAGTCGCCGCTTCTCGCTCATATCCGACGCTGATCACCAGACACGCGTCAACGCACAGCTCAGCCCCCGCTGCTGGTCCACTTGCGCTGCCCGGTGGCGAGAGGGTGGTCGTACTTGGCCCGTACATCTGCACGGTGTGGTGACCGAAGGCCATGCCCAGCAGGGCGGTACAAAGCAACTCGACCATCGCGGCCAGGCCGAAGCCCTGCCCGACCGGTAGGGAAACAGGTCAAGCTCTCGCGTCGTACGGCCCAAACCCAAGCCCTGGGCGAGAAGAGAGCGAGGACTACCTTGTAACTGCCGGCGGCCAGCAAAGACGACGCGACGTGCGGGTCCGTTGTGGGATTGCCCTCTTCATCCGCCACCGTGCCCTCGGGCAATCTGCGGCCCGACCGACCAGTGATTTGCTTGCGCGTGGGTGTGCGATGCGTGTGCGTGTGCGTGTGCGTGTGCGTGTGCGTGTGCGTGTGCGTGTGCTGAAGATCAGGTGGTTGTTACTGTTTGCCGGTCTTCCTGGCTGCCTCGACCTTGTTCCAGGGAATCATGCTGGTGGCCATGTCGAGGCAGAACGGCTCTTTCTCCAGCCGCGGGCAGGCGAACGCTATCGGGTTCGTCCCAAAGTACGGCTGCTTTCCTGATTGCCGATCGGGCCGACAGTTACATTGCCTCTCGGGATGGGTTGAAGAAGACGAAGCGACGATCATAGGTACCGTTGTGAGAGAGGATCTTGGGTCCGGTGTTGGTGAAAGCGAAGGCCAGGTAGCCCTGCGCAGCTGCGCGTAGCACGTACGACGCCATCATACCCGGATGCCTGACGAAAAGTAAGCGCCACCACAGGTCAGCGTACCACGACGGCGAGGAGAGAGGGAGCAAGTCGCTCATCCGTAAGGCGGAGAAAGGACTTACGTGGAGTTAATGACGCCCACTGCGGCTACGCCGTACTGCTGCGCTCTTTCGATGCCGATGTCAATGGCCTTGAACCCGGCCGCTGCGCCGAATGCGTGGTCTGTGTGCGTGCGTCGTGTGTGTCGTGCATGTCGTGTGTGTCGTTGTGTCGTGGTCGTGTGTGTCGTGTGTGTCGTGTGTGTCGTGTGTGTCGTGTGTGTCGTGTGTCGTCAGTGGCTAGCCGCACACTGGCGGGACATGGAACGACACACAGAGAGAACCGCTTACCGGCGTCGAGCACCACGAAGGCAGGGTAGGTCGAGGACCAGGTCATGTTGGGCTTCCCATTGATGCCGCCGTGGACCAGGTTCTACACCGCCACACTCAGCCCCCCCCTAAAGGTCCACGCAGCAGCGCCACTCACGCACGTACCTCAACGTAGTGTGGGAGCAGCCGAATGCCTGGTGAGAGGGGGGGGAGCACAGCCACACTCAGCCCATGGGCACTGTGAGAGGAGGGGTAACGCACCATGAGAGTCGACGCCGCGTAGGGAGCCCTCTGTGAGCGACCAGGCCACGGCCTCAGCCGAGGGCACCTCACACCCGGCCTTCTCCAGCACCGCCCGAGCGAAGAGCTCCAGCTGCACCCCGTCCACCCTCTGCTCCTCTTCCATTTTATTTTGACAATAATCATAAAATGGAAAAAGAACATAGTAATTTTCCTAAAGGCCGACTTTATTACAACTAAATAATAATTAAAATAATAAACAGTTCCCTGTGGAGATCGAGTTACATGTTGTCGTACAGGCTGTAGCCGTCGTAGTCCCCCAGCTCGCCTGTGGCAAGAGAGCGCGCAGTTCAACAGAGGATGTTAGTTGATGAGGTGGTTGTGTGTGTGCGATCATCGTTGGGAACGAGCCTTTGAGGATGAGAATCCAGTCGGTGAGCCACCAGGCCAGGCTGCCGAGGGACATGCAGCAGGTGAGGCACGACCCTCCGATGGAGAACAGGGAGGAGCACGTCAGCCCTTCGCCATAGTCGTCGCCGATTCCCACGTACTCCGTCCTGCGTCTGCACGCACGGTAGCATGGACGCGAGGGTTGTGGCGTCAACAAGCGATCACTCCAGCATCATCGCCATCACGCTATTTGCGCACCTGGCAAAACCACAGCAGGTGCCCAGACAGGACCCGATACAGGCGGGAACACAGGCCAGCACGTTGAGCAGAAGCTTAGCCACCCCAAGCTGCACAGTTGTTGTTATCGTGTTGTGTGTGTTGGTTAGAGTAAGCTGTTGTTGGCAGATTGCTCCTCTCTCTAAGAAGGCACATACGCCAATGAAGCCGAGGTAGAAGCGGTCAGCCCCGGTACTACCAATCAAGATGGACAGCAGGAATGCCTCGAGCTTGTTCTTGCGCTTGTGTTCGCACCACTTCCCTGACAACCAAAACAGAACAGTGTTCAGAAAAAATGTAGAAGGTGCAGATAAAGATGATGTGATGTTGGGGGGGGGTTGTACCTGCGTAGCGAGAGTTGCAGTGGCAGACCCCAGTGGCGTTGGAGTTGAGGAAGTCTTGCTGGAGGCCTGCGGCGGTGCTGGCGACGCAGTGGCCATGGTCGTTGCACTCGGCGGTTGAGTTGCACCTGCCTCCGCCACCGTCGCCGCCCAGGAGGCTCTCTGCTTCGCCACCAGTCGCAGCCGCGACGTGGACGACAACCACGGCAGCAAGCGCCCACAGAACCAGCAGCACACTCACCTTGTTGTAACCCATCTTTGTGTTGTTGACGCGTGAGCCGAAAGACCTCCAGAAACCAGGAAACGACTAATTGAAAATAAAATTGTATATTTTTATGTTTTATGTTTTTCTGAGTTAATAAAAATATGGGCGTAAGGGAGCTGTCGAGGTGGCAGATCACACGTGGATTGTTTACCTCGTCCATCTTGAATCTGGAACGCAAAGATGAGGGAGATAGACTTCAGTCGCGGCGTGCCCCAGGCTGTGCCCAAGCTTGTGCACAATCTGCGACGAACGGTGCACGAGATGACCTGGACCTGGCGATTGATTTTCCTTGGCATGATCTTGGCCGGCATCTTGCTCGTCTACTACAAGACCATCCTCGTCTGGGGCACGGTCAACCCGCTCTTCGTCTCCATGTACACGATGCCCTACCCTCCGCCCTACATGAAGCACACCTTCGGAGCCCAAGGCGCCATCGGGGAGCCGCCCGAGGGGTGGAAGCCCAAATCGCGCGTCGTGCTCACCCTCACGACCATGCCTCATCATCTGCCGCTGCTTCGCCCCGCGTTGGATTCGCTGCTGGCCCAATCGTTGCCTGCGGACAAGATCTACCTCAACATCCCGGAGGGCCGCAATCGGAGGAACAACATGAGCTATGATGAAGAGATCGCAAAGCACCACATCGTGTTCCCCACAGGCATCACTGTCAACCGCTGTCAGGACGTGGGGCCGCTGACCAAGCTGCTGCCTGCCGTGCTGGCCGAGGAGAAAGGCGATCCCGACACCATCATCATCACCGTAGATGACGATCAAGTCTATCCGCCCGACACCGTCAAGTACCTCGCCTGGTACGTTCGCTCTCCTCGCGTTGATGAAGCTCCCAACCAGCTGCTTTTTTAATCAACAATTAAATTAAAAATGATTAATAATAACAAAATAAATAAAATCACTTTATTTACGGCCGTTGTGTGGTGCAGGTACATGGAGCACTACTCGGATACTGCGTTCGGAGTGTGCGGGTGGGGCTTCATGTGGGTGCCGCCGCCCATGGGTGCGTCCACTCTCCTCCTCCCACCTCTCCTGGGTGCAACTGGTGCGCAACACGGGACACTCATTGTGTCGCTTTCCCTTTCGTTCACCGCCAGGTGTCGTTCCCGTCTATTTGACGTACATGCAAAGAGGGCCGGCTGGCACGATGGTATGTTGTTGCCGCTGCCACGATTCAACTCGTAGGAAGGAGATGCCGGGCAAGTGTCTCATAGATGGATACATGCCTTACTTTTGCCTGACCGTCTCGTCTCCTCCGCGAACGCGTGCAGGTGGACGTATTGCAAGCGTGCTGCGGTAACGCTTATCGCGTGTCGTGGTTCGACTCGGCCAAGCTCAAGAACGATCTGCCTTCTGAGTGCTTCACCACCGATGACCTGTGGATTGCGGGCTACCTCTCTGCGCAGGGCGACATCAAAAAGGTTCACACACACACACACACACAGACACCACAAACACACACAGTGTTGCTAATGCCTGCGCAGGCGATCATTCCCAAGCGTTTGGATCCGGACTCGCCGGAGTGGAAGGCGAACGAGCCCAAGAAGTGGCGACTCTCCACCGTCAACACCAACGACATGAAGGACATGAAGTGCATCAACGGCGTCAAGCGAGTCTATGGTACCGTAGCCTTTTTTCTATTCCCTATTCCTCTTGCTCTCTTTCACCAGCTTTGTGAACGCTAATGATGGTGATCAGGCGACTTCAAGACCGTGGCCGACCCACGCACCACCACGATGGTCAACAAACCACGCCTCTGAGCCTTCTTTGTCATTTATTATTTATTACCTTTTGGGCGTTTATGTGTAGATAAATCGTTACTGCGATCTCCCCCTGTCGGCGTTGCATAGCTATAAGCCAGGTTTTTTAAATCTATATGTTGCGATACAGCCGTGTCAGACACTCTCATCGTCTTCTTTGGTGAACAGCTCGCCCAGGGCCGAATTGAGGAATCGAAGGACCTCCTCCATGCTCGGTCGCTTCTTGGGCTTGCCCTTCCAGCACTGGGTCATCATCGCGCGGTAGTCGGCGGGGCAGTCGGCGGGCACCTGCGGCCGCTTGCCCTCGAGCACGTCCAGCGTCACGCCCATGAAGTTGCGCCCCGCGTACGGCTGCTTCCTCGTCGCCATCTCCCACATGATGATCCCGAAGCTGTACACGTCGGCCAGCTCCGAGTAGTGTTCGCCGCGGATCACCTCCGGTGCCGTCCACGCCGGCGTGCCGCACCGGGTCATCGTGATGTTCTCCTCCTTGATGCGGGCGAAGCCGAAGTCGGCCACCTTGACGTTCCACGACTCGTCCACCAGCAGGTTCGACGTCTTGAGGTCGCGGTGTATGATGCACGGCTCGAGCGTGTGCAGGTAGTGCATGCCGCGCGCCGCGTCCCGCAGCATGCGCAGCCTCATCTGCCACGGGAGCTTGATGGTGGTGGTCGACAGGAGGGCCTTGAGGGAGCCCTGCTTGACCCACTCGGTGACCAGGCACAGGTTGGGCATGCGCAGGCACGCCCCGATGAACAGTACGATGTTCGGATGCCGCATCTCCGACAGGCACGCCACCTCGGCCCTGAACTCCAGCAGGTGCCGCTCGTCGAGCCGCTGCTTGATGAACCGCTTCACCGCCACGTCGATGCCCTTCCACGAACCCTTGAACACGACGCCGTACGAGCCGATGCCGATCTGGTCGCCCAACTGGATGTCGTCGTACCTGATGACCCACCGCACCAGGTTGGCGCCCGTGAGAAACGTGTCCTCGCCGAGCCCGCTGGCCAGCTTCTCCAGGTCGACTGTCCGGTCGGAGATGTCGGCGTCGAGGTCGTCGACATCGTCGACATCGCTCCCGTACTTGCTCCTCCTGGCGCGCGACTCGTCGTAGTCGCTCGACGACGACTCGGCGTCGCCCGCAACGGCCGCGCCAAAGTCCCCAAAGTAGCGCGGCTCGAGTCCGCGCACCCGCATCTCGAAGATCTCGGTCTTGCCGGGCTCGTCGCCCAGCTCGGTGGCCCCGAGCCGCGCGAAGCGTCGGCGCTCCTTGACCAAGTCAGTGTTGCGCAGCCGCTCGAAGGCCGTGCGGGTCAGCAGGACCTGGCCGCCCTGGGCCAGCACCGTCACCCGGGCCGCGGCCACCACCGGCGGCCCGAGGTACTCCACCCGCCGCGACATCGGGTCCCGCCGCAGCTTGGGCACTCCCACGTGCACGCCCATCCGCACCCGCAGCCCGCGGAAGATGACCCGGTCGTCGACGCCGCCGATCTCCTCGGCCACGTCGGCCTGGTCCAGCAGCTCTTCCGGCCAGTCGACGTGGATCAGCTTGCGCTGGACGTCGCCGCACCACGCAAGCGCGTCGACCACGGTGGAGAAGGCCATGCAGAAGGAGCCCTCGCCGACAATCTTGTCCTTGATGAAGATGGCCTCGTAGCCCCGGTGCTTGGCCAGCAGCGAGCGCAGCAGGGCGTTGTGGAGCAGCGTGGCGTCGCGCATGGCGTTGGGGCACGTCGACCAGAGCGACGCCGCCTTGGCGATGTCGGTAAACACCAGCGCCACCTCGCCCTCTGGCGGCGGCACGCCCCCGACCAGGTCGGGCAAGTGGATCCGCGCATTGTCGTCGTCATCCGTCGTCGACCGACTGCTCGCCGTCGAGGCCCGGCCGCTCTCTGTAGTTACGGAAAGACAAGTACGCACGCAGAGATTTTAGCTCCGACGGGGGCCACGGCCCAGAAAAGAGAGGGGTAGCGGAGAGGCGTAGGTACGGTTGAGGTAGCCCCGACTTGAGGCGCGGGAGGAGGAGGACGAGGTGCCGCCGCCGCCGCCGCCCTCTTCGATCATGGCCGACAGGCGGGTCATGACCTCGAGGAAGGTCGGACGCACGCTCGGGTCGCGGTGCCAGCAGTCGGTGATCAGCTTCTCGTAGTCCGGGTCGACCGACCCTGCAAGCAGCCACGGAGTTAAACACCCGGCCAGAGCGGTGATTGGCGCTCCCATGATAAAAATGCAGAGCACGTACTCATGGTTATGGCCGGCCTTGCGTTGTCCCTGATGACCGCCACGGCAATGGCAGCCGGCGTGAGCCCGGCGTACGGTTGCTCCCTAATAAGGGAACGAGGGCGCAAGGTGAGCGCCTGAGCGATCGATTTTAACTCCGATCGACAGAAAATAGGTCCGGGCTGGTACCTGGTGAGCAGCTCCCAGAGGATGATGCCGAAGGCGTACACATCGGCCAGCACGTAGTCGACTCCGGTCTGCTCCGAGAGAGTTTCGGGCGCCATCCAGTGGATGCTGCCCTGCTGCTGGGCCGGCGCGTTCTTCTTGAGGTCGCCCTTGAAGCGGGTGAGGCCGAAGTCGCTCACCTTCAAGTTCCACTTGGCGTCGAGCAGCAGGTTGAGCGACTTGAGGTCGCGGTGCACGATGCCCGACGAGTGGAGGAAGTGCATGCCCTTGGCCGCCTGCAGCGCCAGCCGCACCATGAGGGGCAGCGGCAGATCGGAGATCAGCTCGTTGTGGATCAGCTGCACACCAACCACCACCGACGGAGCCATGCATTCTTGTGTCAGTACCGACACATTCCAATGTGTCGGGTGGTGTGGGGCTGGGCGTACGTCGAAAAGGGAGCCGAGGGCCATGAACTCCATGACGATGCACATGCGCGGCGGCCGCGTGCACGCCGCCATGAAGAGCACCACGTGCGGATGGCGCAGCGCGGTCATCACCTCCACTTCGTCCTTGAAGGCGCGCTGCATCTCCTTGGAGAGCACGCCCTGCTCGGCGGCGATCAGCTTCACCGCCACGTCGGTCCCCTTCCACTGCCTGTATGTGTCGAAAAAATCATACGTGTGAGCCAACCACAATTCAAAGCTGTCACGACACGCTAGCTGCGCAGAGGGAGCGTTACACGGTAGACTTCGCCGTAGCCGCCGCTGCCCAGGATGTCGCCCATCTCGAGCTCGTCGAAGTCGATCTCCCAGTCCTGCCGGCCCCGGCCGCGCGACCGGCCCAGCAGCCAGCAGCCCAGGCCCAGCGCCACGGCAGCCACCAGAAGGAGAATGAGGCCCGGAACGCCGGCGCCCAGCGCCACGCCCAGGATCACGCCCAGCGCCGTCGTGTTGGCTGCACCAACGAGGAACACGCGCGTGAGTGGGTCCCAGTGTTGTGTGCGCGTGCGAGTGCGTGTGTGTGTGCGTGTGCGTGTGTGATGTCGTACTCTTCTTGCGCTCGCAGTACTCGCCCTCGCGCTCGGCATAACAGACGCACGTGGAGTTGACACAGGTGCCCTGGTCGGCGCAGATGGTGCCCTCATAGATGCACCCGGCGAGGGAGAACGCGGGATCGCCCTGCGAGGTGACCGTTGCCAGCTGGTCGAGCAGATCGGACTTGGCCGTTTGAGCCATGGACGCCACCACCATATGTCCTCTGCGATCATACATCCGAGAGCAAATAAGAATGAATACGAACTAAAGCCTGTGCGGTGTGTGCGGTGTGTGTGCGGTGTGTGCGGTGTGACGTAATCGACGTACGAACGGGCAATCTGCCTCGCGTTGGTGTCGGTTTGGGTCCAATAAATCCAGTCGACGAGGGCCTGCGCCTTGGCCAGGTCGGGCAGGGTCTCCGACCGCACCATGAGCGCATTGAACGTCACCATCGGATAGCTGTCAGGTCCCGGCGCTGCATTATTGTTATTAGTATTAGTGTAGCACAACATCAGATGTGCGTGTGCGGCTTGCGTGCCGAGTGTGAGAACTACACGTACACAGCATGATGAACAGGTCGGTCGGACTGCCCTGGTGGTTGGTGATGGCCGACACGATGGTGACATCGTTGGGTGTGACGTATCGGCCCTCGGCGTTGGGGATCTGTGCGAATTGGAGCGTGGGCGCGGAGTTGAGCGTGAGGAAGTGGACCCACCAGGAGAAGATGTATTTCGTGTTGTCGAGCGCGGTCTGCATCGCGCCCAGCCCGCTGGTGGTGATGGTTCGGTTCGGGTCCTGCTGGGCCACCGGGTAGGTGGGCAGAGCAACTGGACCCACCTGCGTGTGTGCGTGTGTGCGTGCGTGTGTGTGTGTGTTGTGTGTTTGTGTGTTCCAAAAGATGGTGTCAGCTTGAGTGCGCGTGCGGTCGCAAAGGTAAAATGTGTGAATGAAGCGCACCATTGTGTTGAACTCGGGCACGCGGGCGCTGAGCGTTTGCATGACCGCCTGGACGGAGGTCTGCGCCGTGGTGACCACCGGGATCATAATGTCCTGGTTCGGCAAGAGGTGTGCCACGGCCGGATTGAGCTCTCGTATGCGCGTGTCGTTCCAATTCTTGACCTGACCCCCACCAACCGACTCAGCAAACGAGAGGCCTGGGAGGCTCGCGGCCGTGGAAATGTTACCTTGTTGAGATAAATGTCCGACACGACTTCCCAGGTGAGGTTCATTGGCGGCTGTCCAACTAACTCAGGGATCTGTTTATCGCAGAAGCACAGTTTCAGAGCTGATTCACACACACACAGCGCACAACACACGCACAGTGACCGAGGCCGCAACATACGTTGTAGGTGAAGCAGTAGGCGTGAGCGGTCACTTTGACGGCGATCACATCGGGCATGGGCTCTAGGGTCTCTGCGCTCAGAGGCACCACCGTCGAACCGAAGTCGATGTCGCCTGCATTCACACGGCCACGAAGAAGAAGAAGAAGCCACAAACACTCACCGTCGTTAACGAACTCTCCCACAGGACGAGTTCAATCAACTCTGAGCGGACAAGTGGCATACCTGTCTGCATGTACTTGGTGGAGGTGAGCGCATCGCCGGTGAAGAACTTCATCTTGAAATTGCTCTGCCGGTACTCGGCGGCCCAGGCTGTGTAGACCGGCTGCGGCGCGCCGAGGCCGATGACGTAGGCCGAGCTAGTGGCGCGCACGTTGTCGCAGGTGATCGTGCCCAGCGTGTCCATCAAACGGCGACGGTATGCAATGTCCAGACTCACAAAGCCCTCATTCTGCGCCAACGTCACCGCATAATCGTTCACCTGGAAAACCGCACACGACACGACACACGACACACAATGTGTGAATTTATGCCCATCAACACTAATGACCAATCCACACCAATGGCTATCTAGCCTCGGCGTACCTGGGTCCAGCTGATGTAGTCCAACAGGTCCTTCACCTGCGGGCAGTTGGTCGCTATGCTCGCGTTCAAAGGCACAAGCACCACCGCGGCGAGATAGGTCAGCGGCCAGCTGCCGTTTCCGCCGTTGCTGATGTCCGCCACGAACTGATTGTCGAACACCGTCGTGCGGTACCAGGCCAGGGCGCTCTGCACGGTGGTCGCGCTGGGCGCCACCGTGGTGCCGTTGGCGTCCTTCATCACCGAGTAGCTCATGCCCATCGTGTCCACCAGCCGGAAGTAGCTCAGCGTGTACGGCGCCGACAGAAGGCGGGACTTCCGGTTCGTCACGTTGTTGTCCGCGTAGCCGCTGCCGCCGAGCAGGCCGTAGAGCGAGCCACCAGCAGCCTCGAACGCCGCGTCAAAGGCCGCGTCGTGACAGAGCGCCTTGGTGAACGCCGCCGTCACGTCGGCGCGCAGCGGATCGGCGATGCGCTTGTAGAGGAGCTCGATCGGCGCGCCGGGAAGCTTGAGCGCAATGGCGGGATTGAGCGCGGCGATGGCCGAATCGTTCCACAGGGTGATGTCGCCGCGCCAGATTCGCGCGAGCGTGGGCAGGTCGAACACGAGCGTGTCGGTGGTGGCGTTTAGCTGAGGCAGGTGGTAGCCCATCACGATGGCGCTGGCCGTGAGCGGCAGCTGCACGAACGGGCCGCCGAAGGGAGCGAGCAGCGTGGTGTCCGTCACCACCGATTCGGCCACCGCGAAGTTGACCAGGTCGTCATCGAACTGGGTGAGGGCAGCCGTGAGGTTGGTCGCTACAGCCACAGAAACGTCCAGGTCGTCCCTGTTATGCACTGTACATGAGCGGTCGTCCACCAAGGAATTGTTTATAAAATAAATAATAAAATAATAAAATTGGCAAAACTAAAACGAAAACGAAGGGCACAAAGAACGAAGGAGATGGAAGGGGAGGAAAGGGGTGACGCGAACCGGACGTAATGGTAGGCTGTGCGCCAGGAGCGGAAGAGGGAGGAGAGGCTGGCGGGGCCGGCGCCAACGACGGCTCGTGCTGGCACCGCACCCCAGCACAGCCCCATCAGGAGAAGTCCCAGCAAGATGGTCCTCTTTGATGGTGACGTGGCCGCTCGCGCTCGCCCGCGCGGCACTTCCATTTTGTGTGCAGCACAAGCTCACAGTCCTCTGCGAACTGCTTCGCCACTTCACCCTTTGATCGATCTAATTGATTTTTGATTGCACCTTTAATCTTGTGTCTTTCGTGTTTTTCGTAAATGCACGTGCGCCCGCGGCCCTCGGCCTCTATCTGGTGGATCCACAATACACGTGTGAACGCATGTTGCCTTAAATGGCAGATATCCGCCAATCGGATATTTTGGTGCAAACGCACGTTGTTAATTGGCGGCTCGGATGTTCGTGAAAATTTTTCCGCCGTAGATCCACAAGCAACACGACTCACTCACGAAGCGTCGCTGCTCTTGCTGACGGTGGGCACGCGAAGGGCGCGACACTTGAAGCTGTGCACGCCCGCGCCGCAGTCGCAGTAGAAGCTGGACGAGGTCCGAGGTCGGGAGAGTTGATGGCCCTGTCAGAAACGATGGAGAGTGCGGTTGGCATGTTGGGCCTCGCTCTTGCGCTCGATGCAGTGATACGGCACCACACGGAACCAAGAAGCAGCCACGAACCTTGTGGCAGACCCGAGCGCAGGCCTCGCAGCAGCCTTCGTTGCCAGAGAGATTGCACGTGTAGCATTGGTACCAGGTCTGGTACGCGTGCAAAAGGCATGGCGGGTAAATTGGGAAGCCCATATGGCCACTGCAGGGCAGGTGGGGGTACCTGCGAAGCGTAGTGTGGGCCGGTCACGGCGTAGGTGCACACATTCGCCGCGATCGCTTGCTGCACGCGCGGGTCTATGGTTTGCACTGGTAGCGCGAATGGAATGAAACATCGAATGAGCAGAGTCCAGAGTCGTGACTGATGCGTAAGCCGAAGCCATGGATTGTGGGGGGACTTACTCGGGCCGTAGATCGCTACTAGTTGTCGCTTTTGCTCAGCGGTCAGCGGCGCGTCGGCGTCGGGGTCCTCTGAGTGCATCAGCAGCCACTCCATGGCCACCTCGAGGTTCATCCTGTGTATGAGGCACCCCACGTTAGCAGCGACAGTCGGCGCACACGGTGGTGGCCACTTCGACACCACCAACGCACCTGTGGAGCCAGAGCGCCTTCTTGGCCCTCTCCGCAGGGAAGCCCATCTCGGTGAGCATCTGTATGTCCTCCGGCTTGGGTTCGGGCAGGGCCGGCTCTGCCGGGGGCGCAACGGGCGCGGGCGCAGGGACCGCAGCGGGCTGAGGTGGGGTCGATGGTGTAGGAGTCGAGGGCGAGCCCACAGCAAACGGGCCGCCAACCACCGGAGGGATCGTGAGAATCGGCGGCACGGCACCAGGCGGAGTCTGCCCGCCTATGGGCGCACACACAACGAGCGGGGGAGAGGTCAGCACGTTGGTGATGGTGATGGTGGGGCCACGTCCACTGCTGCGCTGTGGCGGGCGAGAGCGACCGAACCTGTCGATGCGGTAAAGGCGGTGGCCAGCTCCATGAGCATCCGCTGAAGGTCTAGCTGCCCTCCGCCCGGGATCGGAATCGGCGCGGCGCCGGGGCTCGTGCCCAAGGCCACAGGAGGCGCGACAGCCTGGACGAGGCGTTTGGTTAGCTTTGATGGCGAGCAGGCTGCATTGTAGAGGGGGGGACGCACTGCAGGAACGGGCGCAACAATGGGCTGCGGCTGCGCCACGGGCGGTGTCGTGGGCGTGGGGACAGGGGCGGCGGTTGGGGCGGCCGCGCCGGTCAAGAACGGGGCCTCGAAGGGGAGGTCCAACACTTCCTCCTTCACCAACTGTTGGGGGGGGGGCAAGGCACTGAGTACGGCTGACGGATTTTGAAGGGCTGTGAATTGGGGGCAGTACAGGAACGAGGAGGATGAGGTGGTCGTTCTCATGGAGGTTGAGGCTCGCCACGGTGGCGTCGTCCTGCAGGGCGCGACCACGCCACACCAACTTCTGCCGCTTGGCCTCGAAGCCCTTGGCGCGCTCAATCGAGGCCTTCACCTGCTCGATCTGCCGAGGGGAGTCAATGCTTGCGCAAAACATCACCTTCTCCCATCTGAGCATCTGCCCGCAGCTGCGTACCTTTTCATCACGATTAACTGTGATGGCGAAGCGCCCCTCTTGCACTGGCTTGACCCAAATCTTCATCTGCTCTTTCACACAAAAATAACAATAAATACAATTTCAAAATGAAAAAAGAATAAAAGATCTAAATCGTCCGCATACTTGGCATGCCGCCTGACGCAAAAACGATAAGATTTGACCAATGGACGAGCACCACCCTTGTCCTCTCCGTTGTTTTTGGCCAGTAAATGCCAGGCACAGGTATTGCGTCGGAGGTAATACTTCTTTGCCGCCTTTCTTATTCTCTCCAAGTGCCCGCCACAAACCCATCTAGGTACGGTTCCGTGCTTCATCTTCGTGCGAAGGTCTTTCGCTCGATCTCTTTTCCATCAAATCTTCTTCTTTTTTCCTCGAGGACTTCTTCCTCGTCGCTTCGTTCTTCTCGCTTCGCTCTTTCTCCATTTCGCGCACTCCCACTCCGGAAGTGCGTCATCTTCTGTTCCCTTACACCTCTTATTACTCCTCCGACGCTCGCCCACCTTCAATCCACTTCCATCTCGAGATCAACATTCACGAATTTGGGTAAAATTGGGTCAATTCCATCTGATCTCTCCTTTTCGCTGCGCAGAAAGCTTTCTTCGTGTTTCGATCCCCACCCGCCGAGATGACGCAGTGGCGCAAGTTCTCGGTCTCCATCTTTCTCATCTGCCTCCTCGAGTTCGTCTTCTGGGCCTACTGCACCGTGTCGGCTGCCGGTGCCGCCGAGGAGATGTACATGGTCAAGGGCATCGAAACCTTCAAGAACGTCGATGGCCACGACGACACGGCTAGGCTGGGCAGCGCCCAAGAGGCGGCCAGCCTCGTCGAGCGCACCTCCAACGAGAACAACCTCAAGGAGGCCGACATCCACCACCACGGCCTCGGCCTCTTCGCCAACACGGCCATCGATGGCCACAACGGCGTCGGGCGTCTGGGCGTGTGGATCGCCGTCGCGGTCGGCCTGCTCGGCTTCAAGTGGCTCTTCCCCCACTACGTCAAGAAGGCTCAGGAGCTCATGGCCCATCCCTATGAATTCTACCAGATGCTCAAATTCAAATTCTTCTACAAGGTACCCTCCCCTTCTCTTTACTCCTCCTTCACTGCTCCCTACCTCAATCTGAATAGATACCTGATCATTCAATCTCGATTTTCTTGCGAGATGCATCTCCTCGTGTTATTGTTTGTTATTTTTATTTTTGGTTTGCTCTGTTTCCGCGTTGCAGGCGCACAGGCCTTCCATAATTAGGAAATTATATTTAAAAATAGGCAAAAACAAAAAGTATTTCAATTATTCTTTGCCGCTCGTTGCTGTGCGACGTCACGGAGTTGCTCCCTCTTAGTGATGTGTTGCACATCTCATGGCAATATTAACCTTTATGTGGTTGGGCTTCTCCTTTTCGGTTGCAGGTCCCCGATTTCCCCAAGAACTTGTCCGAGGCCGACATTTACAGCTACAAGAAGCTGGTGAAGGTCTCCCGCTCCTTCGCCGCCGTCATCGCCGAGCTGCCCGAGGACCTCAGAAGACCCGTACGCGCCCTGCCTGGGCCGAGACCCATTTTCCCCCGTATATTCATTCGGCCCATCAAGCCACTAACACCGTACCACACGTTCCACATGCAGATTGCCAACTTCTACCTGGTATTGCGCGGACTGGACACCGTCGAGGACGATATGTCTATTCCTCTGGAGAAGAAGGTGCATGGCACCTTCAACTAACGTTCCGCCATGTACCATGTGCTTGACCATGATGACGATGATGGTGATGGTGATGGTGATGGTGATGACTAACCCACTCGCCCCTGTGTGATGTGATAGATGCCCGAGCTGAGGAGCTTCTACAAGCACCTGTACGAGAAGGGCTGGAACGTGAGCGGATACGGCGACAACGCGGACGAGAGAGATCTCTTGGAAAGGTTCCACTACGTCGTCGACGTCTTCCTCGACCTCAAGCCCGCGTACGCACCTCGCCCCTCTCCGAAGTCTTCGCTTTCGCTTTCGTTCTTTTTGTGTGCGATGTTCTTTTTTCGCTAACTCCTATGGCTGCTAAATCCGACGCGTCGTGCAGTTATCAGCAGGTTATTGCGGACATCACCCGCAGGATGGGCGAGGGCATGGCCAAGTACGCCGGCGAGAAGACCGTCGTCACGCTTGAGGACTACAACGAGTACTGCCACTACGTCGCCGGCCTCGTCGGCATCGGCCTCAGCCAGATGTTCGCCGCCTCTGGCCTCGAATGTACGCTCCCGCCCTGTTCCACAACGCCACGCCAGCAGCCATGGTGGTCATTGAGCTGACTTCATTTCTTCCCCTTTTTCTTTTTCTTCAATTTGCAGCCGAGAAGTTCGGTCAGATGGACGAACTGGCCAACAGCATGGGCCTCTTCTTGCAGAAGACCAACATCACCAGGGACTACCTCGAGGACGTCACCGCCGTCAACCCTCGCATCTTCTACCCAAAAGATATTTGGTACGCGTTCTGTCACGCGTCTGTGTGTCGTGTGTGTCGTGTGTGTCGTGTGTGTCGTGTGTGTCGTGTGTGTCGTGTGTGTCGTGTGTGTCGTGTGTGTCGTGTGTGTCGTGTGTGTCGTGTGTGTCGTGTGTGTCGTGTGTGCGGCGCACTCACCTTTGGACTGTATGTAGGGGTAAGTACGCGAAGAACATCGGTGACCTCAAGGAGCCCGAGAACAAGGAGCAGGCGCTGCAGTGCCTGAACGAGATGGTCACCAACGCGATGGCCCACATCAACGACTGCCTGGACTACATGATGCTCCTGACCCACCCCAACGTGTTCAAGTTCTGCGGCCTCCCGCAGGCCATGGCCATCGCCACGCTCGCGCGCATCTACAACAACTACGACGTCTTCAAGAGGGAGGTCAAGATCAGGAAGGGCGAGGCCGTCCAGATCATGATGTACGGCGGTAACTACGAGACCATCATCAGCTACTTCGTCCAGTACATCAAGGAGGTTCGTCTGCTCCCCTAAGAGCCAGCCGCGCGTGTAACTTGTTTTCTTTGTCGTGTGCGCACACACTCAGCTTCGTGTGTCGTGTGCAGTTGGAGGACAAGATCCCCGAGAGTGACCCGAACGCCGAGAAGATGAGGCACTACATCGCCGTGGCGAGGGCGAGGATCGCCAAGGGCAGGGGAAGGCAGCAGTAAGGGACCCGCCCCTGCTGCATCTCCTCCCCGCGCATCTGTAAAACAACACCGCCACCCAGAAGCAGCACGCGCATGCCGGAAGGCAATCAACAGAGAGGGAGCTGGATGGCGGAGAAAGGGAGGGGAAGACGAAGAGAACATTTTGTATGACACTTGCCTCATGATGAAGGCCACCAACAGCAAAACACTTTGTTCCTCCACTGCCTTTGCACCCAGTCTCGATAAACAAAATCAAAAATCAAAATCAAAATCAAATAGTAGAAATAAATCAAAATACGAGCTTTATTAAAAAGGATTAAAAAAAGATCTATTTTAGCGCAGTTACTCAAAGGTGATGTTCCAGCGGAAGGCGAACCACTGCTTCTGCACCGAGGTCTGCACGGCCTGCGACCAGAACTTGACCTGCTTGGCCACGCGGGTGACGTAGGTGTAGTCGAACACGACCGGCGTGAAGTCGCGGCAGAGCATGGGCTTGCCCAGCGAGTAGCGGCCGCCGTGGTTATCGATGACCGGGTTGACCCCCAGGCCGGTGTCCATCGTGATGTCGCCGTTGGAGCGGGTGATGGTGAAGCTGTTGGTCGCCCGAGGGTAGCCCTTGGCGTCGAGCTTGGCCAGCAGCTGGTCGATGACGCCCTGCTCGACCGCGGTGTCGCCCAGGTCTACGTCGCGGGTGATGTTGTAGAAGAAGTCCCGCAGCTCCTTGAACTGGGCGCGCTCCTGGTCGAAGCTCGCCCGGCTGCCGAAGGCCGGCTGGGCCGGGTCCCACTGGCTGTCCTGGCAGAAGAACAGCGTCGCCTGCGCCGAGCTCACCGCCAACAAAGCAACCACCACTACCCACGCAAGCGTGCTCATCTTCATCTTCATCTTTTTTTCCGTTACAAGAGCAACAAAAGAAAACATGAGGGAAATAGAAGAATAATATTCGTTAATTTTACAGTGCAAGCCGAGCAGAAGTCTAGGCGAGTTCATCGGTGGCGGGGGAGCCGAGAGCCGAGTTGAGGTACTGGACCACCTCCTCCATGCTCGGGCGCTTCTTGGGCTTGCCCTTCCAGCAGCGCATCATCATGTCCTTGTAGTCGGCGGGGCAGTCGGCGGGCACCTGCGGCCGCTTGCCCTCGAGCACGTCCAGCGTCACGCCCATGAAGTTGCGCCCCGCGTACGGCTGCTTCCTCGTCGCCATCTCCCACATGATGATCCCGAAGCTGTACACGTCGGCCAGCTCCGAGTAGTGTTCGCCGCGGATCACCTCCGGCGCCGTCCACGCCGGCGTGCCGCACCGGGTCATCGTCGCGTTGTCCTCCTTGATGCGGGCGAAGCCGAAGTCGGCCACCTTGACGTTCCACGACTCGTCCACCAGCAGGTTCGACGTCTTGAGGTCGCGGTGCACGATGCACGGCTCGAGCGTGTGCAGGTAATGCACTCCGCGCGCCGCGTCCCGCAGCATGCGCAGCCGCTGCTGCCACGGGAGCTTGATGGTCGAGTTGCCGAGGAGAGCTTTGAGGGAGCCCTGCTTGACCCACTCGGTGACCAGGCACAGGTTGGGCATGCGCAGGCACGCTCCGATGAACAGCACGATGTTCGGGTGCCGCATCTCCGACAGGCACGCCACCTCGGCCCTGAACTCCAGCAGGTGCCGCTCGTCCAGCTTCTGCTTGATGAACCGCTTCACCGCCACGTCGACGCCCTTCCACGTGCCCTTGAACACGACGCCGTACGAGCCCGTGCCGATCTGGTCGCCGATCTGAATGTCGTCGTACTTGATGACCCATCGGACCAGGTTGGCGCCCGTGAGGAAGGCGTCTTCGCCCGTGCCGCCGGCCAGCTTCTCCAGGTCCATCGACGTGTCGCTCCGGCCGCTGAGCCCGGCCAGCTTCGACGAGTGGTCCTTGCCGGTGCCGCTGGCCGAGTCGGTGTTCTCCTCCTGCGCCGTGCCAAAGTTACCGAAGTAGCGCGGCTCGAGCTCGGTCACCTTCATCTCATAGATCTCCGACTGGCCCTGCTCGTGCCCGAGGTCCATCGAGCCGAGGCGCAGGAAGCGGTTCTTCTCCTTGGCCAGGTCGGTGTTGCGCAGCTTGTCGTAGACCTCGCCCGAGAGGAGGACCTGGCCGCCCTGGGCCAGCACCGTCACCTTGGCCGCGGCCACCACCGGCGGCCCGAGGTACTCCACCCGCCGCGACATTGGGTCCCGCCGCAGCTTGGGCACTCCCACGTGCACGCCCATCCGCACCCGCAGCCCGCGGAACACGAGACGGTCGTCGACGCCGCCGATCTCCTCGGCCACATCGGCCTGCGCCAGCAGCTCCGCCGGCCAGTCAACCCGGAGCAGCTTGCGCTGGGCCTCGCCGCACCAGGCGAGCGCGTCGACAATGCTAGAGAAGGCCATGCAGAAGGAACCCTCGCCGACGATCTTCTCCTTGAGGAAGACGGCCTCGTAGCCCCGGTGCTTGGCCAGCAGCGAGCGCAGCGTTTCGTTGTGGAGCAGCGTGGCGTCGCGCATGGCGTTGGGGCACGCCGACCAGAGCGACGCCGCCTTGGCGATATCGGTGAACACCAGCGCCACCTCGCCCTCCGGCGGCCGCACGCCGCCCACGTGATCGATCGCGGCCGCGCGTCCGCCCACGCCATCCGACGACATGCTGCTCGATGAGCCCACGCCCGAAGAACTGCTCGTCGCTGTGAGTGTCGTGTGTCGTGTTAGCACAGAACGCACACACAAACTAAAATGTGAGGCCAGCAAATGGGTACCGGAGCCGCTCGGTCGCATCTTGGACGAGGTGAACGAGGAGGACGAGGAGCTGTTGCCGTCGTCGACCATGGCCGACAGGCGGGTCATGACCTCGAGGAAGGTCGGGCGCACGGTCGGGTCGCGATGCCAGCAGTCGGTGATCAGCTTCTCGTAGTCCGGGTCGACGTGGCCCGAGGGCATGCTCGGGCGGGCGTCGTCCCTGATCACCGCGACGGCGATCGCCGCCGGGGTGAGGCCGGCGTAGGGCTGCTCGCGCGTGAGCAGCTCCCAGAGGATGATGCCGAAAGCGTAGATGTCGGCCAGCACGTAGTCGACGTCGGACTCCTCGGCCAGGATCTCGGGCGCCATCCAGTGGATGCTGCCCTGCTGCTGCTGCTGGGCGTCCTTCTTGAGGTCGCCCTTGAAGCAGGTGAGACCGAAGTCGCTCACCTTCAAGTTCCACTTGGCGTCGAGCAGCAGGTTGAGCGACTTGAGGTCGCGGTGCACGATGCCCGACGAGTGGAGGAAGTGCATGCCCTTGGCCGCCTGCAGCGCCAGCCGCACCTTCAGCGGCAGTGGAATGTCGGGAATCAACTCGTTGTGGACCAGCTGAATGCATACGAAGATGTTGTGATCAGCTGACGCATTTCAATGTAAAACTGCAAAGAGTGATTGTGATTGGAAGAGGCGTACGTCGTAGAGGGAGCCGAGGGCCATGAACTCCATGACGATGCACATGCGCGGCGGCCGCGTGCACGCCGCCATGAAGAGCACCACGTTGGGATGGCGCAGCGCTGTCATCACCTCCACCTCCGCGGCGAAACTGCGTTGCATGTCCTTCGAGATGGACCGCTCCTCGGCAGCGATGACCTTGACGGCGACCTCGGTTCCCTTCCACATGGCTCGGTACACCTCGCCGTACCTGATCGTTGATGATGGTCAGTCGCACGACAAAGAACGAAAGGCGAAATGGGGGGGGGGAATGAGAGAAAGAACGAAAACGAAGCAGAAAAGCGAAGAGGTAGGGAAGGGGTTGGGTACCCTCCAGCACCGAGGATGTCGCCCATCTCGAGCTCTTCCACTTCGATCTCCCAGTCCTGGCGGCCGTGACCGCGCGACCGGCCGAGCAGCCAGCAGCCGACACCGAGCGCGATGGCGGCGATCACCAGCAGGATGAACACAGGGATGGCCGACCCGAGCACGGCGCCGAGGATGGTGCCCAGCGGCGTGCCGCTGTCGGACTTGACGCTCTCGCAGAACTCGCCCGAGCGGTTGCTGTTGCACACGCACGAGCCCTGGACGCAGGTGCCCTGGTCGAAGCAGACCGTGCCCTCGTAGATGCACCCGGCCAGCGAGAAGGCCTGCACGCCGCCCGAGGTCACGCTCGCCAGCTGATCGAGCAGCGTGGCCTTGGCCGGCTGGGCCAGCGACGCCACCACCATGTTGGCCCTGCAGCAACACCACCACCGTTTTGGGTCAGCCTCGAGTAAGCGACCCCCACACAAAACGGTGCAATCGACGTACGAGCGGGCAATCTGGGCGGCGCTGGAGTCGGTCTGGCTCCAGTAGATCCAGTCGACCAGGGCCTGCGCCTTGGCGTAGTCGGGCATGGTCTCCGTGCGGACCATGAAGGCGTTGAAGGTCACCATCGGGTAGCTGTCGGCGCCGTCAGCCAGCATGATGTAGAGATCGGTCGATGCGCCCTTGTGGTTGGTGATGGCCGACACGATGGTCGTCTCGTTGGGGTAGACCAAGTTGCCCGCCGCGTTGGGCAGCTGCACAAAGTTGAGCGTGGGCGCGCCGTTGAGCGTCCAGAAGTGCACCCAGGCCGCGAAGATGTTGGGCGTGCTCAGCAGCAGGTTCTGCATGGTCCCCAGACCACCGATGCCACGCGTACGAGCCGGCTCCTCGACTACCACCGGGAACTTGGGCAGGGACACCGGGCCGATCTAGTACCGATGCGGAACGCATGGAATGTTAGCACTCACTGCGCGATGCCTTACATTCCAGCTGTGGTGGTTGGCGGTACCGTATCGTTGAACTCAGGCACCATGGCGCTGAGGGCCTGCATGGAGGCCTGGACGGACGTCTGGGCGGAGGTGATGTAGGCCACGATGATTTCGGCTTCCGGGAGCAGGTTGGCCACGCCGGGGTTGAGGTCCTTGATGCGCGTGTCGTTCCACATCTTGACCTGTGTGCGTTGCGGGGGCCAAGACAAGTCAAGATGAGTTTGGCGTGCGACGTGGCGTGCCCAGCAACCAAGAGGGTGACGAGAATTGGCAGGCTCTGATTAATCAGTGACCAGACCAAGAGTAGGTAAGCGGTGGTGGGGCATACCCTGTTGAGGTAAATGTCTGACACCAACTCCCAGGAGAACACCAGCGGAGGGTATCCCACCAACGCCGGAATCTACATAGGTTCGTAATGAAGCGGCAGGTCGTATGGTGAGCTTTGCGGGGCACGACACACACACACACACACACACGCACGAGCACGTACGTTGTAGGTCCAGGTGTAGGCGTGGGCGCAGGTCTTGACGGCCACAACGTCGGGCATGGGCTCGAGGGTGGCGGCGCTGAGGGGCACGACGGTGGAGCCGAAGTCGATGTCGCCCGACTGCATGTAGCGGGTGGCGGTGAGCGCGTCGCCGGCGTAGTACTTGAGCCGCAGGCTGCTGTCGGTGTACTCGGACACCCACGAGCTGTAGACCGGCAGCGGGCCGCCCAGGCCGATGACGTAGGACGACGTGATGGCCCGAAGGCCGTCGCAGGTGATGGAGCCCAGGGTGTCGATCAGGGTGCGCCGGTAGGCAATGTCCAGCGCCACGTAGCTCGCGCTCTGGGCCAGCGTGACGGCGTAGTCGTTGACCTGGGTCCAGGCCAGGTAGTCCAGCATGTCCCGCATCTTGGGGCAGTTGCGCGACGTGTTGACCGTCTTGTAGAACGCCGCGACCGAGCTCAGGTAGGCCAGCGGGTAGCTGCCGTTGCCGCCGCCGCTGATGTCGGCCACGAACACGCGGCTGAAGACCGACGCGCGGAAGTAGGCCATGGCCGTCTGCACGGTCGCGGCGCTCGCCGCCACCGTGGTCCCGTCGGCGTCCTGCATCGCCGCGACCTTGAGGCCGCTCTGGCTCTGAAGTGTGAAGTAGCCCAGCGTGTAGGCCGTCCCGTTCACCCGGCTCTGGCGGTCGGCTACCACGTCGCTGCTGTAGCCGGCGCCGTTGAGTATATCGTACAGGGTGCCGTCGCTGGCCGCCAGGGCCGCCGCGAAGGTTGGCTCGTGCGCGAGGGCCTTGACAAAGGCCGCGGTGACGTCGGCCTCCAGCGCGTCGGCCGTGCGCTTGTAGACGAGCTCGATCGGGTTGCCGGGGAGCCGGGCCGAGAGGGTCGGATTGAGCGCGGCGATGGCGGAGTCGTTCCAGACGGTGATCAGGCCGGCGAAGATGCGGCCCAGCGTGGCGATGTTGAGCACGAGGGTCTCGTTGGCGTAGAGCTCCGGCAGGTTGTAGCCGATGATGATGGCGTTGGCCGTGAGCGGCAGCTGCACGAACGAACCGCCGTAGTTCGCCGACAGCCGGGTGGTGTTGAAGATCACGGCCTCGGTCATGACAAAGTCCACCGATCCGGCCGCGTACTTAGTCAACGCCACCGACACGTTGGCCGTCGTCGAGAACGACACATCCAAGTCGTCCCTGCGTTGCGCCACAAAACAATAAATTAATGTATATCAAAAAATACGCCAGAAAACAGAACAATAAGAATAAACAAATAAATAAAGACAATTAATTAATTTAACACCACGTAACGGGAGCATGTGGTCGGAAATTCGAGAGGCGCCGACCGTAAGCCGCGGCGATCTATAGTGACCGGGGGCCAAGCACACGCGAGATGAAGATGTTTGGGCTCAACGGCTCACACGCACCTGACGTAGTGGTAGGCGGTTTGCCACGACGATGCGAGGGGGCTGAGGCCCGACGTGCCGGCCGCGGTGATGGCGTGCGACGGCGTCACCAGCGCCAACATGGCCGTGGTGACAAACATGACCGCCAACATCATCTTCAAGCTGATGGCCCAAGCCCTTCCTCGTTGCTGGAACCCCATCGTGTGACTACTCGAGTAGGGCGAGAGAAGGGCGGCTATCTAGATAGTGTACACACCTCGACTTGGGCTGGATGTGCGCTGGGTGTGTGATGTAGGTGAGGTGCTGAAGGAAAAAAAGGTGTTGAGCCGTTGCGGGCGGAAAAACTGGCCACTCGGGGATGAGTAAAATCGAACAGACAGATTGGCCGGCCACATTCCGCGACGCCCGGAGTTGGTGCGCTGAGGCACCCGCTCGACGGGTGAACCGAATCGCTTGGTGACCACGCACGATTGACGGATGACGGGCAGATCGTCAGCGCCGTCGAGAGGACGGTCAATTCGAGACTGCCGACCCGAAGCCACAGCACACTGTTGGACAATATCTGGCGCGGTGCAAAAGAAGCGAAGGCGCCAACGATTCTTTCAACGCCCAGAACAGAATCAACAGCCCCCTCCAGCGCGCGCCAGAGACCTCGGTAGGTCCCAGCTGGCGCACGAATCGCTGGTTCTTGGGCGGGGTGGACATCAGCCCAGTGATGGGCAACTTTTTAGGTGAGATTTTTTTAGCGCCCTTAGTCCGCCGTTGCATGTGCATGACCCCGGTTGGCCGGCGACGAAGAACCATGTTCACTCGCACAACATCTTCACCCAAAGAACGAAGCCGTCCCCTAGATGCGCAGAAGGAAAGGAATATATACAAAAATGCCAATTGGTAAGGAATTCCTTCAACCAGAACGTTGTCGCTGGAGACCAGCAGCGAACGTGCACTCACATCGTACCCGGCTGGATCATCCCTGGTTGTGTGCCAGGTCGGACCACAGGCCTAGGAGCTTGCCAAAGCCGATGAAATTGAGTTCGGTCCCCTGCACCTCGCGCAGCGCTGCCACCTCTTCCGGTTGGAGCGGACCCGCCAGCGAAGGGCCATTCTCCTCGTCGTCGGCGTTCTCGTCACCCTCATCCTCACCCACGCTGATGCAAGTGGCGAAGTGAGGTTAGTTCTGGTTTCTTTCTTAGTAACTCGAGGGGGAGAGGTAGGAGCGGTACATGAGGGCAAAATTGTCAAGGGAGGGATTCTCCTCGAAGCGGGTGGCGATAGCCTCCGCTCGCCGAACAACCGACTCCATGACACCCTGCGTGACGGACCACACACGACACGACACGACACGACACACGGACGCACGCACAAGTAATTTGAAAAGGAACGATGGGATCAGCGAGGAAGATCCAGTCAGCGAGGCAGCTCTGGAGCAAGGGGCCGTACCGCAGCTCGAGCCACGTTCATGCCGTACGATTTGGGACACACCCCCTCAGTGAATTTGTACAAAAATATGACCTCTTTCCTGTTGGCACGGCCGGCGGAGAGGATCGTCAGGTTCGCTGATCAGACAAGGCCAAGGCAGAGGGGAGCGCACGTTTCTTTGTTGGCGAGGCAGCCCATGTGAAAGAGGGCGATCTCTCGGTTGCCCTCGAACTCCTTCGTGAGGAGGTGGTAGTGGGTGGAAAACAGCGAACGACACTTCAACCGGCGCGAAAGGTCGTCCAGCACGCCGTAGGCGATGCCATATCTTTGAATGCCACACGTAACCATCAGCGACCGCACACGACACACGCACACGCGGGGATTGCGACGTACCCGTCGAAGGTGCTGGTGCCTCGGCCCAGCTCGTCCATGATGACCAACGAGTGCGCCGTGGCATTCTTTAGGATGTTGGCCGTCTCTTGCAGTTCCACCATGAACGTGGATTGTCCGGCCATGATGTTATCATTGGCGCCTGCAACGACAGAGCGTTATGAGAGCTCCAGCGAGCAGCGGCCAGAAAAAGAGAGAGAAAACAACAAACCGATTCGCGTGAATATCCTATCTACAGGCGTGAGGCGGCAAATCGAAGCAGGCACGTAGCAACCCATCTGCGCCATGATGACGCTTATGCACGCCTATCATGCGAGGAAAAATAAACACTCAGCAATTACCGCGCAAACCAATCAAGAGAACAGTGTAGTAGCTTCGTACCTGGCGCAGGAGCGTCGACTTGCCGCCCATGTTGGGACCCGTCAACAGCACGACCGGCGCATGTGGGCCTCCGATTCTGAGAGGGAGGGAGAGATATTGCCAAGGGTAAGCGAGGAATGGAACAGCGGCTGGTGAGTACGAAGTGCCTTACCTGATGTCGTTGGGGATGAAGGTGTCCGCCACGCGCGGGGTGATGCAGGGGTGTCGCAGCTCTTCGACTTCGAGCACAGGCGTGGTCCCCTCGGGCACGTCGACCACGAACGTCGGCCGGCACATGGGGTCTGTCAGTACCAGTCCGATCGACCGTATTGTGAGCTGAGCACCGGTTGGTTGGGGGGGGGGAGGGGATCACTGGTGCGGGCGGGACGTGGAGTGTACCTCCACCGAAGGCCGAGGTCTTGGCCAACGACAGCAGACAGTCCAGCTCGGCAACGCAGGTCACGGCGGCGGACCACACTGCAAAGTGTTGGCCGAAGGTGGCCAGGTACTGGGTCAGCACACCGGCCAGGTAGCTGTCGAGTGCGTCCTTGGCCTCCTCGATCTTCGGCACCAGGCCGGCCACGCGCGTCGCCTGCAGGCGGATCACCGCCTTGGTGCCCTTGCGCTCGACAAACTCGTTCTTGGGGAAATCCACCTTTACACGACCCCCCCCCCATTCGGTTATGATTGACCGCAGCTGCAGCGACAGAGCCGCCAATTGTGCATGTGTCTCCGTACCCCCTCGGCCTCGCCAACGGGCACCTCGATCAGGTAGTCCTTCTTCTCCGACGTGGTGTAGTGCATGGACACTCCAAAGCGCTTCCTCTGCTGGTCCAAGTACTCCTCCAGCTGTTGCTCGAGATCGGCGATGTTATCTCGCACCTCGTCGTAGCCCAAATCGACTCCCGGATTGGGAGTGATTTGCTGGTGGCGCCCACATCACCGCACCGCCTTGATGTCAGCCTTCCTGCTCCCACGCGGCATTTGTTGTCACTTGATGGGCATGGCATGCAATCTTACCTTTCTCTCCTTGGCCACCTGCCAGTCGAATGCGTCGCAGAAGTAGCCCAAGACCTCAGAGTAGTCGGGAATCCCTCTCCTGCACCATTGCCAATGATATTAGTTCGTGTCCGGGACCCAGCATGTGATCACCCCGATGGGCTGGCATTGCCAACATACCAATGATTACAATAGATTGCAGGTGCTTGCTCTTGAATTGGGTGAACACCTCCTCCTTGAAGTGATTGTTCCACGTTTCCTGCAACACATCACACACCGTGAGTTTTCTTGAACGGCGAGCTAGCGAAGTACAACCACCCGAGCACGCGTGAACGCACCCAAATCTGATAAAATGCTTCAAGCACACTGATGAACTGCAGCGTGGTGGCTCTGCCAGCGTGTATGCGCGAAATGGCACGTTCGAGGTCGGGCAGAGACTTGAGCTGCTCCCAGAGGGCGTCGCGCAGCTCTGGCCGTTCATTCAAATCCTCCACAGCTGTTGACCAAAGAATAGGTCAGCGCGCAGCGGAGGCAAACAACCATGCCACAGACAATACATATCGTACCGTTCAAGCGATCCTCGATATCCTCGACCCGGCGGAGCGGCTTCGCGATCCACCGTTTGAACAAGCGCTTACCGAATGGCGTAACGCAATGGTCCATCACATTGAGCAGCGTGCCCGCGACGCCCTTGTCAAAGTTGTTCTCTATCGAGTGGGCACACACACACACACACACACACACACACACAACGTTCGACTCATCATGCGTTCTCTTCCTCCTCTGATGAGGTCCATTGGGGCGTACCGAATATCTCCAGGTTGGTGAGCGTCTTTCCGTCGAGCACCAGATGGTCCAGCTCGTTGCTGCCCGCCGGTGTGTAGTGGTTAAACTTTCTGGCCAGAGCGAGGTGGTCCAACTTGAGTTCGTGAAAATAGACCAGCAGGCCGCTGAGCGCCGATAGTGCTGTTTGTGACAGTGACGTGGCAAGGTGGTGAGCAAGAAGCTGTTAGAACAGTCAAAGGTGCGAAAGGCGGGTACCCAGGGAGGCTCCGGCCTCGTGGTGCTCGAGAAGGACCGGAGGCCAGGCGCTGAGGTCGTCAGCCGCCGGGTGCTCGTCGGCGTCGTTCTGCCCCACGAAGACGTTGTGTTGCTGCACGTACTCCACTGTAGCATCGGCGCCCAGGAACGGCTCGCGGGCCGACATCAACGGACACACGACGCTGCGCTTGATGAGCTGCAGTGTCTGGCGGCTGCATTGACCCTGGTGTGGTGTGTCGGTGTGATGTTGAGTGCTTGCTAAAGCGTTGCTTGCCGAGCGCAGAGTGCGTACCTTTTCATAGAGAATCTCGGACGGTTTGACTCGGAGAAGAAGAGTCTCGAGCTGGTTTCGTTCGCTGTCATCCACGAACTGGCCCAGGTTGAACTCGCTAGTGGTGCAGTCCACAAAGCAGATTCCGTAGGTCACCTCCTCGGTTCGGCTCTCCGGGTCTGTAGGTCAAGGCAAGCAGCGTCAGCCCAGCTCCAAGAAACACACACGCATCCACGCACACAGACACGGTAGAGGTTACCGGGAATGATGTCTTCCTTGATGGAGAGAATGTAGTTGGCTCTGTGGTCGTTCATCAGGCCTTCATCAACAATGGTGCCGGCGGTGAGCACTTGCTTCACTTGTCGGTCCACCAGGCCGTCTGTTCGACTCTTGGCTACGGCTTTCTTCCAGTTGCCGTCGCCTTGCCTCTGCCGCACCTTGGCACCCACGCTGGTCTCGGTCTCGTCCACAATGACCACCTTGTGCCTGTGCACGATTGTCAATGTTGAAGTTGTCGATAGACCACCCCTCAGTCACGTTTTGTCGAGGCCGTACCCGAGCGCCACGAGCTTGGCCAACCAGATTTGAAGATTGGGCACGGGGACGCCACATTGCCGCATGTTGGAACCGCCCCTGCGAGACACAGACGCGCGGTCAACGAGATTGAACGTTTGCGCTGAGAGAAAAGTGGCGAAAGAAACAACAACAACGACACGTGAGCGTATTTTACCTGGTGGGCTTGATGACGAGCTTGAGGTCGAATAGCTTGTTGCCCAGGTCGGCATCCTTGTTGTAGAGCTCGAAAAACTTGCCCACGCGAAAGAAGACAAGGGAGTCCCAGTTCTTGGACTTGATGAGCCAGTACTGCTGCTGGGCGGGCGTGAGACGAGCGAATTCCGACTTGGGTATGAACAGCGTGGACGGGTCGTAGTTGGGATGGGTGCGCGGGCGCTGATTTGATGCCACAGACACGACCGAACAGTGAAGCGACGTTAGAGTGGGCTTCCTCTTCCAGCGCACGAGTGGCAAATGATAGTGATTACCCTCTCCGCGTCGAGTTCGTTTCTGAGCCACGACCACGTGTCCCCGAACTCTCCCGTGGTCGCCTCTTCCCCGCTGGCCTCATCGTCCTGGTAGAGACGATGCATGAGTTGAGAAGAATGCGTGTGCTCACAGTGAGTGGTCGCGTAAGATGGGATCCGTACGTCGAGTTGCTTGGGTTTTGGGCGAGCGCCGAGCTGCACCCCTCTGCCGAGTGTGCCCTTCTTGAGCCCGTTGTCTGCCTGTATATCCCACAACGGCGATTAGTACACGGAACCATGCTCGAGGGCCGCGAGGAAGGGTCAGAGACCTCCTGGGGTGGTGGTGGAGAGGCAGCCCGAGCTGGAACTGCTGCCGCGCGCGGCGACGCCATGGTGGGCGTGGTGGTGTAGTGCCGATCTCCCCTGGCGATTTCGCCTCGTCCTGTTGTGACCGTGGACTGGCCCTGCACCAAAGCGCTGAAGGTCAAATCTTGTCCAGTCCATCCATGTGTCGTGTCGTGTCGTGTCTATCTGACGTGTGCAGATGCCGCACCTGGCCAACAGGCTGCGGAGTGGACGACAGGGACTGCTGCGGCACAGGACGTTGAGCTTGCTGCGAGGGTCGGGGCGCAGCGCTGACCGGTCTTGCGGGCGTGAGAGTAGAAAGCGTCGATTTCCGGTTTGCTGGTGGTGGAACGGCCGCGGTCGGTTGGTGCGGTGGCGGATAAAAGTTACCGGTGACCTCTTGGCGCATCCCGCCGGGCGGCGTGCTGTGGTTGTCCTCGGGCTCTTCAATGTCGTCATCCTCAAACGAGAGCGCAAAGGCGTCGGGCGTGGAGAGGAACGTCTGAGACGTTTGAGTGCTGCGCGATGGTGTCGATGACGTGGAAGAGGACGTGGCGACGGGCGACGGTGAAGGTGCGCTGCTGGGCTTCTTGGGCGACGACAGGGCAGCCACCACTGCGCTAACTGTATGCAGGCGGCCTCAGTTCTAGTTTGAACTACCACGACCATCAAAGGATTCAAGCAAGAAAGGCCACGCACTGTCTCTGCCACGCTTGGGCAAACGAATGGGCGTCACCGGAGTGGAGAAGAAGGACGACGTCGTCGGCGCAGCCGCCTCCTTCTCACCCGCCGGCTCGTCGTACTGCGCGTCTGTCCACTCCGTTTCCTCCTGCATGTGCGATGCTTGCGGCTGGGCACCCGTGGTACTGAGACCGCTATCGCCGTGCGAAGGAAAGAGCGCCCGTGCAGTGAAGTAGGACCCGATGCTGGGCGGTTTGGCAGGGCTTTCCTTGCCCTGCGAGGAGGACGGGCTCGTGCCTATCGTGCGTGCGCAGAAGCAGATTGTGGCAGCCGCCGTAGTAGCGATTGAAATCAGAGCACGGCCCGTGCATGGAGGGAGGGAGTGAGAAAGAAGGACGGAGTACCCAGTGGCGACGACCCACCGCGTCCGGGCGAAGTCGGTTGTGTGCCAGCATCAGCCCATTGAAAGAACTTGCCTGCATATTACATGAACATGAATATAAATATATATAAATAGAAAATGTGACATAACATGGCACAACGTACATTGTTCCTCTCGCGGCATCGGGCAGCCCCAGAAGCCTTTACCTGTACAAATAATAGCAATTAGTGAATTCACTAATAAATAAAAAAAAATGCGTAACTGCTGGTGATTACTCCAATCTCCTTGGATTGGCGTGGTCGTGTACCATAGTTGGGTCCGTTCTTCTTGACGGTGAGGTAGCGCGCGGGTTGTTGGTGCCCCGGGCAGAACGGAGCGGTCATGCTGGGGGGACTCGAGGATGGGGGCGATATGCCCCCCTCCATCCGCCTCCTTTTGTTAATCGCCAGCTGCGCTCTCACCGGTGATGTGGGATCTTGTTGGCTAGTGTCCTCCGCAACATCTTCCAATTTGCGCTTGAGCAGGCCTTTGCTGCCAAAGAAGCCGTCTAAAGATTGCTGCGTTTGTGGCGTCCTTCTGCCACCTGGAGACGCCATCAACGACGATTGAATGAAGCGAAAGATGCGTTTGTAATGTGAGGCAAGGAGATCAAAATTTCGTTCTTTTCGTTTCGCGCCTAAAGTTAAAGTATTCCTAGAATTCACACTCAATTTTCTCCGGAGAACGTTCGAAATACGGCTTTGGCTGTCTTGGTTTTGGCCGCTTCTGCCGGTCGGAGCAACCAAGCTTCGGGCTTTGCCCCACGGTGGCGATGGTATCCCAGAGAATGGTGGTGGACTGAGGGAAGGAGCACGACAGAGACCAGTGAGATGGGCCAAGGGAGTGGTGGCTGATGGATACGGCCATACTGCGCAGAAAGCACCGCTTCCCATCCGAACAGCGAAGTTAAGCTGCGCCAGGCGGTGTTAGTACTGGGGTGGGCGACCACCCGGGAATCCACCGTGCCGTATCCTCCTTTTTCCTTCCGCCAGGCACGTCGAGGATCCAGCCTCTTCAGTGATTCCTGTCTGCGCCTCATTGCCTTCTTGTCTTGTGTTGTCTGTGGCGAGAACCCATCAAAACTAGTACTTGCCCATTGCACTCCGTGCCATTCGCCTCGGTCTCGTCGACACCGAGCCCACGCCCACACTACTGTTCTGGCACTTGTTGTGGGTGGTGGAATTGTTGTTGGGAAATGGTGTAAGATACATTGTAGTCCAGCCATGATCAAGAGGCTTAGACGTCGTTGGTGCCGATGCAGCTGTTAAGGAACTGAACCACCTCCTCCATGCTCGGGCGCTTCTTGGGCTTGCCGCTCCAGCACTGGGTCATGGTCTCGGCGTAGTCAGCGGGGCAGTCGGCGGGCACCTGCGGCCGCTTGCCCTCGAGCACGTCCAGCGTCACGCCCATGAAGTTGCGCCCCGCATATGGCTGCTTCCTCGTGAGCATTTCCCACATGATGAGCGCGAAGCTGTACACGTCGGCCGATTCGGAGTAGTGTTCGCCGCGGATCACCTCCGGCGCTGTCCACGCCGGCGTGCCGCACCGGGTCATCGTGGCATTCTCTTCCTTGATGCGGGCGAAGCCGAAGTCGGCCACCTTGACGTTCCACGACTCGTCCACCAGCAGGTTCGATGGCTTGAGATCGCGGTGCACGATGCACGGCTCGAGCGTGTGCAGATAGTGCACTCCGCGCGCCGCGTCCCGCAGCATGCGAAGTCGCACTTGCCAGGGGAGCTTGATGGTCGAGTTGCCGAGGAGAGCCTTGAGGGAGCCCTGCTTGACCCACTCGGTGACCAGGCACAGGTTGGGCATGCGCAGGCACGCTCCGATGAACAGCACGATGTTCGGGTGCCGCATCTCCGACAGGCACGCCACCTCGGCCCTGAACTCCAGCAGGTGCCGCTCGTCCAGCTTCTGCTTGATGAACCGCTTCACCGCCACGTCGACGCCCTTCCACGAACCCTTGAACACGACGCCGTACGAGCCTGTGCCGATCTGTTCGCCCAGCTGGATGTCCTCGTACTTGATGACCCATCGGACCAGGTTGGCGCCCGTGAGGAAGGCGTCTTCGCCCGTGCCGCTGGCCAGCTTCTCCAGGTCGACCGACGTGTCGCTCCGTGCGCTGCGGCCGCTCAGCATGTTCGAGGAGTGGTACCGCGCGCTGCCCCTGCCCGCGCTGGTCGAGTCGTCGTCCAGCGAGGCGCCGAAGTTGCCGAAGTAGCGCGGCTCGAGGCCCTTGACCTTCATCTCATAGATGGTCACCTTGCCCAGCTCGCTGAGCCCGTCGAGCTCGGTTGTGCCGATGCGCTGGAAGCGACTGGCCTCGCCGCCCATCTCGGTCGCGGTGATCTTGGCGTAGGCGGAGCCCGAAAGGAGGACCTGGCCGCCCTGGGCCAGCACTGTCACCTTGGCCGCGGCCACCACCGGCGGCCCGAGGTACTCCACCCGCCGCGACATCGGGTCCCGCCGCAGCTTGGGCACTCCCACGTGCACGCCCATCCGTACCCGCAGCCCGCGGAAGATGAGGCGGTCGTCGACGCCGCCGATCTCCTCAGCCACATCGGCCTGCGCCAGCAGCTCCGCCGGCCACTGGAGGTCCAGCAGCTTGCGCTGGGCCTCGCCGCACCATTCGAGAGCGTCGCTGATGGACGTGAAGGCCATGCAGAAGGAGCCCTCGCCGACGATCTTCTCCTTGAGGAAGATGGCCTCGTAGCCCCGGTGCTTGGCCAACAGCGAGCGCAGCGTGTCGTTGTGGAGTAGCGTTGCGTCGCGCATGGCGTTGGGGCACGCCGACCAGAGCGACGCCGCCTTGGCGATATCGGTGAACACCAGCGTGATCTCGCCCTCCGGCGGCCGCACGCCGCCCACGTGGTGGTCGCGGCCGCCGCCGCCGACGCCGATCGTGGCGTCGCTGGACGACAGGCTGCTCGACGAGTTCATGCCCGAGGAGCTGCTCGTCGCCGACCCGGTGTTGCGGAGCTTGCCGGTGAGCGAAGACGAAGACGTAGAGCTGCCGCCGCTCGTGGTGCCGCCGACCATGGCCGACAGGCGGGTCATGACCTCGAGGAAGGTCGGGCGCACGGTCGGGTCGCGGTGCCAGCAGTCCGCTGTCAGCTTCTCGTAGTCGGGGTCGGTCAGCAGACCCTGCGGGGTCTTGGGCCGGGCGTCGTCCCTGATAACCGCGACGGCGATCGCCGCGGGCGACATGCCAGAATAGGGCTGCTCCCTGGACATGAGCTCCCAGAGAATGATGCCGAAGGCGTACACGTCGGCCAGCACGTAATCGATGCCGGGCTCCTCGGCCAGGATCTCGGGTGCCAGCCAGTGGATGCTGCCCTGCTGCTGCTGCTGGGCGTCGCGCTTGATATCACCCTTGAACCGCGTGAGGCCGAAATCGCTCACCTTCAAGTTCCACTTGGCGTCGAGCAGCAGGTTGAGCGACTTGAGGTCGCGGTGGATGATGCCCGACGAGTGGAGGAAGTGCATGCCCTTGGCCGCCTGCAGCGCCAGCCGCACCACCAGGGGCAGCGGGATGTCCGGCACCAGCTCGTTGTGGATAAGCTGCACATCAAGGGAGATCCTTGTCAGTCGCCATTCAATTGAGTGAGATGAGGGGGTTGGGAGAGGCGTACGTCGTAGAGGGAGCCGAGGGCCATGAACTCCATGACGATGCACATGCGCGGCGGCCGCGTGCACGCCGCCATGAAGAGCACTACGTTGGGGTGGCGCAGCGCAGTCATCACCTCCACCTCTTCCCTGAAGCTGCGTTGGATGTCCTTCGCCAGCGCCCGCTCCTCAGAGGCGATGACCTTGACGGCGACCTCGGTTCCCTTCCACATGGCTCGGTACACCTCGCCGTACCTGATATTGTCCCTCCATGATTAGTACGACGACAAGAACGAAAAACGAAACGAAAGGGAAGCTGCAGTACCCTCCGGCGCCGAGGATGTCGCCCACCTCGAGCTCGTCAAAGTCGATTTCCCAGTCCTGGCGCCCGTTGCGCTTGGACCGGCCGAGCATCCAGCAGCCGACGCCGAGCAGGATGGCCGCAAGAACCAGCAGGATGAACACGGGAATGGTCGAGCCGAGCACCGCGCCGAGGATGACACCCAGCGAACTGCTGTCGCCTGTACCAAGTCACACACAGCATCGGTCGATGTCAGCCATCGCTGGGACTTGTGCTGCGCAAAGGAGAGCAAGATGGGAGTCAAAACGCACTTTTAGCATTCTCGCAGAAGTCGCCCTCGCGGTTGCTGTTGCACACGCACGCGCCGCTCACGCACTTGCCCAGGTCGAAGCAGATGGTGCCCTCGTAGATGCAGTTGGCCAGCGAGAAGACCTGCACGCCGTTCGAGGTCACGCTCGCCAGCTGCTCGAGCAGCGTGGCCTTGGCCGGCTGGGCCAGCGATGCCACCACCATGTGGGATCTGGAGAGCATCACAGTGTCACGCCCCGTATTAGATCGAGCAGACGACGAGATTGAGAAAGATGGATGATTATCGTACGAGCTGGCAATCTGGGCGGCGCTGGAGTCGGTCTGGCTCCAGTAGATCCAGTCGACCAGCGCCTGCGCCTTGGTGAAGTCCCGCATGGTCTCCGTGCGGATCATGAGCGCGTTGAAGGTCACCATCGGGTAGCTGTCGGCGCCAGGCGCTGTTTTTCGTACGGGCAGCACGCAACACGGAGAAGTAAATGAGAAAAGGATTGCTCTGGTGTGATGGTGTCGATGATGATGAACGCACCCATCTTGATGTAGAGATCGGTCGAGGCGCCCTGGTAGTGGGAGATGGCTGACACGATGGTGTCCTCCTCGGGGATGACAAGGCCGCCATCGACGTTGGGAATGCGGGCAAACTGGAGCGTGGGCGCACCGTTGAGCGTCCAGAAGTGGACCCAGCCGGCGAACACGTGCTCCGTCTGCAGGAGCAAGTCTTGCATGGTTCCCAGGCCAGTCACGGTGCGCGTGCGCCATGTCTCAGCGGCCACGGGCAAGTTGGGCAGAGAGACCGGACCAACCTGGATGTAACGGAAGCGAGAAAGCTACGGGGTGAGATTGTGTTCACGCATATTTTAAGGGGGCGGGCGACGTACTTCGTCCTTGAACTCAGGCACACGATCGCTGATTGCCTCCATGATGGCCTGCACAGAGGTCTGTGCGGTGGTGACGTAGGCCACGATGATCTCAGTCTCCGGGAGAAGGTGAGCGATGGTTGGGTTGAGCGCCTTGATGGCCGTGTCATTCCACATTTTGATCTGGAAAGTCAAAACCAAGCAGTCAGGCTCGACGTTCACAGCAAAGCCTGGTCTCGGGGCGTATGTGGCGAACCTTGTTCAGGTAAATGTCCGACACAGTTTCCCAGTGAAGGACGATCGAGTCCTGGCCCAGCAATTCAGGAAGCTGCACAGGATTGGAGTTGCTTAGTACAAACAGCTGGCACACAGGCCAACAATCGGGGTGATAGGTACGTTGTAGGTGAAGCAGTAGGCGTGGGCGTTGACTTTGACGGCAACCACGTCGGGCATGGGCTCCAGAGTCGCGGCGCTCAGGGGCACCACAGTAGAACCGAAGTCGATGTCATCTAGAGGCACGGACATAGGTGTCTTAAGACTGTGTTCGGTCGGAGTTTGAGTGGTGGCCACCATAAACCTTACCTGACTGCATGTACTTAGTCGAGGTGAGCGCATCGCCAGAGAAGTACTTGAGCTTGAGCGCGCTGTCGGTGTACTCCGACGCCCAGGCCGTGTAGACCGGCAGCGGGCCGCCGAGCCCGAGCACATAGGCCGAGCTGGAGGCCCGGTCGCCATTGCACGTGACCGTGCCCATCACGTCGATCAGGTTGCGACGGTAGGCAATATCCAGCGGAATGTAGCCGTCGTTCTGCGTCAGCTGAACCGCATAGTCGTTCACCTGTTGTTGCTTCCCGGTCAGCGGGACTGGTGGGCCGTTGCATTAGAGAGGGGAGGGGAGTGGAATGCCTGTATCCAGCTGAGGTGGTCCATGATGTCCTTGAGCATGACGCACTTGTTTGAGTGCGTACGGTTCTGCGTTACGAGTACGACAGACGCGAGGAAGCTCATCGGCCAGCTGCCGTTGCCGCCGTTGGAGATGTCGGCCACGAACTGCTGCGCGATGACGGTCTCGCGGTAGTAGGACATGGCCGCCTGCACCGAGGTGGTCGAGGCCTGCACCGTGGTGCCGTTGGTGTCCTTCATCGCCGCGTACTTGATTCCGACCCGGTCCGCATCGCGGAGCGCGAAGTAGCCCATGGTGTAGGGGGTGGTGTCGAGCAGACTGATGGCCTGGCTCTGATTGGCGATCGGATAGCCGGTGGTTCCGAGCATGCTGTAGAGCGTGCCTCCGGCGGCGGTGATCGCCGACTCGAAGGCCGCATCGTGGGAGAGGGCCTGGACGAAGGCCGCGGTGACGTCAGCCTCCAGTTGGTCGGCCGCCTGCTTGTAGACCAGCGCGATGGGGTCGCTGGTGAGTGTGGAGGCGAGGGCGGGGTTGAGAGCGACAATGGCCGCGTGGTTCCACACGGTGATGTCCCGACGCCAGATTCGGGCGAGGGTGGGAATGTCGAGCACGAGTGTGTCCGTGGTGGCGTTGGGCAGGTTGTAGCCCACAACCACAGCGCTGGCCGCCATGGGCAGCTGAGCCAGCTGGCCGCCGCTCGCATCGGAGACCGGCTTGAAGATGGGCTTCTCCGCCACCGCAAAATCGACCGCGGTGTCGGCGAGCGCCACGGCTACTTGAGTGACCGGAGTGTAGGTGAACGTGAGGTCGTCCCTGGTGATTGGCAAAAGAACAGGCGGAGCTTACGTTATTCAACCATTGTTGGATACCCGGCCCGATTGTCCGCGGTTCGCACATGTTCCGCGTTGGTCACGGGCTAGGGGAGGGGTGGAGTGAAGGAAGATGTACCTTGTGTAGAGGTAGGCGGTCTGCCACGTGGAGAAGACGCTGTTGAGGCTGCTGGGTCCGGAGGCGGTGATGGCCTGGCTTCCGGCGGGGCCGAAGACGAACAAGACGACCGCCACGATCGCGGCGAGCAGCAGAGCCGAGGCCCATGAGCGATGAGGAGGAAGCGAACCGGAGCCCATCCTGACAGATGTAAGGGTAGGAGTCAGGATTGTAGGGCCTGGTTGTGTGCTTCGGGTGTGAGTTGGTGGAACAATAGCAGGAGCACGCCACGGCAGTTCCCGTGGTGAGGAGCCATAAGCCCCATTGGCGGAGTGGAGGCCAGGAAATGACCCGTGTTGTTGGGCTCTCCGCGCGGTGGCAGGGCGTCGTGCACCCACACGGCAAGCACACAGGCGAAGGTGGTCTCGATCGTGGTGTCCGAGACTCGACGATAGGGAACATGTGGTGTTCGGCCGCAACTGTCGTACTGTTCAACTCCGGAGAGTTCACACCGTGTAGCCGTCGGCAGGTGACCGAGCCATCTTCCGCAACCGTTTGTCCGTGGTACCCGAGGGCCGGCCAATCTTTTCCCTCTTTTTTCCCCCCAAAGCGCGAGACAGACAGACAGCGGGGTCCGGGGGGGGGAGTTGGGACGCCTCTTCCGGACCCCAACCTAGCCCTTAAAGCGTCTGAAGAGAATCATCTATGCAGGAGGAAGATGAGTGGCGCTGCACAGCTGCGGCCTTCGGCATTCTTGATCTTTTTCTTCTTTTGGCTCTCGCGTGTTGTGTCAAAAACTCCTTTTCTTTAATTTTTTTTGTACAATTCCTTCAAGAGAGATGCGCCCAAACACACTCTCGGAGACATTCAGCTGCTCGTTCGTGTTGGAGGCTGATTACTGGAACTCGTCGTCCACGAAGATGGAAAAGCTCTCCGTTGTAGATGGCTTGGCCTTCGTCTTCTGGGGCAGCTGTGGGTTGAGGGGATTGCGGTGAAGGTGTAAGCACGGTGTAACGTTAGATGCGCCTCGGTTATCGCCACCCAGGAAGAACTCGTGCTACGGTGAACGGATGGTGCATAGCATACCGTGGTCTCGCTCCACTTCTGAGGCAGAGGCCGATTCTCCTTCTGGCGCTCCTGCAGGGGCGCCAGGGTACACCACTTGCCCTCGGTGGTGAGGCCGGCTGCGGGTGCGGCCGAAGCCACGTGGGGAAGCTGGCCCTCTTTGGTGTTGACGTTAACGCTGCTCTTGTTGCTCTTGTTGTCTCCTGAGTGCGAGGGATCAACGTAGATCTCTGACTTGACGGTCTTGCCGTTGGGTGCCGAAGCAAAGGTCGACGAGGTCACGGGCCTCGATGCGATCGACCCGAGTCGCACGCCACCACTGGCCATGCCCAGCGTCGAAGTGCGTGAGGCCTGCATGCCGGTAGCCTGGGTCGAGGGTCGGAGGCCGGTCATGGGGGCGCGAGCTGCAGAGGAGGAGGAGGACAGAGGCGCGAGGGCTGGCCGACGAGCCGAGGAGAGCGCTGAAGCAGATGAAGAGGCTGAGAGCCCTCCTTGGGCAGCGGTGGGCTTGATCTTCTCGATGAGACGCTTCTGAAATGCCTTTTGCCGGGTCTTGAGCCAGTCCACGGGGTGAGCTCCCCTGTATAGACGAGCAGAGTAGTCAGGGTGGGTGCCACGAGCTACGGCCACATGATCAGATGGCAGCAAAGATAGAAAGAAGAGGAGTGAGGGTACTTGAGGATGCCGGCTTCGTAGACCTTCTGGCAGAGGGCCTGATTGCCTCGAAACTCGAGGGCGGAGGCCCATCGCTCGTAGAAGACGGCTTCCTTCTCGCCGATCTTGTTGCTCTTCAGGTAGTTAAACACCTCAAGCGGGTCCTCGCAGTAGTCCGTCTTGTGGAGAGAGGCGAGAGATATGAGGATGGAAGCAAGAGGGCATCAACCGAGTGGTGTACTTACGTAGGCGAGCCAGAGGCGAAGCAGGCGGGGGTCCTCACGGTAGCGCGGCAGTGCCTCGCCCGAGAACACCTTGGTGCACCGTTCGATGAGGGAGATGAGCTGCTGGCGGCTGTCATCTGCCACCAGGCTCTGCTGTGCCCAGTCCACATACCTGGTTGCCACAAACCAAGATTGTTAGGATGGCGCAGTACAAAGATCGTTGTTGCGCAGCAAGGTGCCGCACCGTGCCCACAGATCCAAAGGATCTTCGCCAGAGTAGTTGGCGATTTCGTCCTCCCAAGCTCTGTAAATGGCAAATTAGAACCAATAAAAAGAAGAATGTAGACAGGGGAAGACCCGTACTTTTTCTGCGCTTCGATCCTCGCGTCCACGGCACTCTCCGCACCGTCCAACGAGCAGACAGCGGCCAGTTGGCGAGCGTTGCGACCCCTACGAAGCGGAACAATGTTTTCCTTGCAGTGTTCCCAGTCCGAAAGCTCCACCACTTCCGTGGGCTCCTCGTTCTCCTTCTTCAGCAATTCGTCAGCCATTTTGACTAGTTCTATGTACTACCGAGATGCAATCTTGCGCGCAAACCCCAACGCGACCACGGACAACGGCTCTCAAAAAAGGCGGGAACGTAACATTCTCGAAATTCCTGGAGCCGTAAGATTTCACGGAATAAAAAGCGACCTTCATTTTCCTTTTCCGCCATATTAATTTGTATCGGGCACCCGACAAGGCGACTCGAGTTAATCTTCATCTCGCCCTCCTCCCGTTTCTTTGTACACCCCGCAGCAAGATGGCCGAGTCGTTCTGGGACAAGCGCGATGCATTGAAGGATTACCACGATGTCGTGGGAGACATGCACCGCATCATGGTGCCCCTGCTGGGTCTCCTGTTCGTCTTCTTCTCTATCGGCCTCGTGATCTTCCTCGCCATCAAGCCTCGATTCGTCAACTTCCTGCGCTACTTCCTCGCGCTTCTCCTGATTTACCAGATCTTCGGTACGCCCAGGCCTGCATTTTTGCCACTACGAATGAGCTCATTTTTTTGCAATTAATCCAAATTCTAATTCTCATCTTCTGCTTGTGCACAACAGCGTCCCTGTTCATCTGGTTCAGCAGCACCTGGGAGATTGGCTTCCAGTTCTTCGCGTTTGCCCTGTTCGGCATCTACGCCATCTTCACCAAGGACCGCGACAGGCTCCACATGCTCATCTTCACCCTCCTGGCCCTGTTCGACTTCTTCGTCGTCATTGGCAAGCTCGGCTTCATGGGCTACAACGTCAAGGCCATCGACGCCCTCGACAACGCCACCTGCACCGGCTACTACAACGTCGATGGCGACGAGGCCCAGTGCACCGGCTTCCTCAACTTCCTCCGTTTCCTCGTCTTCCTGACCACTCTCATCCAGCCCGCTCAGGTCTTCTTCGGCTACCTCCTGTGGCGCAACTACGGTACACACACACACTACACCAACTCATCGTGATCGTGATCGTGGGCTGTATGGCTGATGATGGCAAACGTGGTGGTGTGTGCAGAGACCAACGGCGAGCTTGGTGAGCCCAGCGAGTACGGCAAGATCGGCGAGTCCTCCTCCAGCGTCCCCCAGTAAAATCAGACCTGCGTGCAGTGGACCCACTCTCGCTGTTTGCCTGCCAGTACTGTTTGCCTTTTGTTTCGTAATTGAAGCACGCTACACAGCCACCACGTCCACATCAACATCGCCGCCAAGGTGAGCCGTGTGTGTGAGCTGCCAGAACAGAGCAGAACGCAACAGAAGAGGCGGAGGAAGGTCGCGCGCGTCCAGCTGCCGGTGGCTTCTTTCTCGCCTTTTTCGGAGCGAGCTGCCTATCAGGGGCCGTGTGCGCACGACCTTCTTCAAATCGCTTTTCTATCTCTCGAGACTCCACTACAGTTTCTTCTTCTCCGAGTTCAACACAAGCACGGCACACGACATGAAGAGAACAGGGCTGCTGGTGGCGGTCGTACTGGTGGTGCTGGTGGCCTGCGCGGCCCGGGAGAGCGCCGGGCTGCCCTGGGAAGAGGCCCAGCGCCTGCTGTTCAAACAGCAGATGCGAAGTGGTGCCAACGGCGCGGCCGGGATGAGCAAGCGCGACCTCGGCACCGACATCCCCATATGCCCCGACCACCCCCGAGCTGTTCCCCAGGCCTTCATCAACCAACGCGTGCGCTCTGCTTCCTTCTTCTTTTGCTTTTTTGCTTCCTCGCTTCGGTGAAGATACTGCATAGTTCAAATTGTTGATGATGGGCGTGTGTCGTGTCGTGTCGTGTCGTGTCGTGTCGTGTCGTGTCGTGTCATGCGGAAACGTCTTTCCAGTTCATGCCGGAGCAGCTGCGCGAGGCCATCAAGAAGATCGATGCCGTGTATCGAACGGCGGCGCAGGGGGTCCAAGCGATGTCGGTGGGCATCGTGTACGACCAGGAGCTCGTGTGGGGGCAGGGCTACGGCCTCATCGACACCGCCGACCCCTCCTCGTACGCTACTGAGCTCCCACATCTCATGATCGCCCTCGCCCGGGTACTGTGGCATCGGGCTAAAAAAAAACTCATGCCTGTGGCTGACGCAGGCAAGTGGACACGAACACGATCTACCGCGTGGGGTCGATCACCAAGCTGATCACCAACATCATGCTCTTCCAGCTGAGGGACCAGGGCAAGCTCTCGCTCGACGACCCCGTCAGCGTACGCCGCCCCGATCCCAACAACGCGCACGCATGAGCATCTTGTTTTAACTACGACCTGCCGCAAACAGAAATACGTGCCGGAGCTGGTGTGGCCGACGCCCTTCAAGAACAACCCCGGCATCACCTGGCGCACCCTCGCCGGTCAGATCAGGTACGACAGACCATCAAAAGAACTATAGTTTAGTATAGTAACCCACCAAACTAAACACAGTGGCCTGACGGGAGCGACGCCCTGCAACTTCTTCACCATCTTGGAGCCCTTCCTGGGCGATGCCTGCCAGATCTCCAACGCCGAGGCGTGGAAGCGCGTCACTGCCGATCCGGTGCGTGGTTCACTCGCTCGCAGGCGCAATTGGGGCGGGGTCGCTAAGACCTGATTCTATTATGTTCGCCAGCCGTCGGTGCCGATGTGGCAGAACCCGCACTACGCCGACGGGGCCTACGCGATCATCGGGCGCGCGCTGGAGTCCGTCGTGGGCATGTCCTACGAGGACTACATCACCCAGCACATCTTCAAGCCCCTCGGTAGGTCCCCCATCACAGCCCCAGCCGCCGCTGCAATCGCTCCCGATGTGAACCACCACATACACAGGAATGGACAGCTCGTTCTTGGCCTACAACTCTGGTCGGACATGGCCAAGAGGGTGCCGCCGGGCAGGGCGGGCAACATCACCTTCCCGTCGTTTGTGGCGCACGCCGACCTCAACTGGGCGCGCGCGACTGGCAACGTACTTACTGCGCCCACTTCACCACCACTGCTGCCCCAGGCCCACCACCGAACCGCTCACCACTTTTACTGTGGTGCTGCAGGTGTACTCCACGGTGAAGGACCTGGCCAAGCTGGCGTCGCTCTTCATGGTGGGCCAGGACGAGCGCAAGAACGTGCTGGGCATCTACTCGAGCACGCTGCGCGAGATGCTCACCCCGTCGTTCATCAACGACGACCAGGTAACGACCCCCCTCCCATTCAATCCCCAGAGAGAGAGAGAGAGGGCACAGCTAAAGGGTCTCACATGCCTCGTTCTCGGGCAGACGAGCGGGTACGGGTTTCCGTTCGAGGTGTACCACAGCCGCGCCTTTGGCAAGGACATGCCGCCCTACTGGGTCCGCATCAAGGCCGGCAGCATGCCGGGCTACGTCAGCGTGCTGGCCATGTTCCCCGAGATCAAGACAGGTGCGTAGCGTGTGGTGGGCCTACTCCGATCGTTTCTTTTCTTTCATTCTTTCTTTTGGTGACGCCACGTCTCTCCAGCGATGATCATGCAGGCCAACGGCTACGCGATGCCGTGGGAGCCTATCGCACTTCTGCTGCCGGCCATCGAGCAGACGCTGTGGGACCTGCAGCCGATCCCCAACAACCCGGGCAACCTCACGGCCTACGCGGGCACCTACCTTGCCTCCGTTCTCGGCGGGTGCGGCTCCACCACACCCATTTTAACTCCTATCTACGCCACCCCCAATCGAGACAGGGAATCTTACGCGTGAACGACCAGGTTCATGACCGGCAACGTCACCGTCAAGTCCGATCTGCCCAACAACCAGCTCCTCCTCTTCTTTAGCCTCGCCGGTAATGCTTGACCCCCCCCCCTCCCTGACGCACAGCAAATGCAATGCTCATTTATCCGCCGTGTTGTGGTGCGAACAGGAACCAATATCCCAGCAAGCGATCTGGGCGTGACCAAGGCCGTGTGGGAGCACGACAACACGTTCCGCACGCTGGGTCCCAACCCGGGCACTGCAGCCTGCCCCGCCGTCGAGGCCGGTTTCACCAACGTGCTGGTGCACTTCAAGGTCGGCGACCCCTCGTGGTTCGGCGGACCCACCCAGGTCGTGTCGTTCGAGGCGCCCACCGATCCCTTCTACGGCTGGGTCTTCATCAAGCAGTGAATGCAGCCATTATCATTTTATTGTAATTACTGTTGTTGTGAGGGGTCACCATGTTTATTTTCATGTTATAAATCTGAAAAAACCTAAGCTCAGCGGTTGGTGCACCGATCTAGGCATTGAACTCGGCGAGCTCGTGGATGACGTCGGTCAAGCTGACGCAGCCGACGGGGACGTTGGCGCCGAGCTTGAATCCCTCGACCTCAGCCTCGGCCCGCGCTGCGGCTCCGGTGCCCGCCACTGCGGCCTCGCCTCGCACGACCCACACCCGATGCACGTGGTTCACTGCCAGCTTCTCGAGCGCCGTCTCCAGCTTGTCCTCCGGAGTAACTGGCACACACGACATGCACCGCGGTCAAGAGCTGCGTAGAAGGGGGGAACCAAGGTAGCCAGGTACCGGTGATGGGACGCGGGTGCGAGGCGCGCTCGTTGATGGTGAGCATGAGCGAGGCCTTGAACTTGAGGAAGTCGCGGAGCGGCTTGGCGAGGAGGGCCGTCAGCTCCTGCCACCCGGTGGCGGCCGCCACCCGCACGTCCGTCGCGCTCACATTCCCGACCAGCTCGCCCGACTCCGACACCTGCAACAGCACAAGAACGAAGACGTCGCACAAGAACGAAAAGCGATGAAGAATAGAGCATCCGGGGGGGGGGCATCGTACGACTCCGAGGCCGTTGACTCTCTTTTCGACGATCTTGCGCAAAGCGGCGATGACGGTGTGGTTCTCTTCGATCAGAACCAGTTCGCGCTGGGCCGCGAATTCGTGGACGGCCGCCGTTGACATATCTTTGATCTTCATCGCCAGCGCCGCTGTAGGGAAGCCGGGCGACGAGCGACTGCGGCGGACATCGACATCATCATCATCATTCAACCATCACACAATATTCCCGTTCAGTGGTCCGTGTATCTCCATAAGCCATTCAATGTACCTGACCCACAGCCAACGGATGACTTCGGCCTGCGTGATGATGGCGAGCACCTTCTTCTCCGGCTCCCGCTCTGTGACCCACAAAGTTGAGCCCACAACCGTCATAGTGGCTGCGCGGGCAGAGAGAGGCACCTTTGGAGTCGACGATCGGGACGCGGTGAACGTCGGGCTTGGAGAGGGCAGCGAAGAGCTCTCCCAGCGGAGCGGCGCGATCGAGAGGCAGCCACGAGTTACGTCCCTGCCCCCGCACATCAGCAGAAGAAACACCACACATTTGGGCGGATACGTCCAGCAGTGGTCACCGGTGGCCGTACCGAGAGATCGATGACAGAGCAGATGGGCAGACGTTCGAACTCCTCCTGGGTGAGCGGCTTCCCCTGCTGTAGAGACACCCAATTAAATTTGTGTCGACAAGCGAACTCGCACAGAAGAGAGCACTTACGGCAGTGCTGAGGTGCTCCACGCACAGCGTCGCCAGGTCGAGCATGTCCACGAACCCGATGAACCTAGAAGGGTGGACCAGCAACAACAGCAATAACTCGAGATGATGAGATGCAGAACAACCAACAGTCGAGTGGCAGGTGTTGGTGTACTGGTTGGCGTCATCGTCGTAGACAGGTGCGGAGATGATCTTGTTTTGGGTGAGCAAATCGATGGCGTCCTTGACCGTCTCGTCCTTACTGTGGGTCCAACCACCAGCAGACGAAATGTTAGTACATGCGAGTGGCCTGCTCCACAGGGGTGGTGAAAGACGTCACTTGAGGAAGATGATGCGGTTGAGCATGTCCACCTTCAGCTCTTCCGTGGGTCCAGCGCCGAGCATGTCCTCTATTTTGAGGTCGCGCAGGAACCTCTGCCAGGGTGAACTCGATGATGCCATGTTGTTTGTTGGTGGTGTCTTCTTTCAACAACGATGCCTGTTTTTTACTTCTTTGTTGTCTGTTTGTGAGCCACACCACCGAAATGCAGTACTGAGCGGCACGAGACAGAAAAAACGTGGACAGGGCCGGGTCTTGTTGTGTTGTTGGCCGAAAAGGCGTCCACGCCTCGCTTTCTTTTCGCTTTCTCTCTTTCTCTTCGCTCTTTTCTGCCGACCAACAATGTGTGGCATGTGGAAAAAAATGAAAATAAACAATAAATAATAATGTGGTTCAGTGCCTGTCCTCCTTGGTGGGGTAGTAGAGGAACGGGAGCTTGACGACAGAGTTGTAGACGAGGGTGCCGCTGATGAGCAGCACGAACCCGATGAGCTGGATGTAGGAGTAGTGACCCCACCTGAACAGCAACGCGAAAAAGTGAGTTATTACACCTCAGTTGGCTCATCGCAAAGAGGAGGTGCACAAGTACCCTTCGCCGAGCGAGGTGTGGTTGAAAGCGTAGTAGATGACCAGCTGAATGCCCCACACCTAAACGTAAACATTGAACAAGGGGCATATGTGAGCTGAGACTTGGGCACAGCCATCATTCAGTAACGGCTGGCAGTGGAGCGTACGCATAGCGTTCGGCAGGCGTCGATGAACGTTCGGTGCACTGCGTATGGCGATCGTGATTGGCATGTCAGTACTTGCTCTCTGGCAATCAAATGTTGGTGGCGAGGGCGGGGCGGGGCGGGGCGGAACTAGTACCGGTGGTCAGGCTCTTGGCCACGGAGAGGGAGGTGAAATTGTAGAAGGCGATGGAGAGCCAGTAGAGGAGTACGAGGCCCAGTAGGGTCATGTTGTTCCCGATCATCACAAATCCGTCCACAGCGTTCTCGTAGCTTCCGCCATCGGAGCCGGGAATGAGGTAGCAGATGGGCAGCACCGCCACGGCCATCAGGAGCACGCCCCACAGACCCTCACCGCTGTAGCAGCCACAAAACGAAACAACGTTCAGCACTGATAGAACGAAGACAAAGACGAAAAGAACGAAAAGAAAGTGAAACAGAACGCACCCGACCACCACCAGGGCGTGGTACTGCGCCAGCAACAACAAACCGAAGGCGAAGGAGACAAATGGAGACAAATGGGGGTCAGTTGCGGGTGGTGAGGGAGACAAGGCGGACGCGACGTACATTTTGCCTCTTGAGGAAGATCTCTTCGATGATCATCTGAATGGCGTTGGAGAGCTGTCCCAAAATGATCAAAACATCGCCCAGGATCACTTCCTTGATGTCCCTGCCGCCTATCGGACGGCAATTGGCAAAGTCCAGGTTTAGTTGAGGCGAGCTGCGTGAGGCGGAGGCGGAGGCGCAACGAACCTGAGTCGGAAATGACGGAGGCGATGCCCACGCACGCGAGTCCCACCGTGGTGATGGTGATCCCCAACCAGTTGTAGAAGTAGAGCTTCCTGGTTGTGTTGACGATTCAGCGACCAACAAAAAGTTAGCCAAGTGAGCAATTCTTTTGGCCTTAGGGCGTCGAGGTATGCCATCAGCGCGCACCGTTTGAGGAAGAGCACGGAGAGGATGCCAGAGAAGACGATAATGCTGCCTCGCAGCATTTGGAACACGCTGGCGTAGGTGTACTGTCGGGAAGAAAAAGGTTGTGGGATGAGCATCACAATCCTCAAGCCTAACACCACCACCAACAATCAGCCGAGGGTGGGTGCATCCAACGTACGAGCAAACCGATGCCGCCCAGCGTGGTGCCAATAACGTCGAAGCAGCACGTCAGGAGAAAGTAGAACGGCGCATACCAGGGGTCTTGCTGTGGTGAGCACCGCTGCAGGTGTCAGACACCACGCGTGGAGCACAGGACCAGATTGCGCACCTGCGCTGGAGCGGGCTCATCATCGGCGGTGGTGACGTTGATGGCCAGGCGGCTCGGGTTGTGCTTGTGGTCGTCGTCATCTTCGTCCTTCTCCTCGATGGAGATGCGCTGATACCGGTTTTCGTAGCCTGCAGGTCGGCACTTCGTCTGATAGACCCGCATCAAGACGTAGACGATCGCACACAGCGCCTCGCCGGCAAACATGAACAGCGTCTGTGTCCTGTGCCATCACGCATTGCATTGTGAGTGAATGCACACAGAACTGAGCATCGCGTCGCTTCGTTGCGTAGTGTGCGTGTGCACCCGGAAGAACCCGAAGCACAGAAGCGACCACTACTCAAGCCGGGTATTCCCCAATAAACCGCGGTAGCACAGGTCCGTACCAGGGGAAGGAGAACGGCTTGTCCTCGCCGGAGAGGCCGTGGCTCGTTTGCTGGTTCTGCCATTTCTGCACATCACGAAACATGGCGGCGATGTGAGGGATGAAGAAGAGAGATTAAATTGAATTTTAATGATGAATTCAAAAGTGGCACCTTGGAAAGGGTATTGACGGAGCCGGTAACGAGCATGACAACGACGAGCACCAATATGCCCACAGCCTGCGCTGACATAAAACGGAGGCCTCCCATGGCTGCAGCTTCCTCTTCCGAGTGGTCGACTGTGTTTGTTTCGGTGGTACAAACTTATTTTCGTTTTCATTTTATTTTTATATTTATTATTTTCATTTTCTTCCTGTTCGTGCCAACGCATTGAGGAAGAAGGTGTTTATTTGGGAAGTGCTGCCGAAGCTGATCACAGCATTCAGAAGAACTTGAAAGGCACCAACGATCCGGCAGAAGAGGCCTGAGCAGGAGAGGTTGAAGATGAGTGAGTCCCATTACAAGTGGCAAGGCAGTGCAGAGACATGTGGTGGAGTGTACCAGGAAGACAACGTTGTCGGACGCCAGGATGCCGGAGACCGCAGCGGTGTTGGTGGCGGTCGTGCCCACAGTCACTGTCTTGGCTGCGGTCACCATCATCACCCAAAGAGTCAGCAAAGAAGACCAGATCGCTCAACAGGGTCAAGTGGCAAGGCAGATATACCGGTGTTGACGGTGGAAACGGGAGCGGTTACGACGTTACCAGAGCTGACGACGGCATTCGTCGCGTCGCCCAGAGCGGCGGCCACAAGGCAAGCAAGAACGAGCAGAGCAAAGAACTTCTTCCTGTGTACGGGACAAGACATCTGTGGTGAGCTAGGCCACATGAACGTTGGCCAAAGGTGGTGAAGTACATTGTGATGTGGTTGGCGTTGGCGAAGTTGCGGCGAGGCGAGGAGTGGATGATGAATGAGGAGCGTGATGGAGTTGTGCGCACCCATGGGTTGTATTTATAAGGACCCGTCGGCATGTGGGTTGATTTCTCCCCCGCTCGGTGGGCAGCCATGAAGCTGGAAGAGGCCGAATTATCGGTCTAATGCAGGTGCTCCTTTATCCAGCTCTTTTCCCTATTTGTTCAAATTCAACAATGTGATCAGTGATCTTCAGTACGGTCGAACGTTCTAGCGGGCTGAGGGTGGGGATCACGTGCTGAAATGGAGAGGTTGACCGGCTCCAGGCGAGGTGGTTCTCGCATTTTACTGCCACTGCACCCGCCTTTAACATAGCCGTCGTTGGTTGGGACAAAGACGGATGAATGGTCACGCACCTCCGTGCCCAGCATCTACGCCGTGGGTGACATCACCAACCGCATCAACCTTACTCCCGTACGCTTTCCCCTCACGGATTCCCCTCAGCGACGAGCGGCTCGCCACTTTCATGCTGTGGCAGGTCGCTCTGGCCGAGGGCCACGCTCTGGCCGACACTCTCTACAACAACCTGCCCCGCACGGCCGATCACACCAACGTGCCCTCTGGTAAGCTCCACTGTCCGCCTCTTTTTCATGGATTCGCTGTTGCTTGTGCTCACTGTCCAACAATCAATTGAATCGTTGACTGCCGCCAGCCGTGTTCACATCGCCGCCGGTGTCGTGCACCGAGACGCAGGCCCGACAGGTCTACGGTGAGATCGATGTCTACGTCTCCAAGTTCACGCCCCTCAGGCACACTTTGTCCAAGCGTGACGAGAAGACCTTCTGAAGCTCATCGTCGACAGGAAGACCGACCGAGTCGTTGGCGCTCACATGGTCGGTGCCGACGCCCCCGAGATCATCCAGGTACACACACACTCGCACTTCCAACGGCACACGTGAAGGTTAGCTTCCGCGTAAAGAACGAACTCCCTATTTACTGACCACCAATTCCCTTCAACATCGACGACGCGCAGGGCGTGGCGATCGCTGTCAAGTGCGGCGCCACCAAGAAGCAGTTTGATTCCACCGTCGGCCTCCACCCGTCCGCGGC